TGATGTAATGAGAATCTGTGTCTGATGTAATCAGGGACAGCTCCACTCTGCTGTGGTCAACTGCAAAAGTGGGGGAAGCAGTCAGTGTCTGTCCTTCAAGGTCCCTGAGCCCTTGGGGGGCAGCACCAGGGGCTCTGGGGGAGCACTCACATCAGAAAACCCATCCAGGGTGGGCTGGTGGCTGTGCAAGCAGCTGACGTCCCTCCCACACCTCCCACAGCCCTGCTGCTACACGCACAGGGGATGGACAAGACCCTTTTGGAGGGTGAGGGAGGTCTTAGGGGAAAGCTGCAGGTGCTGCCACTACCCCAGTGCAATGCTGATCCCCCCTGACCATGCAGCAAGCCAAGCCCAAAGCACCTCACAGCACTGCAGGCTCAAACCAGCTCTGTGGGGTTTGATACAAAGGTTTGAAAGCTGGACTCCATCCTGGAGGTCTTTTCCAACCTTAATGATTCTGTGATTTACTTTCTTTTCCAAGTTGGAATGGATAAAAGAGTCAATCTGCTCTGATCCTGGGACAGAGTCCTTTGGAGACACTGCACCAAGCCAAGCCACAGCAGGGTTTGCCTGTTGCCTGCTTTGCACATCATCGCTGCCCAAAGGCCTTTGGATGCAAGTGGTCACAGAGTTATCCAGAAAGCTTGCAAGGATCATCACTGGAGGATGTGTTTCCTAGTGAATAGAAGCTCTTCTGTCTGTGGAAATATCACAGAATCACAGAATACCCTGAGCTGGAAAGGACCAACAAGGATGATCAGGTCCAATTCCTATCCCTGCACAGGACATCCCCAAAATCCCACCATGCTCCTGACAGTGTTGATATGTGCCAAAGTCCTCCAGAGCAGGCCCTGCAGCAGCCAAAGCCCTAAATCTGAGCAGCAGGTCTCAAAGCCAACAGACAGCAGTGAGATGGTCACATACAACAACTGTGCAGGCAGGCAGCAGAGAATGAGAACAAGAAAAGCAAGAAAAACAAAAGGCTGAGTAGGAACATGTGCCATTTCCAACCTACAAGGTAAGATGTCCTTGTATCTGTTTTTCTTGACATTCTCTGGCTGCTCAGATGCTGCTGTAGGGTAGATTTTATCCGCTCTGTACTTTGTTGACTGTCTCTTCAGCTTCTGTGATAAAAGAGTGGAACAAATTACAGCAGATGTGCTACAGCCAGCTCACTACTAGAGAGCACATGAAGGTCTCCAGGGGTCACGTTTGCTACCACAAAGCAAGGCTGGCACCATTAATTCTTTCCTGAGTGGCTTTGCTCAGAGCAGGAACAGAGCCAGAACCATCTGAGAGCCCCAGCAGAGGCTTGTGAAGGATGGAAAGTGTGTGCTGAGGCAGTGCCCACACGTCAGCTTGTGAAGTGACACCAAGGGGGTGAGGCCCAGGGGAGCCACTCTCAGTACAAATGGCACCCAGATCAGAGGAGTGACAATGTCAAAGCACCTTCAGCGAACGATACCAGAAAAGACAGGTAAGTCTCTTGGTTTTTCTCACTTTGGTAGAGGTGCTCCCATCTGCAGCTGGAAGCAGTGATGCTCAAGTCACTAAGGGAGCACAAACAACTGGAGCAGAGTGGCTCCATGGACTGATGAAAGACAAGGAGTCCTGGGACAGACCCTTAGGGTTGCACAGCTCTCATCTCTTTCATTTTAAGGGTAAAGCTGCAGCACTCACAGGGAGTTAAAGCATTTTTCTCCTGGTAAAGCACAGAATTTTATTTCACTGCCACCAGCTCCTAAATAACACACACTATTTGTTACCCTCACTTCAGAAGCATCATTCTCATTGCATTTTTTCTTTCCTATTTTTGTGTCCAGATTGCTGGCTTTTAATATTAAATTGCAGTTTTAAAACACTAAATTCAGCCACAATAGAAGTTAAATCTCAGAAATCTGATGGAATGAGTGAGGGAGGAGGTACAGGAGGCTCAGGACAGTCCATGTGTCCATTCTCAATTAAGAATGAGGGGCAGACACAGTGGGATAGAAATTGTGGGGTCAGGGTGAGTTTTATAGCCTCCATATCTCTGTAACCTGAGCAATTCTGGTGTTGGTCACATCCTCCCCTTCCTCCTTCCAGTGCACCCCCAGCTTCCAGGGAAAGATTTCACGGAAAGGGCATCGCTCCATACTAAAGCCTTCCCAGAGCCAAGGCCCTGAATCATCTGACTTTTCTGTCCCTGAATTATCTGACATGAAACAGTTTGGGAAATGCCTAGGTATGAAAAAGGAAGTGGGAATCACAGAATCATGGTCTATCCTGGGCTAGTGGGACCCATAAAAATCATTGAGTCCAACTTGTGGCCTTGCACAGACATCCCAAAATCCCACCCAGTGCCTGAGAGCATTGTCCAAATGCTCCTGGAGCTCTGGCAGCCTCGGGGCTGTGCCCATTCCCTGGGGAGCCTGGGCAGTGCGCAGCTGAGACTGCACAAACAGAACAAGGGGACTCTAAAAAAAACCCTATCATTTATAGTGACATCACCACAATTTGCACATAAAAATGCTTGGTCCCACAAGGAGAGGGCAGGAATTGGGGTGGAGGAACGACACTGAATATATCTGTCCCGTTTGGAAACAAGCCAACAGGATGAGCTGCTGCGGCCACTACCTTGCAAAAGCCGCCACAAATCAGGTGTCTCTGAGATCTTATCCCATACAACAGGAAATGCAGCCTTGACCATTTCCACCTGCCATTTTGATCAGAAATTCATACATCAGCTGCTGGAGCCAGCCTGAGCAGCAGGGCAGGGCTCAGAGCCCACTGCCTCACACACACAGACACCAGGCAGAGCGAGGGGAACTCAGCAGGCTGTGACAGCGCTTTGTTCCATGGAACAACAGGCTGTCACTGCAGGCTCAGATTAATCACTTCCCTCCACCCAGACACCTGGAAACCAAGCACTCAGCTTTCCCCCAAGGGTGTGAAGTGCCAGATTTTGCTGGTACAACAGAGCAGGGCTGGAGCTGGAGCTTGTGGAGACCCCTTGGTAACCTGGAGCCCACTGCCCGGGTCAGTCCAGTGTTTGGCACCTCTCAGATCTCACAGAGGTACCAGATTTACCCTTCCCTGTGTCTGTGGGAGCTGGGCAATGTCACTGCCTCTCAGAGCAGCCCAGACAGCCTGTCAGAGCCCCCTGCCTCCAGCTGAGGTACCAAGAGCCACCTCCAGCCACCAGCTTTAGCCATGAGATGGTGCATTAGCATCCGAGCCTCACCCCTGGCACCCAAACCACAAAATACATCAGAGAGCTCACAGATTCAGAACACAGGGGGTGGTGGGAGCCATCAGCATTTTGTGCAGCTTTTGCCTTGAGGGAACAAGGAAACAGTTTCCAGGAGGAGCCAGGAGCACTGCTGGATATGGAGCACACGGGTCCCAGAATGATTTGGGTTGGAAGGGACCTTAAAGTTCATCTAATTCCACCCCCTGCCACGGGCAGGGACACCTGCTGCTCTCCCAGGTTGTTCCAAGCCCTTTCCACCCTGGCCTTGGACACTTCCAGGGATGGGGCAGCCGCAGCTCCCTTGGGCAACTTGTGCTTTATAGAAAAAAGGACAAGCTAAGTCAGGGTGAAACCAGAGATGCCTGGCAGGAACTCGTGCGCCACAGGTCTAACAGATTGCAATGGGGAGAAGGGGCAGAGGCTCCATATTCCTCCCTGTATCCCCAGCTGTGTCACCAAGGCCAGAGGCTCCACATTCCTCCCTGTTCCCCCAGTTCTGTTACCAGGCAAAGTGAAACCGTGTCCCGACAAGTGCATTCGCCAAGCAGAAAACAGGAAGCACTCGGGGGATTACTTAAAAAGCAAACAATTCAAATGCAAACTATTAATCTCCTATCATGTCTTTACATTCCTCTAAGCCCAGTTAACTTGTGGGTGCCTGCTGTAAAACTCCTAGAAAACCTCACTGTCACAGGTTTGAGAGGTGACCGAGTGATTCCCCGACACGAGCTGAAGCGCTGAGCCAAGCCTTGAGTGAACTCACCAAAAACTCCTCTGCAAACTCTCCTCGGCTGAGCTTCTTGCCCTGGGCCCTTTCCAGGTTCTGTAGCAGGATCTCCCTTTGGTCCATGGTGCCGCAGCGTGCCTGGCCTGGCCCTCCTGGGAAGGGACATGTCAAGTGATCCGCAGCGGAAGGCGCCGCTGGGGAGAGCTGCCTGTGGTTTTCTGACTTCATCACAGCCCCAAAGGAAATTAGTGCGTAGCAGATAATCCTGGTCAAACGCAACAGAACGCACGGCACGGGGCCCTGGCAGCTCTGTTCAAACCAGCCCCACCTGGCACGGGGTGGGCAGCACCGAGGTCAAGGGTAGGGACATGCTGGACACCAGTCCAAGCCCCCCTGCACCCCAATTCCTTCAGCACCGTGTCCAGCCATCACTGCCGGGGGTAGCTAGGGGTGAGCACAGGGGGCAACCATGGAGCATTCACATCCCAAGGGCTGTGCTTCACCAGGAATGCTTCGAGTCTGGAATGGGGCTGGAAGAGTCCATAAAACAGCATGGAAAATCCACAGTTCCCCTTCATGCTTTTAACGTAGAATCCCAGAATGGTTTGGGTTGGAAGAGAACCTAAAGCCCATCTCAATGGGCAAGGACACCTTCCACTATCCCAGGTTGCTCAAAACCCCATCCAAGCTGGCCTTGGACATTTTCCAGGGATGGAAGTTCTAGTGTTTTCCACATCAGCTCTCCCTGAGGACAGGAACACAACACAGCTCTGGGAACTGTCAGCAGGAACCCTGCTACAGCTGACTGGTCATCTGCCTTTGAGTCCACCTGCAGGTTCACCCTTTACAGTAATTTGGCACTGGAGACTGAGATTAATTATTGCCCAATTGCTCCTTAAAGCTTTGCTGCAAGGAAGGTCAGAGAGAAAGGTCCTGTTGGACAGAGGCAGGAGCTGCGCTGCAGAGCTGCCCTGATCCACAGATCACTCCATCCACAGTCCTGAGGGCTGAAGGAACAAGAAACTCCAGCAATCAGCCAAGAATGATTCACCTTTTTATTAGGAAAGTGTGTTTAACAGTGGCAGGGATTCGGTGAAGTGCATGGGAGGCACAGTGCCATCTGAGGGTACAAACAAGTCATTCAAATAAACCAAAAATTACAAGAAATCAGAAGAGGGTTAAAAGAAGCTTGTGCTCCTCACGGAGCACCCTAAAGTCCTGTTAGATCAATCTCACTGTGTACCTCACCCTCAGTCAAGGAGCTGGGGGGAGCTGGGGAAACTTCAGAGAGGACAATTCTCACCTCAGTACCAAATTTCAATTAAAAACCCACGTCTGCCTCTTGAAGTGGAACACGCTGGTTGCAGCAGGCAGGATGTCCCTGCCCGCCCTCCTCTGGCACAGCAGAACTCTGCTCACCCCAAAGCAAAGCTACTACAGAAACCAGACAGCAAATTAAAACAAGTGCAATGGGAGCTAAGAATGAAAGATTCTCTTCTCACTGCTCTGTTCCTCTTAATGTGAGGTAAGTGGCAGAGTCCTGGTGCCTCTGGTGTTTGGTTTGGGTTTTTTAAAAATTATTTTTAAGTCTCAGGAAAAAACCTCTCCAAAACACACCCCTGAATTCTGCTCACTTCTGGTTCCATCAGTGATGTTTGTGCCTCGTGACACCCACCACAGATGCCACCAGTCCTGTGACTCACACAGTGACCCTGTCCTTTCCCCAGCCTGGGGGAGGGCAGACCCTTCACCCTGCCCTGCTCCCCAGCCCCAGCTGCAGCTTCCCCCACACCACCCGGGCTTCCCAGGTAAACTGGAAACTCTGCAGTTTAAAAGTACCAAACCAGCACTGGGTAGAGCAAGAGAACCTAGAGAAATCGGATTTTCCTGTGCCCTGAGCATGCATCCTGCTGGGAGCAGGGACCACTCAAGACTCCAGTCCAGCCACTGCCTCCAGGACTGTCCTCAAGGCTGAGATGAAGGATTGCAGCGCCTCTGGCTTTGCTTCATTTTGCTTCACTGAAACCTGCAGCTCTGAATCTGCTGCCTCAAGCAGGAGCTCTGTGAGGAAGAGGCAGCCTGAGTCATCCTGGGCACTCAGATAAGCTTTCCAGGGCTGGGCTCCAGCTTTGCTCATGGCAATGGTCTGGATGTGCACAACACGAAGGGCTGTCTGGATGGTGTCTGCATGGACAGGCCCACACCAGGGCAGAGAGAGCTGGCAGCACGTGTCCAGGCTCAGCCAGGTCTTCTCAAACTGTTCTGCAGTCAGGGAAACATCAGGAATCAAGCTTAGGCTGCCTGCATCAGGGTGAGCCTTGAGGAGTTCTTTATTCCCTTCAGACATCGGAGTATCAGGATGAACTTCAGGGACTTCCTTATTCCCTTCAGAAACCAGTGATTCTGAAATGAAAGCACAAACACTTGTGAGATGCAGCTCCCAGCTCCACAAAGCCCACTGGATGGAGCAGAGGAAAGCTGGAACCCCAGTGCCACCAGCAGCATTTCCTGGGCTAGTCAGTGACCAGCCACACACCGCACACCAAATTCCCAAAGCACTCTGACCTTCTTCCAAACAAACCCATGGGAGAACATCTTGGTTGCCCAGAGCAGCTGTGGCTGCCCCTGGATCCCTGGCAGTGCCCAAGGCCAGGTTGGACAGGGCTTGGAGCAGCTGGGACAGTGGAAGATCCCTGCCCATGGCAGGGGTGGAAGAAGAGGAATTTCAAGGCTCCCTTTCACCCAAGCCATTCTGGGGTTCTGTGATCTGCTGGCGAGGGGAGAATGGCTCCCAGAGGAAGGCGAGGCAGGTTTACCTGTGTCTCTGCTGCTGGAGTCAGCACAAGGAGGGCAGGAGTGAGAGGGTTCCACAGGCTGCTGAGCAGTGGCCAGGGCCCAGCGCTCTCTGCCATAAATTGTGGCCAGAGTGTTGAACTCCGAAGCCCAGGCATTGACAGGCTGCTTGCTCTGGTCCCCCAGGAGCCCCATGGAGGGGTCAGACTTGGGGCTGCACAGGACCCTCCTCACTTCCTCCACCCCAGACTGCAGAAGGCGGTAGTAGAACAGCCCACGGTCCCGCACGGCCATGTCCTGCTCCTCCTCTGCAACCACAGAAATGCAACCCATGGAGAATTCTGTCAGCCACACTGCCCCACACCTACACCTCATTGCTAAAAACAGACTGTCAGGCATACAGTGCAAGCCTGCTTACAGGCAGACAGCCAAAGGACAAGGGGGAATGGTTTTAAACCAACAGAAGGCAGGGTTAGATGGGATATTGGGAAGGAATTGTTCCCTGTGAGGGGGTGAGGCCTGGCACAGGGTGCCCAGAGAAGCTGTGGCTGCCCCTGGATCCCTGGCAATGCCCAAGGCCAGGCTGGACAGGGAAGGTGTTCCTGCTCAGGACAGGGGGTGGAACTGGATGATCTTTAGGGTCCTTTCCATTCTGATTCCATGACTCCACACTCATCAGCCAGCCAGGGGCCAGGCAGCAGCCCAAGGCATGGAAGCACCTGGAACCAGCCTGGACGGCCTCCTCAGAGCCAGGACGCTGACACAGCCCGGGGACACAGCCAGAGCAGGTCCCTCAGAGCTGTGGGGATGCAGGGAACCCACCAATGCAGTAGTAGAGCAGCCTGCCCAGCATGTCCTGGCACTCGGCGGGCCGGGCCAGGAACAGCCGCAGCAGCGCCGTCAGCAGCTCCATCTTCACTGCTGGGAACGACTCCGACTTCACGCTCTCCACAAAGTCCTCCAAGACGTAGGGAGCGTTCGGGATCTTCTCCCCATGGGTGCCCAGGAGCCAGATCAGTGCTTGTTTGCCCTGAAGGAACCACAGGAACACCAGCAAACAGCTGCTGTGTGCCATGTCTTGGCACCAAATAAGCACAATGGGAGAACAAATCTGAGGATTTCTGATTTTTGCCCCCAATCTCAAGGCAAAAGGAAGTTGAGCAGTCGTTGTCCATCCTCCCCCTCACCTCACTGTCCTGGATAGTGTCCTCACAGCCAGGCAGGGCCTGGCACACGGCATCTGTGCACTGGGGACACAGCCAGGCCAGGTCCCGGAAAGCACGGACCACAGCTGCAAGAAAAACCAACTTATCAGTATCCCCCAGGAGTCATAAAAACCACTAGGGAAAAGAAAAATCATTTCAAACCCCCCCCACTCAAAAGGCTTTGCAAATCTCTGCCAGGAGGGTCAGTGCCCTGCCTGAGACTGTGATTTGAGGCATCCTCCTTCCCAATCCCACAACACTGCATTTGTCAGAGCAAAACTGCACCAGGTCTAAAATAAAGCACTGAGACTTCAGATTGTTCCTCTGCTGGAGAGCAGCCTCTTTTCTGGCCACTGCCAGCCTTTAAAAAGCCTCTGACTCATGATGCTTCAGACACACGAGGTTGGGATGACAAATTAAAGCTGACCCCGATTCAAAATGAGGCTTGTGAACTTTAGGTCAAAACTTGAAAGGTTTTGCTGCCCACTCAGGCACACCAACAGCTCCTGAGACGGAATTGAACAGCTGAGTGCAAGTGTGTGGTTTTCAAATCTGAGAGCAAGACCAGTTAAAAGAGAACAGCAGGAACAGCAGCTATGTAAGGTGGATCTGAGGGCAGAAGAGAAAAAAGGAAGCTTGGGCACAACTGAATCAGACTATTATGTGAGGAACAGAAATCACAGAGATCTAAAAGATTTATTAATCATCTTGGCTCTCAAACAGACAGCAAAATGTCTCTGCTGAATCCCTCACTCCCTGAGTCAGCAGGTGGCAGCCAGAAAGAAGCAACAACTCAGCTACAACCACCTTCCCCTTTCCCACAGAGAGCAGTTCCTGCAGCAGGAACACACCTTATACCCCTCAACCCACCTGGAAAACTTCCAGCTGAAGGTGCCAATTAAACTGAAAGGCAAGTGCCTTTGAGTTTGGGATCACGAGCTCCAGCAAAGGCACCTCCTGAGAGCATAAACCAGCAGCAGCCTGCAATGGTTACCTGAGGTGATGTGCTCCTGCTGAAGCCCCAGAAGCTCAGTCAGAATCCCCACACACTGCTCTGTGTATGTCCTGGCAATATTGGCTGCAAGGATGCCAAAAAGACAAAAAAATCAACCTTCTATCAGAGTGAAACAGGAATCATAAACCCAGCTACTCATCACAAACTCTCTTTAAAGAAACAGTCTCCCTCCTTTCCTTTCTGACTACTGTTTCTGAAAGTGTGGCCACATGAGCTTGCTCTCCACACCAGGGACATGTTCTTTTTTTGAGGCCACACCTCAAAAGATTTCTGAACTTTCCTTAAATGTTATACATTAAAAAAGGCATTTTATCATCCCCCAACTTTCTCCTTAAGAATACTGTAATAATTCACCTATTTTTAAAGCTCACAAAACCAAAACTATCACCTTAACTCTGCCCCCATCACAACTGAAAGAACAAGCAGGTATTAGAGCTCCTCCACCCCCTGCACAGCCTCACTGAATGCTAGAAGGCTCATTAACAAGATGAAATTACACATTTTCTCTAGAGCATCTCCTCACAGCACGAGATTCAAGGACTTTCTGCACAACCTGAAGCAGCACAGCGCCAGGACTTCTGAAATAATCAGTGTTCCAGAAACTCTGACACAAACCACTCCTGGGCAGGTTGGTGTCTGTGCTGCTGCAGCACAGAGCAGTGATTTGGTGCTTGCCCAGGCACCCCTCAGCAGAGAACAGCCCCCCTGAAAGGTGCAGGGCTGCAGCTCTCACCTATGGCAAAGATCGCTCCCTGCGCCAGCTCCTCCGACACGTCAGTGCAGTAACCCTTCAGCTCCTCCAGCACCTGCTGCACGTTCTCATCATTCACCAGCTCACACAGCACCTCCATCTTCTGGCATTTGATGTAGTGGGGCTCCGAGTAGGAGCAGAAGAACTTTTTGTAGTGGCTGCTGAAGTGGCCGGGCAGGCTCCTGAGGATCTGGCGCACGTGGCAGAGCGCGGTGAAGCAGAGCTCCCTGCTCTCCGAGGTGCAGGCAGACAGCAGCGGGCCCTTCACCCGCACCAGCACATCTGCCTGCACATCTGGGTACTCCCTGGCCAGCACCAGGAACAGCTTGGTGGCTGCCATCACCACGCTGGGGCTGCTGCTCTTGAGGTAGCCGTCGAGCAGGTTGAGGATGTCGAAGAGCTCGTCCTCGCTGCGGGGTTTGTAGCGCAGCAGGAAGGTGAGCACCTCGCTCTGCCCCCACTGGTCCAGGTCAGGCATCCTGCCAGGGGCACAGGGGGCACGAGTCAGGGAGGGCAGGAACATCTGTGCAGAAAAGGCTGCATCCCCCAAAAACTGCCTGTCTGCATAGAAAACAGGAGAACAAGAGAAGCTCCCAGCATCATCTTGAGGCCAAAGAAAACAAACCTGTTGAGGAGATGATGGGCAATGGGTTTGTTGATGACAACACCTCCCTCCTTCTTCAAAATCTCTTCCAAGGCCCTCAGACAGTTCACGACCACAATGGGGTCCTGGTCCCGAAGCAAACTGTACAGCTCGTTCACCAGAGCGCCATCTGCAAAGCACAGAGCTCCTGCCTTCAAGATCTGTTAGCACACCGCAATTTTCTCAGTCTTTCATTAATTACCTTTAATTACTTTCTCTCTCCTGCCCTGCAGCCACAACGCAGGGGCAGCGCAGGGACCCCAGGACAGCCCTAAGGGTTGTCAGGAACACAGCACCTGCAAATCCCCAACCCCACGGCCACCAGCCCCACGGCCACCAGCCACTCACCCACTTCGCAGTCCCCCTGCAGCTTCACCATCTTGGCACAGCCCAGCACGGCCACCCTGCGCACATAGGACGCCTTATCCCGCAGCCCGTTCACCAGCGGCTGCTGCAGGTACTCCTGGATCCCGGGCATCCTGCGGGAGGCCAGGCGGCCGTCAGCGGGGCACGGCGGCCGGGGACACCCCCCGGGCCGGCCCCAGCCCCGCACCTGAGGCCGCACATGGTGCGCAGGGCGAGCCCCCGCACGGCCGGGCTGGGGTGCGCGCAGTCCTTGCGCAGGGAGTTGACGGCGAGCAGCGCCAGCTGCGGCTGCCGCGGCGCCTGGGCGCGCACGTAGAACGACACCAGCTTCTTCTGCACCACGTCCGCCACCGCGCCCGCCTTCACCATCTCCGGGAACAGCCCCGACACGTCGGCGCCCTGCGACATCAGCCTGCGGCGGGCACGGGGCTCAGCGCGGCCCGGCCCCGCGCCCCCCGCCCGGCCCGGCCCGGCCCGGCCCGGCCGCCGTACCGGATCACGCGCAGCACGGCGCCGCGGTACCGCGCCGGGTCCGCCTGCACGTGCGGGTTCGACAGCGCCCGCCGGAGCTCCCGCTGCGCCTCCTCGCCGCCCAGGTACGGCATGGCCCCGCGCCGGTGCCGCTCCTAAGCGCCGGTGCCGCTCCGAGGCCTGGGACCCGCTGCCAGTCGCAGTCCCGATCCCGGGTCCCGGTTCTACCTCTAATCCCAGTCGCAGTCCCGACCCCGGGTCCCGGTTCCAGCCCTAATCCCAGTCACAGTCCCGATCCGGGGTCCCGGTTCCAGCCCTAATCCCAGTCTCAGTCCCGATCCCGGGTCCCGGTTCCAGCCCTAATCCCAGTCACAGTCCCGACCCCGGGTCCCGGTTCCAGCCCTAATCCCAGTCGCAGTCCCGGTCCCAGACCCCGGGATGCAGTCCCGTTCCCGATCCCGATCCCGATCCCGATCCCGTTCCCGATCCCGATCCCGTTCCCGATCCCGATCCCGATCCCGTTCCCGTTCCCGTTCCCGATCCCGTTCCCGATCCCGTTCCGCCCGCCGGCCCCACCGCCCCGCCCGCTAGCACCGCCCCGCCCCTGGCGCGCGGCCCGGCCCCGCCCCGCGCCGCTCGCGCGTGCGCGGCGCTTCCCGCCAAAAGCGGCGTGAGGGGAGCGGGTCCCCGACCGCCATGAGCGGGACGGTGCTGGCCGGGACCCCCATCGCCGTGGACTTCTGGAGCCTGCGGAGGGCGGCTGGCGCCCGCCTCTTCTTCCTGTCCCACATGCACTCGGACCACACGGTGGGGCTGTCCAGTACCTGGCACCGCCCGCTGTACTGCTCCCCCATCACCGCCCGCCTCCTGCACCACCGCCTGCAGGTAGGTGTGTCCCGCCTGGGCATCCCCAACCGTCACATCCCCACCCGCCTGTCCCTTGTCATCTGGCCTGCCCAGCCCTCATGCCTCGGCCCCTGCAGGTGCCGATGTGCTGGATCCGGCCGCTGGAGGTGGGGCAGAGCCATGTCGTGGGTGAGGTGACGGTGACGCTGATCGACTCCAACCACTGCCCTGGCTCCGTTATGTTCCTCTTTGAGGGCACCTTTGGCACCATCCTCTACACAGGTACAGGGCAGGTTCCTGCGATTACAGAATCACAAAATGGGTCAGGTTGGAAGGGACTGCAGTGGGTCAGCTGGTCCTGTTAGCGTTCAGGAACACACATAATCAGGGGATATGATTATATGCAGGTGCTTTTATTGAAAGAGCTCTGGGAAACGGGTACAGACCCAAATCGGAATCCGACATGACTTTTGAGCCGAACGTATTTTATATTCTATTGTTATATAACTTACATATTAATTATTAAACTTATATTGTTTTATTGTATACATTGATTTTATTCAAGCATGAATTTCTCATGATCTTTCTCAAGCCTCTGACTACAGTTTCTCATGATTATTCTTACAGTTAAACAGTAATTTAATTACTAAACAATCATCACATCTATTAATTATATAATTTATCATGTACCAGTTGCACAGGTGCAGTTCTAGCAAGGTACAAGGCCTACACTTTCCCAAGGTATTTTTTTCAGGGCCTACTAAGCTCAATTTTCCTTCTAACCCTAAATCCCCATGATTTTAAAACCCTTTTACTATCAGTCCCAATGCCTTGCTCAAGCAGGGTTGTCCCACAGCGCATGGCGCAGAATTGTGACCTGATGGTTCTGAAATATCCTCCGCGAGGGAAGCTCCACACCCTCTCTGGGCCCTGCCCTGCCATCCCTGTCCTTGCAGGAGATTTCCGCTACACGAGCGCCATGCAGGACGAGCCGGCGCTGAGGGGCCGCCACATCGACCGCCTGTACCTGGACAACACCCACTGCCAGCCCCAGCGGGCGCTGCCCTCGCGGGCGCTGGCCACCCGCCAGGCTGCCCACCTCATCCGTGCCCACCCGCAGCACCACGTGGTCATCGGTGAGTGCTGCCCTCCCTTCTGCCAGCACGGCCCCAGCACAGCCAGGGCTCGTGTCTCCCTGCGCTGTCCCTGAGCCGCTGCTCCCCCGGCAGGTGTGTACAGCCTGGGCAAGGAGACGCTGCTGGTGGACCTGGCGCTGGAGTTCAGCACGTGGGTGGTGGTGAGCCCCTGGCGCCTGGAGCAGATGCGGCTGCTGGGGCTGCCGGATGTGTTCACCGCCGAGGAGGGCACGGGCTGGATCCGTGCCGTGGACGTTGCCGAGATCTGCTGGGACGCGCTCGTCACCTGGAACGCGCAGCACCCCACCATTGCCATCATCCCCACGGGCAGGCCCGTGAAGGTCACCCACCCCAACATCCACCTCATCCCCTACTCGGATCACTCATCCTTCGAGGAGCTGCGGGAGTTTGTGAAGTGGCTGAAACCCTGCTCCGTCATTCCCATTGTGAAGGGCGAGATGTGCCAGGATTACTTTCAGGAATACCTGAGCTCTGCTCCCCAGGTACTTCCTGAATTCAAAGTCCCAAAGCCTGTGCACGAGTCTGGACAGCAGCAAAGCCAAAGGAGGGGGCAGAAACCCACAAGTCTCTGGAAAAGATCCCCGGGGAGTTCTGTGCCTCGAGGGGTCGTTTATGAATCCCCAGAGAAAAATACTGAGAAACCTGGAGCGTCTACAGGTGTTAAGGTTCCTCAGCACTGCTGTGAGCCAGGTCTCTGCACAAAAGAAGGCTGCACTTGTCACAGAGGTAAGAGGGAACAGCTGGGAAGAGCGGGAGCAGCACCTGTTTCTGGTGAGCACCTTGCAACTGGATTTGCAGAGCAGTATTCACTGAGTCCCTTAAATGTCCTAAAGGAGTTTTCTGCACAGAAGTTTGATCAGCTGGTAGAAGACTTTCTTCGGAAGGGAGACGCGCCCTGAAAAATTGTGTGACATTGCTGGTGCTAGTGCAGCAGGTAGCAGTGTTTCATTCTGCTCCATGCTCAGGTTTCCCATTAGGAGAAAGGAGCTCAGCTCTGGGGCTCTACTTTCTTTACCTCTTTATAGAGGACAAAGAGGAAACTAGAGCCAGTTTGTAGATGGTACTTCTTAAAAACTTAATTATTTTTTTTATCTCTACATCTGCTGTGTCCCCACACTACGCTGGGCACTGTGGTCCCACTCTCTGTGTGCCTTGTGTCCACCTTTTGCAGTGACTTGCCTGTCCCCTGTTAGAAAAGTCACTGAGAGGTTGATTCAAGCAGAGCTGCAGACACTGTGAGCTGTCTGCAGCTGAGTAATTGATAACTGGAATGTGATTAAAGGAGCAAGGGGGGAATCTGAGAGCCACAAAGATTCTCCTTTCTGTTAAGTTTATGATACTTCACTTAAGTTTATGATACAGAATGACTATGAGCAGTTCATTCCAAAGTGAATTATGAATGTCCTGTATTAATTAAAAATAATGCTTAAAGAAATGTAGAAAATAAAGTGCCTTGAAATCCAATATCTGTTAATGTACTAATACTTCCAGCTTTTACATCCAGCCAGCCAACTGCAGCTGGATGTTGTCCTGCTCTCCTGGAAGTGCCATCTCAATGCTAATTAGAAGTGCTTTTTCAGGTTTGTGGCTAGGAAAAGTAGGAATTTTCTGGGTTCTTGAGTTGTAGGCTTTGCAGAGTGGGTCACTAAATTCTCTGCAGTGTCTTGCACCTCTGAATTCTGTTTGATTGCAAAGCACTCCTGGTAACTACCAGTGTGCTGCCTGCTCTTGTCCTGCCGTGTCAAATGGAATGGGAGATAATAAAACATCAGCCTGGTGGTGTGAAGTGATCAGTCTGAGCAGCATTGTTTGCAAAGATTGTGACTGAACAGCAGAAGTGGCTCTGTTAGAGGCTGGGCACTTTCCCACTCTGGATCAGCTGCAGAGCCCTGGCTGGCACAGTTGGGAAGTGTCTGTAGTGTGACAAACCACTGCAGCTGACTGTGCCAAGCAGCACTGCCAGCATTTCAGATTGGCCCCTCATATGGTCAGGGCAGCTGGAGTGGAAATGGTCACTGGACACTGTCCTGGAACAACAAACCAGTTTGTTCCTCAGCTCTCTTGAGCCTCCTTTTGGTGCTGTCTAGGCAAAATGTTTCAGAATTTTCTGAACATAGTGTCCTACCGGGCCTTTCCAAGCGGCAGCTAGATGGATTGAATTCCCTGAATTGGGACAGAAAAGGAAGTTTGCTCTTGGAGGAGAGCCAGGCCTTGTGCAAAGCAAAGGTGCCCCTGGATGCCGCAGTCCCAAACAGCGCTGTCTGGAGCAGTCAGTGTCCACAGCCAGAGCGGGGACGTTTGGAAAGCTGTTTGGCAAACATGAATCCTGACTCCCAGCCCTGTACTTTCCCAGGCATGGCAATCTTTATCCCTGTTAGATGAGGAGTGCCTGTCCCTGGAACTGCTGTGGCTCTGCCTGCCAGCTGCCATGGGGACGTTGGAAGTGACAGAACAGTGTCCTGTGAGCTGCACACAGGGCAGCAAGGGCAGCTTGAGCCTCCTGCTGTGGGCACTGCTGTGTCCTGCTGCTTGGAGTTTTCTGTGTGGATGATTTCCTTATCAAACTCAACTGCAGAGCGCTGTCGGGTGGGTGTGAGTAGAGACACCTGCACGTTTTGTAACATGGAAATGACAGTGCTGTGCTTGTAGTGTGCTGGCTGCTGCTGCTGCCTGGGAGATGCAGGCTGTTATTTAAATATTGTTGAAATTCAAGTGACTCATTTGACAGGCAGGGAGTGAAGCACTGCCTGAACTCCCAAATTCCAGGTCCTGCTCTGAGCAGGCTCTGCACTGCTGGGGAAGAATGCTCACCTTCTGAGTCACTGCTCCACTTGGGCATGTTGCAAATAACCTGGGAGATCTGATGTTTTGTGGCATCCAGCCTTTCCTCTTTTATTCTTATCATCTATTTATTAAAGTCAATGAAGTGGAGAACCTCCTGGTCAGCCTCTGGGCAAAAAGGAGTTGTAAATGGTAATTCTTTACAGAGGTAAATCTGAGCTTTAATCATGCACAAACAAGTGAACATTGCAGACTTCAGAGTCTGGGGATCTGTGTCCCATTTCTGTGTGCTCAATTAAAGCTGCAGAATAAAATGCTGGCTTCACTTTCTAGAGCTGAAAATGTAATTTCTGTCACTTAAATAGGGAACCATCATGCTGAATCAGGGAAACCTAAAATTTCTCCGTGGCTTTAAAAGGCAATAGATGCAGGAGAGACTTGACCAACAGTTTGTTGGAGACCTTTGCCTCAGCGCAGCAGGTGCACAAGGCATTTTAGTGCCAAACATTTCTTCCCTGTTAGATGTTTAAATGCTACTTTTGTGTGCTATCTTAAAATTCTGAAAAATAAAATGTGGCCTTGTGGGGAAAATTGGAATTGCTGACTATTGGGGCTTCTGGACATCCTTCAGCTTCCCCTGAAGATGGGTTTGGTGATGGACCTGTCAATGCTGGGTTAATAGCTGGACTCTGTGATATTAAATGAATTTTCCAACCTAAAAGATTTCATGAAGTCTCCTGGCAGTAAATATTTGGCTCTTACAGGCCTTGTTCTCCCTCACACGTGTCTCCACGATTTCCCTCCTTTCCTGTCCCCCAGTCTGGCTCACAGGGGAGCAGCTGGAGTGTCATGGAAGCAACTCTGAGCCTGCTGCTCCCAGCTCACCTGCACTGCTGCCCACAGGTGTGCTTTGCCCACAACAGTGGCAAGGAGCAGCTGCAGCCCAGCAGTTGGGGATCTGAGGGCTGCACGCTTGGAAACTCCTGTTATCCTGCTTGGAAACTTCTGTTATCCTGCTAGGGAACAGAACGTGCTCCGAGCAAAGTCCTCCCAAATCTCTACACACAGAGCATGCTCCAGGTCTTATCTCTGCTCCACAGTTAGGAACCAAGCCCCAGTGGGGGAAGCAGCTAGGCCAAGGCCTTGCAGAGGAACAAGGAACAAGCTGAGTTCCCTTTGGCAAGTTTTCAGTGCTGTTTTACCGAGCTGTGATCAAATTCTGGTATGTTGTGAGGGCAGCTTCTGGAGCAGAGCTGCCTGGGGAGGGTCAGTCACTGCACTATGAACAGCTCAGGTGGCTCTGACTTCTCAGAACAGTAGGAAAGCAGAAGGAGAGCCCTGTTTATGCTGCGGAGAGGAGAAAATGCTCTCTAGGTTGTTGTCGAGAGGCAGAGGTAAAGCTTGCCTTGCTCCTGTGCTCCACAGAGACAAGTGTGTAATGTCACCTTGCAGGGAACATCCCAGAGCGCTGCTGGGCTGGGTTTCTGACTCTGTTTCCCCAATTACAAGGCCAAAGCACTTCCAACAACTTCTCCCTTCCCTGCTGCAGAGCTGCTCTCTGTTCTGCAGCACAGGGGCTTCTTTCCTAGATTAAAATCCTGCAATGGTGAAAGCTTTCCTTCACCAGAAAATGAATGAGTTTACATAATTAACAACACACTCTACAGTGTGTTGTTACTTTGGACTTACTCCAAAGCCTAAATGCTTTTTTGTGGAGTCTTCTGAAAAGGTCTAGAACATGTTGAAAAGGTTGAGTGACCTTGATCATTATGTGAGGTACTGCCTTCAAGTGAGCTCCTGTGTATGTTCTGTGTTTGTGATTCCTTCTGCTGAATTTGGGCTCTTTTGCCATGGCCACTGCTGTGCTGAAGTTCTCGCTGTGGCTTTGCCCTTGGCCAAGCCCCAGCCTGAGGCACAAGCAGCCATGGGTTATGCAATAAAACCTTTGGGACAGACCTTGACCAGGAGCTTCTTGGCTGGGACTTCGTGAGCAGATGCTGGGGGAGGTGAGGATCATGTTCCATGTGAACCTGCAGAGAATCCTGCCATGAGGACTGAGTCCTCCGTGCAGGACTGGGACCTGCCTGTCTCAGAGGCTGCAGAGCTCCTGGACAGTGTTTTGCTGGAGGAGGTTCACACTTGTGCTGCTGTTCATGTAAACAGGAAGCTGGGAGAGGTTTTATAGAATCACAGAATGGGTTATAAAAGATCATAAAGTTCCAAACCCTGCTGTGGGCACGGACAACTTCTACTACACCAGGTTGCTCCAAGCTCTGCCCAACCTGGCCTTGGACACTTCCAGGAATGGGGGAGCCATGGCTTCTCTGTGAATCTGTGCTGAGGCCTTACTACCCTCTGAATAAAGAATTTTTTCCCAATATCTAATCTCAACCTACTCTCAGTCTGAATTTTGTTAAGAGTATTTTTGTTATTTTTAAATGTTGTCAACTTTTGTACGAAAGCCAATAAATGTCTCTCTAACACTGACTTTGGAAAAGGCTGAATGGAAATTCTGTGGAGTTCTTGAGTGGGTGATGGTGACCTGATTGGACTAAATCCTTTCTTGGAATCATCTGGCCTGGTGCCACCTCCCTGTGCTGGCAGGGCCATCGCAGATCACACGGCACAGGATTGTGTCTAGATGGGTCTGGAACATCTCCAGTTAGGGAGACTGCGCACCCGCTCAGGGCACTCTGTTCCCTCACAGCAAAGAAATTCTTCCTCACGTTCAGGTGGAACTTCTGAGCACCAGTTCCTGCCCGTTGCTCTGGTGCCATCGCTGGGTCCCGGAGCAGAGCCTGGGCCTTGCTCTGACACCCGGAGCGTGGCCCGGCTGAGCTTCCCGTGCCCGGCCCGGTCCCGCTCGGTTGCCGGTGCTGTCCCGTTGGATTCCCCGGCCCGGTCCCGCTCGGTTGCCGGTGCTGTCCCGTTGGATTCCCCGGCCCGGTCCCGTTCCGTTCCCCGGCCCGGCCCGGTCCCGCTCGGTTGCCGGTGCTGTCGCGTTGGGTTCCCCGGCCCGGCCCGGTCCCGCTCGGTTGCCGGCGCAGTCCCGTTGGGTTCCCCGGCCCGGCCCGGCCCGGTCCCGCTCGGTTGCTGGCGCAGTCCTGTTGGGTTCCCCGGCCCGGTCCCGCTCGGTTGCCGGCGCTGTCCTGTTGGATTCCCCAGCCCGGTCCCGCTCGGTTGCCGGTGCTGTCCCGTTGGTTCCCCGGCCCGGTCCCGCTCGGTTGCCGGTGCTGTCCCGTTGGGTTCCCCGGCCCGGTCCCGCTCGGTTGCCGGTGCTGTCCCGTTGGGTTCCCCGGCCCGGTCCCGCTCGGTTGCCGGCGCAGTCCCGTTGGGTTCCCCGGCCCGGTCCCGCTCGGTTGCCGGCGCAGTCCCGCTGGGTTCCCCGGTCCGGTCCCGTTCCGTTCCCCGGCCCGGTCCCGCTCGGTTGCCGGTGCAGTCCCGCTGGGTTCCCCGGCCCGGTCCCGTTGGGTTCCCCGGCCCCGCCCCGCGGGTCCCGGCCCGGCCCCGGCGCTTCCCGCCCCGCCCCGCCCCGCGGTCACGTGCGCGCTCGCCCGCTCGGGGCTCGGCTGGCTCGGCCTGTGCGGGCGCTCGGGGCCCGGAGCGGCGGCGGGAGCGCGGCGGGGCCGGCGGCGCTCGGGCCCGGGGCGGCGGCGGCGGCGGGACGGGACGGGACGGGGCGGGGGGAGCCCGGCCGGGCCGTGAGGGCGCGGCGGAGCCTGGCGGCGGCGGCGGAGCGGCCTGGGGGCTCCCCCCGGCGAGCGCGGGCCGAGCGGGCCGGGCCGGCGGCCGTGGCGGGGCTATGATGAGCCCGCTGCGGGGCTCCGCACCCCCGCGTGTCCCCCAGGCAGGTCCGGCCCGCGGCTGAGAACCCCCCACCGGCGGTGAGTGCGGGCGGCGGGGCCCGGCGGGGCGGGCAGGCCCGGGCCCGCCCCTTCCCCCGCGCTGGGGCTGCGCCGGGCCGGGGCGGCGGCAGCGGGGCCGGGCCCGAGCCCCGGTAACGGCCCGGCCCGGCCCGGTGCGCTCCGCTGGCGGCGGGCCGGGCCCCGGGGGGAGGCTGGGCCTGCCGGGCTTGGGTTTCCCACCGACTCTGTTTTTACAGTGCCCAGGAAACGGGCTTGGGGACGGCAGCGTAATTCTCGCAGGGTCTTCCCACTTCCTGCGCTCCCCCAGCCTCCGCATTGTTTGCTCCAGTGCTAGGGGGGTTTTTTAGCTTGAGGAAAGGCGGCTCGGGAGTGACCTTATCACTCTCTGCAACTCCCTGAAAGGAGGGTGTAGCCAGGTGGGGGTCGGGCTCCTCTCCCGGGTAACGAACGGCAGGACGAGCACAGAGGGTTTAGCTGCGCCAGGGGAGGTTTAGGTTGGACAATAGGAAGAATTTCTTCACTCGTTAGACACTGGAATGGGAGGTGGTGGAGTCACCGTCCCTGTAGGTGTTTGAGGAACTGGACGTGGCACTGAGCACTCTGGTCTGAGTGGCAGAGTGGTATTTGGTCACCAGGTTGGACTCGATGATCTCAGAGGTCTTTCCAAGTGAATTGACTCTGTGATTCCTGTCGTGTCCTGGGACTCCTTTAGCCCTTAGAGATCTGGATAAAGAGCTGTGTGCTTCTCAAATGCAGTAATCCCACTGTACAGCCTCGCTCAGTGGTGCCTTTGGAGGCAGCAGTTACAGAGGTTCCCTTCCTCAGTGGTGGGCACCACATGGTGTTCAGAACAACACTGGGTTTTTGTCATTCTGGGTTTTATGCAGATAGAGGATCTTGTCCATCCCAACCTGCTGCCCATTATGAGTTCTCCTCTTCCTTTCCAGGTATGGCCTCACAGCTGCAGGTGTTCTCCCCTCCGTCAGTATCCTCGAGTGCCTTCTGCAGTGCCAAGAAACTGAAAGTGGAGCCGTCTGTCTGGGATGTTTCAGGACAGAGCAGTAGTGACAAGTATTATACCCACAGCAAAAACCTCCCAGCAGCTCAAGGGCAAGCCAGTTCCTCTCATCAGGTAGCCAATTTCAGCATCCCTGCCTACGACCAGAACCTCCTTCTCCCCGCTCCCTCCGTTGAGCACATCGTGGTCACCGCGGCCGACAGCACCGGCAGCAGCGCCACAGCGTCCTTCCAGAGCAGCCAGACCATCACCCACAGGAGCAACGTTTCTTTGCTGGAACCATACCAAAAATGTGGATTAAAAAGGAAAAGTGAAGAGGTTGACAGCAACGGTAGTGTGCAGATCATTGAGGAACATCCACCTCTCATGCTGCAAAACAGACCTGCGGTGGGTGCTGCGGCCACGACCACCACGGTCACCACGAAAAGCAGCAGCTCCAGTGGGGAGGGAGATTATCAGCTGGTCCAGCATGAGATCCTGTGCTCTATGACCAACAGCTATGAGGTCTTGGAATTCCTGGGACGAGGGACGTTCGGGCAGGTGGCGAAATGTTGGAAACGTAGCACGAAGGAGATTGTAGCCATCAAGATCCTGAAGAACCACCCTTCCTACGCCCGGCAGGGCCAGATCGAGGTGAGCATCCTGTCTCGCCTGAGCAGTGAGAATGCCGACGAGTACAACTTCGTCCGCTCCTACGAGTGCTTTCAACACAAGAATCATACATGCCTTGTCTTTGAGATGCTGGAACAGAACTTATACGATTTCTTAAAGCAAAACAAGTTCAGTCCGTTGCCCTTGAAATACATCCGGCCCATCCTGCAGCAAGTGGCTACTGCCTTGATGAAGCTGAAGAGCTTGGGTCTGATCCACGCTGATTTGAAGCCAGAGAACATCATGTTGGTGGATCCTGCACGCCAGCCCTACAGAGTGAAGGTGATAGACTTTGGGTCAGCCAGCCACGTGTCCAAGGCCGTGTGCTCCACGTACCTGCAGTCACGGTATTACAGGTAAGCACTGCTCTTTCTCACTGAACCAGGCTGATCCTGCTGGGGCTTCCTTCCACAGACACTGAGCTTTCCTGTCCAACCCCAGCTGAGGGGCAGCAGGAAATCATCAGCTCTGCATGTTTCCTGGAGATTTCTTCTGAAAGTTGGATGTAAATAAATAGAATATCTGCCTTAGGGTGGCCTAATCTGCAGCCCAGCACCTTCCTTTCCCCCCCGGGTCAGTGCACTAAGTTGATTTTACCCTGAACACTGTATGAAGTTGGCAAACTGGAGGAGTGTTAAGTAGTGCATTTGAGGCTGTCTGCTAGGATCTGAAACTAGTCCATTAACCTTGGACATTTAGAAAGGAGAGAAGTCAAAGGGGATGCCAATTTCTATTTGCTTTTGTTGCTTCTGATTCTTCATCTTTGTCTAACCCCCTTCAGGAGCACATGACTTCCTGTGTCAACCCTGGCTAAGTCATGCTTTCATGAGACCTGCAGCTCCCTTAGAGCAGTGATGAGAGATATCTCTGCTTCCCTTGGCAATATGTGGAGATGTCTTTTACCCTACTCCTGCCCAAGAATTAAAAATAAATTATGGCCAGAAACGTTAAAACTCAGAAACTGTGCGTAAAGCAAGCTGTGACTTTTTTTCAATTATTCCACCAGCTTGGCTCTGTTAAGTCTGTATTTGAATTTAAGTAGCAGCAGACTTCAATAAATGGATGCAGAAAGAACTTCTGGCTTCAAAGGGCAGTGAAGAGTTTGTGCTGTGTTGTCAGGGTTGCTTTGGGTGGAATGTGAGCTCACTTGACGCAAAACTCAGAACTAGTATCTAGTCCTTCCAGCTGGGACCAGACAGGACTGAGACACTCCACCCCACCCTGTGTTTCTGCCCTGTTTGATGTCTTCCCTGGCTGCTCACTTCAGTTTTAAAGCCTGGCTTATTGTAGGTTTGCTCTGCTCATCCCTCATGCTCCCTGTGTGCTTGCTCCCTTTGTTTTTGTGTTGTTTTTCTTTTTAACTAACACCCAGCACCAGCTTTCCATGACATTCCTTTCATGTGATACAGACTTTTCTTAATCCATTGCTCATGATCTTTGCTCAGCTTGTTGGCACCAATCTTTCCAATTCTAAACTATTGATTGCTGTGGGGTTTTTTTTTGTAGTGCAGTTGTCCCCTGTGCCCCACAGCTCTGTAAAAGACACTCACTCTCTAAAATACATCATCAGTTTTGTTGTTATTGCACAGAAAGAGGTGACCACTGGTCAAGAATCTCCTCTATCTGACTTGCCACATGTGTTAGCAAAGCAGTTTGGGGAGGCCCATGGTGCTCTCCATTTTCTGGTATCTCAGAAAACAGATTTAGCTGAGGAAAAGCAGTGAGGGGTGATAAGAATCTTCCAAGGGCTGCAGGGAGGGAAATTCCTGCTCCATCTTTGTGTGGGGCACTGGACTCCAGCCCCTTCAGCTCCCTGGGGTGGCTGACTCTGCCAGAAAGGCAAATAACCTGGGATTAGGTGGCGTTGGACTGTCTGCCTGGCTGGAGTGAAGAATGCTGTGATGTGGAAATGTAGTATTTAGTGATATGTTATTAGTCTAATAGTGATGATTACTAAAATCCATGATCTAGGATTAGATTCAGGTGCTGCCTGTGGGCCAGTGTGGAGCACAGACTGTAGGACTGGACAGTTTGGGCCATGAGAAGGTGGCCCTGAGCGCTGGGGGAGCTGCAGAGTGCAGGAATATCCATTTCTCACCTCTGCTTTGGGCTCCATGACCTACTTCTGTGCCAGCCATGCTGGCCTGGGGAGCAGCAGTGCCTGTGCCAAGTCTGACTCTGCTAATCCAGCTCCGTGCTGGCCCTGCTGCTCCCTGCATTGCTGCACTTGCCCAGGCCCTGTGTTCCCACCCTCCCAAAGCACAGCTGCAAGCATGGGGTGTTTGCAAATGCTGGGAGGGAGTCCTGCAGTTTTCTGGGGGCTGCTGTGAGTTCTTTCTCTTCTGAGAGTGCCTGAGTGTATTTGTCAGCTTTGGGAGGCAGTGCTTGGCAAGCATCTGTGCAAAGAGTGTTGTTGATTTTATTTCAAAGAGCTTAAGATGGTAAAATCACTTTAATCTCTGGCAGAGCAGCTATGGAAGTGACCTCTGCCTGCTGTCCTGGTTCAGCTCACATCTCATAAGGCTGCTAATTGCAGTGGTGGAAAAGGAGATGAGAGAAATTCTGATTTCCCAGCCCTGTCCTGCAGTCAGAATGAAATCAGGTGGCTCATGAGAAGTTCATTTGTTTAGTTGCATGGAATAGAATACAAGACTTCAACTTACTATCACATGGTATTGAGATTTAGGAATATGTGAGTCTTTTCCATCCTGGAGTGAAAGACCAACAAGCTGTCACCAATCTCAATTTCCAGTGGAATCGGTAGGGGGTTTTTAGCACACTAGAGAAGGATTAGCATGCTCTGCATATTCCACAACGCATCTATATTTTAGTTTGTTTGCCAGTGCAAATGCAGCATGCCTTATATGACAGGTCTGGGTCCTTTCTGAATTGTGAATTCCTACATCAGGATAATCAAAAGGGGCAGTGCAGTTTGCTGATGATGTCTCCTAAAGTAATGGCAAGGAGGGCTCCTGTGTAAATGTATGAATTGTACTTTTTCTCCTTGTGAAGAAAGAGATTCCTCTGGTTTGCAACTCTTAGCCTGTAGAAAATTATACCCATTCTAGCATATTTCCTTAAAATGTAAATGTTAGCAGGACAGTCAGCATTCACATATCAGCTACTGCTTGTACTTGCACAATCATTTTATATTTTCACATGTGAGAAACCTTTCCAAAGTCAACAACTGCCAGGATCAGCCAACCAAGAGCAACACTGATCTAGAAGCAGATCAGTGTTGAGTGGAGAGTGTCATTATCTCTTAGCTTGAACATTATGTCTTAGCTTGAATTATGTATTACCCTCATTACTGGAGGTGTATCATGGCTCTGGTTCTGGGGGCTCAGACATAATAAAATCTGAATAATAAAGAATAAATGTGACCTCACTGCAACAGGCAGCTGGTTCAGCTGTTTATCTTCTTTATAGAATCCCAGACTGGTTTGGCTTGGAAGGGAGCTTGAAGCTCATCTCATCCCACCCCTGCCATGGGCAGGGACACTTTCCACTATCCCAGGCTGCTCCAGGCTCCATCCAGCCTGTCCTTTTCTGATTTTGTGCTTTCTCAGGTGCCCTGTGCCTGAGCAGCTGGGCTGAGTGCCTTTGTTTTGGAGAGACCTGTGTAGACACCTAAAACAAAAGGTGTATCTGTGTCACCGTGGCACAACAAAGGGTGATTAATTGGGGAGTCACTTCTTGCAAACAGTTGGGAGGCTGAGGAGTCGAGGAGGGCAGTGTCAAATTTACTGACATCTGTACATTATGCAAGCCCTGGTTTTAGAATTCAGTAGAGGGACCAGAGCTGTTTTCAGAGCCTTTTTTAACAACTGAAGTATCCATAGTGTAACACCAGAAATGCCACACAAGCCCTGGGGCATGACCAGGAAATGGGTAGCCTGGAGTTTAGGGCTTTTCTGTCTTCCTTTGCTCTTGTGTTAGTTATTCATGATGAAGGTCAAGGCTTTTGTATTTCCTGTACTTTCCAGGGTGAATTCCCACAGCAGCTCACCTGGGGTTTGCAGCACCTGGGGTTTTGTGCTCTATGCAAATGTAGGACCAGAATTTCTCCTGCCGGAACAGCCTCAGTTTGTTTCAGAACTCTGTGTAGGTGAAGAGCTTTACTAAAACATCCTTCTGTGTTATGAGTCAGCTCCAGACAGAAATCTCCCTGAAATTCCAGCCTGTTAGAGAAGCAAACCCTGCTTGGAGTGTGAGGTTTTTTTATCACCTCCCCTTAAAGGCTGGGCCACACAGGTACCTTTTGCATTAGGTGTGGTTGGGTGCACAGAAACCTGAAACACAACCTCCAGCTGGGCTCTCTGCATCCATTTTAGACTCGAAACTCTGTGAGCAAACCCTGCATGAAAACCTGCTGATAGAAACCCAGCTGCTCTCTGAGGAGCTCCTTTTCCTGGCTCTGCAGGTGCTCTTCTTTCCCACATGAAGCAAGCAGCTTCCTGCAGCTGCTTACCTGGGGTCTCAAGACCTTCTCCTAGAAAAGTCTCTGTTTGCCAGAGCTTTTCTTGCCAATTCTGTTAGGATAGGCTGGAGTAGATGATCTTGAAGGTCTCTCCATAATTCTGTGGTGCTGTGTGCTGTCTCAGGGACGCCTCACATGCTGTCAAGTGTAATTAAACTGATTACTCAAGGAGAAGCTTTATGCAACTGTGATATAAAGGCCTCCTAGGAGCTGGGGGGCACCGTGGCAATAAAAGAATCCACCTAAGTGAAAAGAAAAGGTTGGGATCCATTAGGCCACCCAAGGAAACAACTTCTGCTTTAAAGTGAATAATTTATATCCACACAGATTTACTTGTGTGTAGAGGGGCTTTACCCAGAGTGGTTTACAGGGAAGAAATGCAGCTTTCAGAGTAGAAGATTGGACTTTGGTTTTTTCTTTCCTTTTCCCTTACCAGAGCTCCTGAGATCATCCTGGGTTTGCCGTTCTGTGAAGCCATTGACATGTGGTCACTGGGCTGTGTCATAGCTGAGCTGTTTCTGGGCTGGCCTCTGTATCCAGGAGCATCTGAGTATGACCAGGTGAGAGCATGTGGGGGATGTGGGATCTTCACATGAAACCATGATTTTCTGTGTTCAAACCCTCCTGGACCCCCGTGTCCTGCATCAGCTTTCATCAGTGCACATTGCTGCTGTCTGAGCGCATTTTCTCTCTGTGATACTCCCATTGTCTCTGGGCAGGGAGCACGGAGTTCTGTGTGTTTTCACTTGAGCTGAGTGTATCCTGTCCAAAAAAAAGGGGCCAGTTTGCAGTTAACCCCTGGTTTCCAAACCCAAAAACTGTAGAAACACCTTCCTGCCAAAGCAGAAGCGAGAGGTGTGTGTGTGTCCTGGTGTGAAACACCCTCTGTAATTTCACCATGAGGGCAGTTTTTCCATGTGGGGACTGAGCAAGCCTATCATTCCTGCCCTGTTAATACCTACAGCAACCCTGAGTTTTTATGCAAAGTGTGAGCCTCAAGCTGTCTTTGAAATCCAAGGGCAAGACTCTGAGAGGCATCTTGAACTAATTAGTCCTTTCTGTGGATACTTGGCATTATTACCTGGCCTAGTCAGTGCCTATAAAAGGACAAAAAGTCTGTGAGAGGGGTTTTTTTCCAGTGTAACTTTTCCACTGGGGCTTTTGTGGTGGGATCTTGTTGCAGTGCTTGGTAAGGTTTTATTATGTGATAAAATACATGAAAACTTACTAAGTGTCTTACATGTGTCTTCCCAGCACCGTAAATTTCCGAAGGAAACGCAGCAGTACCTTAATGAGCAGAATGAGTTAGAAAGTAGCTGAGGCAGGGCCTGGTGGTTTCCTTGTGCTCTGAGTTTTGTGTAATTCTGAGAACCTTATCTGCTGCTGTAGGTGGCTGGGGAGGAGCTGCTTTTTCCATTGCTTAATGACAGGATTTTGCAGCCCTCTGTGAGGCAGCTTGAGGTGTGACTTCATGGGGTTCATTTTGATGTCTGAATTTCCCTTGAAGACTGAGGATGACTTGGCTTGCATGTTTTTTGAGATTCTGCAGCAGCAAGTGAAAGTTGAGGTGGAACTTGTGAGAGGACCTCTCCAGGAATGAGTTCATGGGCTGGGATGGGATTTACAGCTATTTTTTAAAACATCTTTTGGCCGTAAAGCAGAGTTACATCCTGTAAAAATAAAACTGCTACCTGAACTACGGTGTAGATACAAGAAATATTCACGTGCAGGCACTTGGATCCACCTTGGCTTAATTGAAAAGTGAGCCCATAAATTCATGTGACCACAAGCTGTGACAGTGCCCTGTTTTGGCACAATGACATAGCAGGAGTTTGGCAAATAAGAAATGCTAAGGATATGTAAATGATCTGTAATTGATGGTTTGTTACCATCATAGTTACCTTAACACTGTGCAGTTATTAATAAATTTGCTATTTTCTTTCCTTTTTAGCATACCTTTTTATTTGTTATCTCTTTACCATCAATACCATCACAAGGATTCAGGTGCATCTTCCAAAATTCTGAGCCATATTTTTAACATGTGAAAATAAGTATATTAAATGTGTTTGGGGATATTTGGTCTTGGTTTCTTGGTCAGTGGGAGCTTTGCCATGATGTTATTCTGAAATTGTGGGCCTAGCATATTGTGTAAGCAGGCACAGCAGTGTTGCTTGGATAATCATGCCTTTAATTATTTATACATACATCATAAATTCTGTGGTATTTTCCCCCTCAAAACATGTATTTCTTAAACTGTTTATTGTCTTAAAAACCTACAGTCTGCTTGTATATACATTAGCCTAAAATATTTCCATAAAATAAGGAAGATGCATTTAAAACCTAAAATTTTTGCAAAAGTGATTGCAAAAGTGACTTTATAAATACTTGAGATGGTCCCTTTAATTTTGCATATCAGGGCAGTCTTTCTTTACAGGTAATTTCCTATTAGCTGTGAACAAACCTGGCTGTTAATTACCCCATTAGCTGTGAATTCTTCATGGTGGGGAGTCCTCACTCTTGTAATTTTCTTTCCTAGATTCGTTATATTTCACAAACTCAAGGCCTTCCAGCGGAGTATCTTCTCAGTGCAGGAACGAAAACAAGCAGGTTTTTTAACAGAGATCCAAATTTGGGATACCCACTGTGGAGGCTCAAGGTTTGTCTGTCTCTCCCATCCCCAATTCTCTTTTGTTCCTTGAGGATTTGATAGAAATTCCCAGCCAGTTTTGGCGTGCTGTGAAAACCTTGTGAGTGAGGATTTGAAAAGTGGCTGCCTGGGGGTGTGGGAGTGCAGGAGCTCTGCAGAGCTCCTGGTGCTGCTCTGACAAAAGCAGCAGTGGTGGTAGCACCAGCAAAGGCTGTTCCATCAGTGAGATAATGGGTGCTTATTATGGGCTGCTCATTCTCAGGGAAGTGTGTCACCCTGTTGTCATCTCCTGACAATCCAACCAGTAAAATATGGAGTATTTTGTGATGGGTTTGTTAGTTTAACAGGAATCTGGTTTTGGGTTGGCAGAGGACAGGAAAGAATGGGATTTAGGCCTGATTTGCCTTTGAGCAGCAAAAAGAAGGGAATTTTGCCTTTCTTCTTTGTAGAAGAGGGATTTAAAATATTTATAGCCTCTTCTCTTCCTAAATCAGAAACCTTCAGTTCTTTTGGCTAATGCACTACCCAAGGAAGCCTTGAAATGAAGTCATCCTGTTGTTAATTCAGCTTTGCAATGAGTGATCTTTCCAGCTGGGGGAATGGGATCCCAGGGCTCTTTGGGTTTGAGCTGCTGGTGTGTGGTGTGTCTGAAAGCAGCAATTGATTATCTGCCTCAGCAATTTCTTGCTGCTTTTTCCTTATCAATACTCAGTATCTCAGTTTATACTAATGTTTTCTTTTATAGACCCCAGAAGAACATGAGTTGGAAACAGGAATAAAATCAAAAGAAGCTCGGAAATATATATTCAACTGTTTGGATGATATGGCGCAGGTGTGTGGGGATCTTGGGACACAGAAAACTCATTAATTTTCCACATATAATTTAGTAACTTCCATTTTTTTGGGGCATCTCTAAAAATGAGGCTCCTGTGCTGGAACAGCCAGTCTTTTTCCACTGCCAGTTCAGAGCACTAATGGAGGTTTACAGTGGTGCCAATTTGCATCAGAAATCAGTGGATTAAAACCAGTCAAAATATTAATTATGAACCTGTTTGAAATGTTTTGTTTTCTTACGTGTGTTAGCAGAAGTGTGCCCAGCCTGCTCCCAGTATAGTAGAGCAGTAGGAGAGCTGAGCACCTTCACATGTGTTTGTAGGATTAAACCTCTTATTAGACTTTGGAAATAGTGACAAGAACTGCAGATCATTCTTATTTTCAGTCTCTCTTTAGAGGTAAAATGAAGGAATATCTGAGTGGTTTTAATATCATGAGGCCTTAAACCTTAAATATCAATTTTCTGTCACTTTTGTAGCTGTTACCCTCAGGTTACATCTGTGCAGAGAAAGTGGAATCATTCTGGCTTGCAGCCCCTTATAGATTCCCCTAAAACATGAGGGCATTTTGCCAGTGAGTGGAGAATGAAGCCTGGTTGGTCCCTTTGAATAAACCCAACTCCCTGTTGAGAAGAGAATTCCACGTGCAAGTTTGAGTTTCTCTGCTAGAATGAGCAAGGGAAAGGCAGAGTGTTAGCACTGTAATACCTGGAATGGGTCTGGCTAAGAGGCAGAAATGCTGGATAAATATTTCTGTGTGATGTGAGGTCATTGAATTGTTAGGCAGCAGTTAATTTGATGCTTGTGTGAACTGCTCCCATTTGATTTTCCAGGTGAATATGTCTACAGACTTAGAAGGGACTGACATGTTGGCAGAGAAGGCTGACCGAAGGGAATACATTGATTTGTTGAAGAAAATGTTGACAATTGATGCAGATAAGAGAATTACTCCACTGAAGACTTTGAACCATTCGTTTGTTACAATGGCACATCTGCTGGATTTCCCCCACAGTAACCAGTAAGCTCCCTTGGATCTGTTTCAGGATTTGTGGAATCACTGAGCAGCACTCCCCAGCTTTCTGTCAGTGCTATTTTCTGCAGTTCCTGGCTGATCTGAAAATAGCAATGGCATGTGTAAGGAATGGAATGTTCATAAGCTTCCTTTTCATGTTTTAGGACATTCTTTGTTGGTTTAAAAGAACCTAAACCTAAAGCAGGTGCATAAAGTTGGGAATCTGTCACATCTGTGTCCTGTTTTTACAAATCTGATGTTTTCCTTCTGTCATTCTGTTCCAGTGTGAAATCTTGCTTTCAGAACATGGAGATCTGCAAGAGAAGAGTTAACATGTACGATACAGTGAATCAGATCAAGAGCCCTTTCACCACTCACGTTGCTCCTAACACAAGCACAAACCTGACAATGAGCTTTAACAACCAGCTCAACACAGTACACAACCAGGTACAGCATCTTTCACCTATTTTATCCTAATCAAAGACATGGAGTAGGCTGATTTGGTGCCTTCAGGCCAAATTTTAAGCTGCTCTCCAAAATTCATAGTCTTGTCTCAAAGTCTAATTTTCCAAAACTCAGGCCAAGGAGCCTCTTTACTTCATGTATTGAAAATTTGTCAGTTCAGCAACATAAGTTAATTGGGTGCAATTCATGGGTTTTGTTCTGTGTTGTTTAATCATTTTACCTCAAACATTTTCCAGGTACTTTCCTCCTAGTTTAATATTGATGGTTCCTGTTGTTTGTTTTATAACAAAGAGAGATAAAATTACAGGCGATAAGTGATTTTTTTCTTTTTTCTAGGCCAGTGTGTTGGCTTCCAATTCCACTGCTGCTGCTACTCTTTCCCTGGCCAACTCAGATGTCTCCCTGCTCAACTACCAGTCTGCCCTGTACCCATCCTCTGCAGCCCCAGTGGCAGGAGTGGCTCAGCAGAGCGTTTCCCTGCAGCCTGGAACCACCCAGATCTGCACACAGACAGACCCCTTCCAGCAAACCTTCATTGTTTGTCCCCCTGCTTTTCAAAGTAAGCCAAGAACCCTTTGTGTGATGCTGAGGTTTCAGCCAGTTAAGGCAGGAGAAGCTGTGATTTGCAGCAAACTGAGAAAAGCCTGACTGGAGCAGAGCTCTCTGTGGGTGTCACACGGGGCTCTTGCATCAGGTGGAGGTGCAGAACCAGGTCAGACATGTGCAGGCAGCTTGATTCTCTTCCAGGTCGTGCTGGAACAGGTGACAGGATCTTGCCTGCCTTGGTTGCAGACTCCAGCTGGTTGCTCAACCAGTTTTTCCCCCCAAACTGAACACAGCAGCATTCCACAGAAAGCAGGGAACAGAGGAGCCAGACCTGCCTGAAAATCAGTGTGTCTTGCTGTGTTTGTTATCTCAGGAGTAAATATCTGGTGTTTGAGCCTCAGTTCACAACCTGGGTGCAGGTTTTTGCTACCAGCAGATTGTCACAGGTTGTGGGTCAGTGAGCTTGGCATAGGCAGCTCTGTTCATGCCTCTGCATCCTCAGGGTTCTGTAGTTATGTTGATACCTGGATTGTCTTAGTCTGGAGAGTTTTGTGACTGGGAACTGATGGTGCAAGGCTTGAATTTTGAGCTTGTCTCAAGCAGGTTGGAATGGAGAGTGTGTAACTGTTTCTGCAAACCAGGCTCCACAGAGCTGAGCTGGTGAGGGCTGGCTGTCCATCATGGCCCTGCAGGATCCCAGTGTGCAGAAGTATTTACTTCAGCTGGTGTTTTACTGGGATTTTGTCAAAGCTTTTCAATCCCTCAATCCTCTGCCCTTACCTAGCAGGAATTTGATTTTTGGAAACAAATGACAGAATAGTGCAGCAGCTTAGTGATGTGTCTTGTCCTCCACAGCTGGACTTCAGGCAACTACAAAGCATTCTGGGTTCCCAGTCAGGATGGAAAATGCTGTCCCAATTGTGCCACAAGCACCTGCAGCACAGCCACTGCAGATCCAGTCTGGAGTTCTCACACAGGTAAAAAAACCACCCCAAACCCCTCATAGGCTCAACTGCAATTCCACCATCCAGGAGAACCTGCCTGAATGCAGGGGGTTCTCAGGACACACTGAAAGGTTAAATGCAGGTCACTTCTCAGACAGTATTTTCTTGTTTTGCTTTGTTTTGTTTTCTGGAATATTTAAAGTCTGAACTATTTGATGTCATGTGCCTCCCTGGTTTTAGGAGTTTGATTTAATAATGGGAATAAATGTGTGGTTTTCAGCTGCTAAAACAGGCTATATTTTTCAGGCATGGACACTGCCTGTAAGGCAGTGCTGGTCATTTTTGCCTACACTTTAGAAACGTGGCAGGAGAAATCATTGCTGTGAGAAGTGAGAGCCTGGTAAACAGAGGTGACAACACAGATTACTCATGCTAAAATTTCATCTTTAAATCAACAAAATTATTTCTCAATCTTTCTCAGTTAGTTACATTCTTAGTGTAAATTATTATGTAGCAATGACATACCTCTTTCTGCAGTTTGCAGTTTAAGCAACACGCAATACCAAAATTCACAAATCATTCTAAAAATGCTGTTTTAAATATTAGTAATGTGTCATAAATTAAAGCCATTTTAATTTCCAGAAAGTAATCCTTTAATGTACAATAAGTGGTGATTCACAAGTTTTATTCACTGAAAATTTATAGTTGCCTTTATAATTAAGTGGTTTTTTATTTATTTGCATAGTTTTAGTTTCTAATGGCATTTACACAAACTCTGTTAGTTTTACTCTTCAGGCAGTATATTGCTCTTACTGACCTTGTAGAGGAGTAATTTTTAGTTTGTTCAGTCCAAATATTTAGGTGGCATTCTGTGATTGCTGGTTTCTTTAGCATTGATGATACAGGTCACAGTATCCAAAAAGCAGAATCCACTTGAGGGCCCACCTGAATCCAAGAGCGCAAATTGTGCCCCAAGAATCTAATTTAAATTAGACATTTGATGGAAGTAATACATGTCTGGGTGGTTTCATCACAGATAACTTTGCTGTTTCATGACACCAAAGACCTTCTGTGCCTTCCATGAAATCCCATAGTTTTACCTTTTCTCAAGAGTTCCATGTGTGGAATGGAAGTGCAGGGAGCTGCCCGGGGTGCAGTCTGTGCCATGGCTAGTGCAGCAGGGCTGTCACTTGCCCTCTGGGACCCAGTGAAGTGCCAGTAAAGTGCCAGCAGCTGAACTCACTCTGACTTTAGAAATGTGTCATCAGAGAGACATCCGTCCCCAGATTTTTCCCCAGCTCATTTTGACTTTTGAACTGTGTCATCGCAGAGGTCCTGTCCCCAAATTTTTCCCCGACTTGTTTTGGCTTTTGAAGTGTGTCACTGGAGATTCCCAGCTCCTCGTGCTCTCCTCGGGGCCGTGAGGGTGCCTGTGGAGCCGTGCAGGGTCTGGGTGTCGGTGTCAGTGTCGGTGCGTCCCTTCCAGCGCGGTGCCCCTCGCCCGGCGCACCGACCTGCACGTACCTGCCTCAGCTCGTGTGTTTCACTCACTGCCTGATCTACATTTCAGGGAAGCTGTACACCACTAATGGTAGCAACTCTTCATCCTCAAGTAGCCACCATCACGCCGCAGTATGCGGTGCCCTTTACCCTGAACTGCGCAGCCGGCCGGCCGGCGCTGGTCGAACAGACGGCTGCAGTACTGGTAATTGCCTCCCTTGATTGTGTTCACTAACTGAGTTTTTGTTTTAACTTAGACTTGCAGAGGGCATGGAAGCATGTGCCATCTTGTGGCTGTGTTCTTGCTACATCTTAATGTCTTGTTGTTTTCCTCCCCAACATTGCTGAAGCACTGTCTGACTCTGACGTTTAGCGTGGCTCTGTAAAGAATCCAGATCCATTGACTATTACCTTTGCTAGCCTAATATTGAAAGCTCTTCTAAACTAGACCCTAGAAGAGTCGTAATCATTCTTGTTCTTCACTTACTCTCCTATCTTTGCCTTTTGATTGTGGAATACAAAGGAATCAGTCTTTAGCTTGACTCTGCTACAGGTACCTGGATGGCCAGAATTTGACCTACTTGGCAAGTTAGCTCCATATTTTGTTTGCAACACGTGTAAAGCTGCTTTGTATGGAGAAATGTTTCAGATCATTAAGCATAGGCTAAAATCTCTAATGACAGCAAATCCTTTAATGTATTGCTCTAGCAGTTGATTTCTCTTAACCTCTCTTGAACATTGACAATTATTTTCTGGCCTTTTGTTATTTATAGCAAATCGCACATAGCTTGCTTCATCCAGATAAAGATTCTGTTCCTCACAGATACTTTCAGTTGATATGTATTTCTTGGTTGAAATTAAAGGTGAGCTCTAGTATCCAAAATGGCTATAGCTAGCTTTTAGGTCATTTGGAACGATTTTCAAAAAGGATGGGGGAAGGGAATGAACACACCTTTAAGAATTGTACGTTTGCAAAATTATCCTCTTCTGTATTCTGGCACCTGCATCAGAACAACTTTGCAAGTGCCACAAAGAAGTCATTGTAAAACTCCAGAATCAGATCAGTGAAGCTTATGAAAACATTGCAGTGCACTGAAGTGCTGGTATCCTCACATGTCCTTCAAAGCACATTCCATTGTGTGAACCATGTTGTTTCTTGTGGCTTTAAAGTGGTAGTTTGAATGTCATTTTCTTCTGAGAGGGAGAGCTCTGCTGAAGTGGAATTTGCTCGAGTCATACCTATCCTGAAATTTAAACCCACTCATTTGAGTTCTTGTGAACCAAGTGAGCTGCTCCCTGGTTCTGGGGATGGGAAGGCAGGAGAGTGGGATTCTCCTGGTCACAGCTCTGAGCTAAACAGACCCAGGAGTGCTTCTTCTTTCCTCCTGTTGAATTTTGATTGCTGAAAGGCTGCAATCTGGGCTCCAAAAACAGCAAGGGGTGACTATAGCAGGGCTTGGGACACAAGTGAGTTGGTGGTGATGTTTTCCAAAGTGTATTTGGGCTTTGATTCAACAGGCAAATTCTGTTCTGCTGTGTGTGTGCAGTGGACTTGAGGTTCAACTCCCCTGTACAGCAGTGGAGGTCAGAGCTGGCTGTCTCCAGACTCTGAGCCTGCATTCTGAGTTTCTCTGGAGGACTTGACTAGTTCTGTTTGGATTCTGGGAGCCTTTGGCGTGAATTTGCTCACCTTTAGTGCTTCCAACACTTCTCCCTTGCTGCTTCCCCTGAGTTTGCATTAGCCATTTGCTAAGCTTTGCATATTTTTGTCCTTCCTCTGTCAAAACAGTTCGTCGCTTGGAAGGCCCGATTTCTGCCTCTCATTGGGAATTTATATCTTGCTGTATTAAACTCTCTGCTTTGTCTTGTGCAGGTGTTGGCTTTTGGAAAGACGCATGGTGTGACTTTTAACATATTTCTCTTTTTATTTTTTATTTTTTCAATGTTATTGTTATTATTATTATTCCGCTTACGTTGGCAGAGGTTTTAGCAGCTCTCTGCTTTGAAGGCTTCTTGTTCGGATCTGGTATTTATTTGTACTAAGCGGATCTGTTGCTTGCAGAAATACTGAATTTGAAAAAACAAGTTTTGCAGTTTAAGTTGCATCAGAGAAAGCCATATATTATCAAAATCATGGAAATATTACGCTGTCAATTTTATTTGGATAAATTTGATAATATTAATGAATTGAACCTGCCTTCATGTAACTAAATTATCTCTCAGTGTGGCTTCTCTTAAATGCTTCAGTTGAAGTGGGTGAATTTCCACAATAATGCCACCATCTCAGCTCTCTCAACGTGAGCCCTGCAAGGCAGAAAAGCAGAAAGGACCAAACTGGTTTCATATTTTGGGACTTTTCAGCAGAACAGTGTGTAATTTATGTTGAGAAAGAGTCCCAAGCACCTGACAGTGCAATACCTGGCTTCATGTGCAGCACAATATAAATACTGTTTTCTCCAGGTGACAGCAGTGATAAAAGAGATCAGCAAAATATTGGGAAGCTAATTCCTCTGGTTTTTTTGTCCTTTGGAAAACATGCAAGGATAACCTGTATCTCTGCAAGCTAACAATCCACCCCAGTGCATTTATTGCTTGGAGAAATCTCTGCCTGCCCCTGCAGGAGCTGAAGCCTAGTGATCCTCGTGTCTGTGTTTGTTGTTTTGCAGCAGGCCTGGCCGGGGGGAACCCAGCAGATCCTGCTCCCTTCCACCTGGCAGCAGCTCCCAGGGGTTGCTTTGCACAACTCAGTCCAGCCAGCGGCCGTGATCCCAGAGACCATCGGCAGCAGCCAGCAGCTGGCTGACTGGAGGTAGGGATTGCAGGAGCTCCAGCTCCCTGCCAAGTGGGAATGCATCCATCACAGAGCCCACAGTGGCTCCCTTCCCCTCAGGGGCTTGCTGCAGCTCCTGGTTCCTGCATGTAGTCATGGGATTTGGGTCTCTTGTTTCTTCTGTGCTCCAGGAATGCACATTCCCATGGAAATCAGTACAGCACTCTCATGCAACAGCCATCTCTGCTGACCAACCACGTGACGTTGGCCACAGCACAGCCTCTGAATGTTGGGGTTGCTCATGTTGTGAGGCAGCAGCAGAGCAGCAATGTGCCAGCAAAGAAGAACAAGCAGCCAGCACCGAGCACAGCCAAGTAAGGATTCCATTGCTTCCTTTCCCAGTCCTAGAAAAGCCATGAGCTTGTTTGTGGAGGTTGCCTTTTGGTGTGAAAAAAGCATCTTCTGATCACAGAGGCATTGAGGGTGTAACTTTATTGTGATACAATTGCATTTAAAGATGTCTTGGAAAAAGCCTTTCTGCTGTTGTCGCTGATTTAAATTACATTAATTTCAATGAGTGCAAGGTCATGGTTGCTGAAGTGCTTTGCTGTCCTGATCAGAGGGGTTTTACACTCCTGGGGTGTTGGTGCTGTAGCAGTGCCAGTGACAGAAGTGCTGAAGGAGGGGTGGCAGTTTCTGGCAGTGTCCAGGTGGATCAGTGCCATTCAGAGCATCCCCCAGTGCCTTTGGCTGTGTCTGTGGCACTTTCTGTTTGAGTGTGTGCACTGAGGTTCTGTTCATGTATCTATGTTCATGCTTGCGTGTTCCTGATGCTGTTTGTCCGAGCCTGTGAGCTGGAGCTGAACCCTGCTGTGCTTTCCCTGCAGGCCCAGCTCCTCTCTAGAGCCTGTGCCCACCCAAGTGTACTCTCTGATCGGGAGCAGCCCCCTGCGCTCCACCTCCTCCTCCTCCAACGTGCTGGTCCCCGTGCAGGAGCAGCACCAGCCCATCGTCATCCCCGACACTCCGAGCCCCCCTGTCAGTGTCATCACCATCCGCAGTGACACCGACGAGGAGGAGGACAGCAAATACAAACCTGCCAGGTGGGATGTTCGTTTGGGCTGTGCTGGGCTCAGCTCATGCATCAGGGAGAGTGGGGAACACAATGTGGGAGCCCTGGGCAGGCTCAGAAGAGCTGCATAAGACACAATATTCCCCATCAGATCTCAGTGCTGTTGTGCCTGTAGTTAATCCGAGTTTTATCTGACAAGGAGGGAGGGTGTGAGATGCCAGAGAGAGATCTGTAATCTGGTGGGCAAAGCTAGAACGTTTCTCATTTGTATTTTGTCTTTTGTCCCCCTGCAGTCTGGGTATGAAGCAGAGATCCAACGTCATCAGCTACGTCACTGTCAACGACTCCCCTGACTCGGACTCGTCCCTGAGCAGCCCCTATGCCCCAGACCCCCTGTCCTCGCTCAGGAGCACTGGGGGGGCCCTGGAGCTGCCCAGCAGAGCTGCTGCTGACAGCTCCAGCTCCCGCACCATCATCGTGCCACCCCTCAAAATGCAGCTCAATGACTGCATCGTAGCCACCCAGGCTTCAGGTGGGTATCTCAGTGTGCTTTGCCAAGGCTCAGGTGCTCTCCTGTCCCTGTGACACATTCATCCTTGCAGTTTTGGACTTTCCACAGTGGGTCTTTCTCAGCTTTAGGTTTCACAGCTGCTGTTCTGAAAGCCTTGGTCTGTTTTCATAGTCATTGATAGATTCATCTTTCATTTACATTTGGCTGCATTTAGGAAGATCTGTAACCATTCCTGATGGTTTCTTAGTCATTAATTCTTAGTAATTAAAGCAAAGTCTGTGTGACAGAAACAGTCAGTTTGGTGCCCAGAGCTGGTTACCACCAGCCTGGGAGGGGGAGGAGGGGACTGAGCTTGTGGCATCTTGCAGGCATCCTGAGCAGCAGCAGTAAGAGCAAGCCAGTGGCCTCGGTGAGCGGGCAGTCGTCAGGATGCTGCATCACACCCACGGGGTACCGCTCCCACCGCGTGGTCACCAACGGCGTGCAGCCCCTCAACCTCAGCCAGGTGAGCCCACCTGCCTCTGCTGGCCTGGGGATGCTGCAGAGCTGCTTTAGGAACGTCTGAGGCAGGGAGGAAGGCTGCCTTGCAAGAGGATCAGGAGTTGAAAGAGCAACTTTGGAGCTGGTTCTGTCCTGGGGTGGTGCAGGGTAGGACACACTCTGTGGGGAGTACAGGGGGATTTCTCAAGGCAAGGGATTTGTTCCTGTAGCAGAGGGCAGGAGAAGGAAGTGTGGTTGTCTCCACAGTCTCTCTTTGTGCTCCTTGTCACACCTGACTTACAGCAGCTCCTTCCTGCCACTCAGGAGGGTGACACCAAGGTCCAGAGTAACTTTGAAGGCACAGTATGAGGAAATTCTTTAGTTCTTTACCTTTCTCTAGACCTCACAGAGTTCCAACCAACCAATAGGTTAAGACTGGACTTTCTCTCTCAAACTAACAATTGGCACCTGAGATCTTTGAATGTTTCAATTAGAAGATTGGTTTCACTTCATTTTGTGGCAGGACTTTTGATCTCTGGGTCACACTGCAGCAGCCTCTCAGAGGAGAGGGAGTTGTTACTCCTGCAGTTCACTTCTGGCATGGGCACCAGACAGGTTTTGTGGTGCTAAAACGGGGCAGCCCTGCTGCCACCCTCTCAATGTGCAGAGGAGTTGGTGTGTGAGGAGTTCTGGGGCTGGGTCAGATCTAGGACTTGCCCGGCTGTGGTACCTCCAAAGTGGCAGTTTGTCCCCACTGCGGAGGAAAAGTGTCACCTCTGTCCCCGTGGAAGTGCAGTCGCCTCCTCAGATCTGCAGGTGTGTCGGGGGGATGGAGGTGTCCATCAGGGGGCTCTGGCTGCCCCTTGCTCACCTGAGCACGACCACTAACCTCATTCCCTCCCTCCCCTTGCAGAACCAGCAAACCACAGTGCTGGCCTCCCAGGAGAGAAACGGCAACGCTGTCCCACGCCGGCAGCAAGCTTACGTGGCCCCCCTCACGTCAACGATTTCTCAGGCTCCCTACACGTTCCAGCACAGCAGCCCGGTGCATCCCCACCTGGCAGCAGCCACGGCCAGTGCCCACCTGCCCAGCCAGCCCCACATGTACACTTACGCCCCCAGCACTGCTGCCACGCTGGGCTCCACCACGTCCATCGCCCACCTGTTCTCCCCTCAGGGCTCGTCGCGCCACACCACCTACGCTGCCCACCCCAGCACCCTGGTGCACCAGGTCCCTGTCAGCGTGGGGCCCAGCCTGCTGACGTCTGCCAACGTCCCCCCCGCCCAGTACCAACACCAGTTCGCTCCCCAGTCCTATATTGGTGCTTCCAGAGGATCTGCTATTTACACTGGATACCCGCTGAGCCCCACCAAGATCAACCAGTACTCCTACTTGTAGTTCCCAGTGAAGCGCTGTCCTGCGAGGAGCCTGAGAGCTTGGAGAGGATTTCAGGTGAACCTTTGCCTGGGAGTGACTGCCTGGTTTGTGTTTCTCCCTGATCTGGTTGTATGTTGTTCCCAAATATCTCTGGTGAGTTCAGTCACTAACTGAGCAGCATGCTTTGTTACCAGTATGAGGGTCACTAATTAAGTTTTTAAAATTTTACTTACTTTTTATAGATGCTTTTAAAAAAATTCATGGTCACATTTATTTAAAATCATTCTGTTGTGCTAATCAAAAGGGGTGTCAAATCAGTGTCTCAACAGACAGATCCTGATGTCTTTTTTAACTTGTGTAACTTAAACAAAAAGATTTGCAGATTCTATTTTAGCAGCTTGCACAAATCCATGTTGCCACTAAAAATGTAGTGCATGTTTATCTCATTACGTTGCTGGGGCAGTTTTAAAATCAGATTTAGTATTTTAACATCTGTTCTCTAATTCACTTTGTCTTTAACAAATTGCTGGTTCTGAAAAGCCATTACATCTCCATATATGTTTCTGTCCAAGGTGTTTTGTTTACTCCTCTGCTTTGTTTAAGGACTGGTAGAGGCAGCTGCCTTATGCCAGCAACACAATACATTCAGTCCTGTCAACCCTGGAGTCTGCTTTGTTTTCTTGAAAATTCTCCATAACCCAGCTGGATTTTTGTTGTGTTCGTTGCAGAATTCTTCTAAGTGGTTCAAACTGTATTCAGGATCTCACTGTGTGACAGAGCTCAGCAGCTCTGTCAGGGTGTTGTTGTCTCCAGTTGAGAGTAAATAATGCAGCATTGCTCTAAAATTTGGTTTCTGCAGCTTATTAGATGCTGGCCCTATAATGGAGCTGGATTCCTTCACAGAAGCACAGGGCTTTGCTTTGTTCTGTTTTCCTTAATATTTTTGCCTCACGTGATTAATTTAGGAGGGAGATGAATTTGAAATACAATGAAACATCACTGTATTGATGTGTACAGCTTTTTATACTCCTGTGAGCGTATCCTCCTGGATATGTCAGCAGCTACTCTAAAGCGCTCTTAATAAGACTTGTAAACAGTACGTGCATGTAGGAATTGCAAGAAAAAAAAAAAAAAGAAAAAAAGAATACAAAAAAAGAGAAAGAAAAAGAAAAAAGGAAAAAAAATCCAGATTTTAAAGTTTATTACTGAATTTAAAACTATTTTAGAAGTTTTGTATTGGTGGTGTTTTAATATTTTACAGAAAATGAAATATGTACATATTGATTAGAAAAATATAACAAGCAAAACTTCCTGCTAACCCCAAATGTTCTGTCTTTGTAATCAAAATGTGTAGTGATTATACTTGAACTCTGTACTTAGTGTTTGTCTAATTCTTAAACGTTCCTGGGGATGGAAGTGTTGTATCCTTTGTATTTAAACCAAAATGAATTGATTCATGTTGGAATGTATGTGATATAATGCAATGGTTAGAGCTCATCACTGTAGCACTGAGAGAGGAGTAGAGCTTCACGAGAGGAAAGGATACCTTGGATTTGTTTTGCACAGGTATGTGTGATGAAGAGTTGTTTGGTGTGTCCCCTTATTGTAGTGCCTTAAATGATGATGTAGTGTGACTAGAGTTTACAGTGAGCTTGCCTTACGAGGGACCAGCAAGCCCCCGTCGAATTGAAGCAATTCACCCACCCAGCTCCCCCAGCCAGAGCAGCAGGATGGTGCAGAGCCCTCTCCCTGCCACCGCCTCATCCCAGCTCCGTTCTTGTTCCCAGTGAAGCGATGTCCCCTTGAAGCTTTCCCCTGAAATGGCACATGTACTGTTAGTGTCTGTCAGTGCATTTCGGATAAGGTAGTGCTGGGAATGCATTGGAATGTTTAGTCTAATATCGCAGAAGTGATTAAATACGTGCAATCACTTTTATTAGGTTTAGTGTAGCGTTACTTTCCCCCACAGGAATAGCAGATGTATCGTGTAAAATATTGCTAGCTTGGTGATAGAATATTTATACCAAAGAGAGCCTGCTGTAAAGCACATAATACCATTAAAAAGTTTTATAATGCTACTGCTAATGTGGAGTTGTTGGGAAGGTCTGTCAGCTGTAGCCCTAGTTAGCGTTCAGAGGAAATACTCACTTTGGATAATCAGTGCAGGTTTTGGACTACGCTTTGTTTTCTTGGGTCCCTTGTACTAGGAATTATTCCTCATCTAACACATAAAGTATCTTGTCCAAAAGGATGATATAAACTGGTTTGAGCAGTCGTGTTACTGCAGCAATAAGAGGTTTGCTAACCTTGAACCCCAGTTTATGTTCCGTCCCAGCGGGAAGGAGGCCAGTCCTGACCTGGCCGTGGCCAGAAACGCCCGAGCCATTTCTGCAAGCCCACGTTCCTGCTAGCAGGAAGGCTGGAGTGGCCTGAGGTGGAGGACGAGGGAGGGCTGCAGGGCTGTGGAGCTGGGCGGTAGCATTAGCCCCCGTTGATGTTCAGTGTGTTTGTAGTCGGAGCACTTCCGTGAGCGTGCGGAGAACCAACCTTGCTGTGCCACATCGTTGCTGCAAACGATGCTGTTTGTTGCTGTAGGCACTTTGTTGCTTTTTTTGACATTGCTTGTGTTCAGTACTTGCCTTGAGATACCTCTTGGGTACAGAGTTGTGCCTTTCCACCAAAAGGCAAACCAAGCTCCAACTCCCTGTTTCACAAATAGGACTTCATGGAAAACACTTCACAAAGAGGAAAAAGAAGAAAGACCTCTAGCAAAATCTGCTAATAATTTTGAGAACTTGCCCACTTTCCCTTAAAAAAAGGCAGCTTGAAATGTCCATTTCGAGGACCTCGTAACACAATTAATCCCAATCAAATATATTCCCAAAGCACGATGTCATCTCCACTGCCCGAGTTCCCGAAGTGTTGGAATGGGGAGGATGAGATGGAAGTGATGTAGGTAAAATCAAACGTGCTCCATTTGGAACAAGCTGTCAAATAATACCCCAGAATTCCTCTGTGATACACAGCAAACCCCACCCCAGCAGGGCCAGGGCCTCCCAGTCTGGCCCCAGTATATGATGCCAAATTTAGGTGTATTGTGTTCTGCTCTAAGGAGACACATCCCTTCTTCCCTTGCATACCCAGCCTCAAACTGGCTTCAAGAATTGACTCTCCTCATTGTCAGAGCCTGCTACACATTTTTGGAGAGAAGTCTGCTATCTCTGGATAGGAATTGGCATCCTTTAATTTTCTTCTCAACTAGTTTGGGATTCACCTTTGGAATATTTGATAGCCAGCCAGTGGTCCCAGCTAGGTTTGTCTGTGTGATTCTTGAGCTGTTCAATCAGTTTTCTCTTACCTGACCTGTATTTGCAGCTGTGATAGCCCCTGCAGAGGCAACTCCTGAGGCTTTCCTGCTTAGCACCTAATTGATGGGATGCAGTAATTTACCTCTGACTCAGCAATTTCTTTTAGTACATGAAACTAAATTGCTTCTAAATGACAGGATTGGCACAGCCCTGCTTTCTTTTTTTAAATTTTATTTAAACTTCTGAATGGTGCCGCATGTCCACATGGTTGTTTGTTGCTAAACTTTATATAATGTGTGATTTCAGATTCAGCTTGAACTATATCTATCTCACTACATGTAGCAGTACATTATATGTAATGTTAGTATTTCTGCTTGAATCCTTGATATTGCAATGGAATTCCTACTTTATTAAATGTATTTGATATGCTAGTTACTGTGTAAAATTTAACTTTCTTTTATGGTTGTGCTCTTCCTTTTTACAAGCCGCTAGATACAGGTAGTTTCTGACAATTACTGATCTATGTTTGTATTGCTGATGTACTTAGGGGGTATGTAAAAATCATTTTAACAAAAGAAATAGATATTTAAAAATTTAATACTAACTATATGGGAGAAGGGTCCATTGTGAAAACATAGTTTATCTTTGGATTCAATGTTTGTCTTTGGTTTTACAAAGTAGCTTGTATTTTAAGTATTTTCTACATAATATGGTAAAAATGTAGAACAATTGCAATGCATCAATAAAAAGGGTTAATTTTCTGTACTCTATTCATCTGGTCACTTGGTCTGTTATGGGGGGTGGGAGAGGAGTTTGGGGGTATCCAGCATGTGGTGTTGATGGTGCGGGAAGCAGATTTGGGATGCAGATTTGGGATGCAGATTTGGGATGCAGATTTGGGAAGCAGATTTGGGAAGCAGATTTGGGATGCAGATTTGGGATGCAGATTTGGGATGCAGTGGCACTAGGTGGCACACTCGCTGCATCGTGGCATCGTGGCCCTGGCTCCCATCGGCCTTGCCCCAGGAGCCCACAGCCAGTGCCCGCAGAGCCACCCGGCTTGGCTGCATCCCTGGCACAGAGCTGCAGTGTCCGTTCATCCATCCATTCATCCATGGATCTATCCATCCATTCATCATCCATCCATCATCCATCCATCCATCCATCCATCCATCCATCCATCCATCCATCCATCCATCCATCATCCATCCATCCATCCATCCATCCATCCATCCATCATCCATCCATCCATCCATCCATCCATCCCTTGGTCAAGCAGCCCCAAAGGCCAGCAAGTGGCCGGGCAGCCCCGGCTGAGGGCAGTGACCGACCTGCCATGTCCCACCCACCCCTGTCACCGATGGCTCTGCCCAGGGGACAGCAGCACAGGGGCCAGGCTGGGGGACACGGGCTCAGGGGGACACAGGTTTGGGGCCAGTGCCCGTGGTGCTGGTACTGTGCTGGCACCACCCCTGCCCAGGGGACAAACCCGCTGTGCTGTCCCTGTCCCTGCCCAGGGGACAAACCCACTGCCCCGGCTGATGTCACACAGAACACGTCACAGCGTTAATGGGGATGCAGATGTGGCTGCTCACAGCCGTTCCTCATTACCAGGAGTCAGGCAGTCAAAGGAAAATCCAGCAAACGAGAAGGGAAATGTTTTTCTTTGCTTCACGGACCGTGCTGACAGCACATCTGTGGTGCGTTACCTGCCAGCAAATAACTAAGGAGGTGTTTCCTCCCCTGGATGCAGCTTGGGGCTGAACGGGGATTTTTCTTCTCTGGGATCGTTTTGGAAAAACTCCGCTGCTCATTGCTCACTGCCAGCCTCAGCACAAATAAGGAGCTTGGGGCAGGAGGACCAGGAGGCTCTCCCCGAGCCTGTGAGTGACAGTTCTCCCCACCCTGATGGAGATTTCGGCTCCGTGGGTGTCCACGGCTCCAGAGGCTTGGTGGAGCCTGCAGCTCATCCCCTCCCAGCCCTGGCAGGCAGCGGGGACAGAGGAGCACAGCACTCCTGCAATGAAGGCTGGAGCACCAGGATGGGGGGGACCCCCTGGCCCCCCGGGCTGTGGGGCGGCCTCTGACCTCCCCGTGCTGCTCCTGGCCGTGCTGGGGCTCCTCAGCGTTCCTGAGGCTCGCGGTGAGTACGGGGCATGGGAAGGACCAGGGACACCTGCCTGGATCCCAGCTCGGGGCTGGGCTGGGGGATGCCACCCCCGAGCCTGGGGTCAGTGCTGTCACAGACCCAGCCCTGGCTGAGCCATCCCAGCCCCGCTCCTGGGGCAGGGAAGGGGCTCCTCACCTGAGGAGGTGTTCTCCTGCCCCAGGTGACTGCGGGCCCCCTCCTGCCATGACCCACGCCAGGCCCTCCAGCAGCTCCAGCAGCTTCCCGGTGGGATCCAGGGTGGTGTTCACCTGTGCCGAGGGTGCCCGCAGGATCCCGGGGCTGCCAGACACCGTGTTGTGCCTGCCCGGCGACATCTGGTCCCGTCTGCCCGATCCCTGCGGCTGTAAATACCCTTTTATACCTGAAACACAGCCCGGGGTGGCATCCCTGTCCCTCCTGCTGGCTGCCCTGTGCTGGCACTGTCCCTATCCCTGCCCAGGAGACAAATCCCCTGTGCTGGCACTGTCCCTGTCCCCAGGGGACAAACCCGCTGTGCTGGCACTGTCCCTGTCCCCTGGCCCACAGGGCTGGCAGAGGGGTCAGTCGGGGGTGGGTCTGGGGACTCCTGTGCCCCCCAGCCCATACATGAACTCCCCATGTCCTGCTGACCCCTCCCCGGGCTCCTAACGCCCCTCCATCCCCGCTCTGGTGCCTGCAGCAGGTTGGCAGCCTGGCAAGGAACCCAAATTCGCCTGCCACGGGCACCAGGAGCTCTCCAGAAGCATCCCTGCGGTCCCGGGGAGTATTTGGGCAGCTCCTGGTGGGCAGCTCTGTCCTTTCCTTGGCTGCCAGGGAGCTGCTCTGTCCCACCCAGGCTGAGGTTTGCTGCCCTGTCCAAGGAGGATGAGAGGAGGAATTTTTTCCCTGTTGGCACCAACGTGAGCTACATCTGCCGGCCTGGCTATGAGAACACCTCGGAGAGTTCCCCCTCCAGCACTTGCCTCGAGAACCTGACGTGGTCACAGCCTGCTGAGCTGTGCAGGAGTGAGTATTTCTGCTGCCCCAACACCCCAAAAAAGCAGCCCTGGCTGCTCCCAACCTGCATCCCAAAATGCAGCCTGGTCATTATCATCCCAACAGCTCCATTAACACGAAATTGGGTGGATATTCTTGTCATTCCTATTTCAGGTTGAACAGCAGAAGTATCAGTGATGTTCTTTCTGGTTTTCCTGCTGTCATTAACGGATCTGGTTTGATTTTCATGCTAGGGAATGTTTGGTTGGGCTCAGTGATCTTAGAGGTCTTTTCCAACCTTTTTGAGGTCCTAAAGATGTTTTCAGTGGGACATGGCACAGGCATGGGACACATCCCCATTTGCTGTTCTAACACTGAACCTCAACATGAAGGCAAAGAATTCTCTTGGTGACACCCATGGAATATTGAGACTGGTGATGTGACAGGAATATTTTTTCACAGTTGAGTTTCTAATCCACTGAGATGGAAACCCCTGTGTGGGTGTGGAGCACTGGGGGATCCCCACCTTGCCCTACAGCTGAGTCTGGCTCCTGCCAACCTGGCTGTGATGCCCACGGAGTAAAATGCTCCGGAATCTTTGGGAATATCCCTCCAAGCCTGTGTCTCGTGTCCCATTCAGCCTTTTTTGTGCCCCCAGGGAGGTCCTGTGGCACCCCGGGAGCGCTGCCCGGGGGGAGGATGGGGCCCCTGATGGACCTGCATCTGGGAGCACGAGTGGAAGTGTTCTGTGAGCCTGGGTGAGTGCTGGAACACGGCTCCAGAGGGGCACACAGCTGGAGGGAGGCCACCAGGGTCAGGATTCAGGGTCACATTTTCCTCCGAGTGCCACCCAGAGGAGCGCTGAGTGTCCATCCCAACAGGAGCAGTTGGTTGTACTCTCTGCTGATAACTCTAGACTTCAATACAAGTTATGTAAAATATTTCAGCTTAAGATAGTTGAGATATATTGGAAAAAAAAAAGGGGTTACATTGAGATTTCTAAAATCCATTAAAGTTCAGCTGGAAAAGTGCAGTGAAGCACAATTTCCACAGTCAGGAGCTGACTCATGGCTGCTGCCTGCTTTCAATCAGGGCCCAAATGGAGTGAACAGCCCTGACATTTTAATCTCTTGCCACTCCAGCCAGTGTTCCTCCCTCCCAGCAGGAAGCAGCTGGCATCATCTGGCTGGCGCTGCCCAGCTCCAAATGCAGCAGAGGGGTTTTGTCTCTCCCCTGGGATGTAATTGGAGGAAACGAGAGCGTGTCCCACCCTGCTGGGGCTGAGCTAAACTTTGGAAACCCACTTCAGGGTGGAGGATTATGTTGCTCATGTAAGTTAGATCAGATATTATCCATCCTGGCCAGATGCTGAGGGTTTCTGCACAGGAGGGTGATTCAGAATGGAGAAGGTGTCAGCTGTCAGAACACAATCCCTGAGCTTCCAGCAAACCATGCAGGAGCCACTTTAATTAAATGTGGATTGATCCCTGCTGCCCCTCGCTGCTCCTGGAGCACATGGAGGATCCCATGAATCCCAGAATCCCAGACTGGACTGGGTTGGAAGTGACCTTAAAACTCATCCAGTGCCACCCCTGGCAGGGAGAGGTGTCCGTGGCAGGGACACCTCTCACTGTCCCAGGTGGCTTCTCCCATGTCACCTCACCCCCGAGGTGACAGCAGCGAGGGAAAGGCCCTGGATGGGGACAGGGGCAATCCCAGCCCTGCTGTGGGCCAGGAGCAGGCAGGGATGGAGCCCCTGGTCAGCACATCCCTGTGGGAATCCATCCCTCAGCTCAGCCCTGACTGGCATTCCCAGAGAATTCTGCCAGCCTCAGCTCCAAATTCTCCCTTCCCTGCCATGGGAAATGCAGAGTCAGAGCAGAGAACACCAAAAATAGATGAGCACAGATCCTGACAGGAGTTTTCCTGTTAACCAGCAGTGTCAGCATCACTGCTGGTTTAAAACTGCCTTTCCTACACTCCTGATCATGCTCGTGCTGGGGGTGGGAGGGAAACATTCCCAGGCTTTGGATACTTACACTGATTTTCTCTCGTGTGTTTTAGGTACAAATTAGTTGGGAATAATTTCATCTGGTGCCAGCTGGAAGGAAACGATGTTGAATGGAGCAAACTTCCAACTTGTGAATGTGAGATTCATCTTAAATTGTGAGGTTAAACCTTTTTACTTCACCCCAGCAGATCCTGCATCCCGATGTCCAGTCCAAACCTCTCTTTGGATTGTTTTTGTTGCAACTCTGTGGTTGATCTGTCCCCAAGAGCACAGCTGAGAAATGCCCATTCTGCTGCTATTTCAGCAGCTTTGTTCCCACAAAATCAACATTTTTGTCATGACGGAAGAGGATGGGGTGAGATTTCCAGGAATCCTGAGCGTGGCAAGCTGCTGTTTATTTGTTGTGGCAAATAAAGAGAGGGAGAGGGAAAAAAGTGTGAGGAGAGAAACACTTGGGGAACAAACCAGAGAGAACTGGGGCAGGCAGCCGTGCTTTACCCACCCGCACTGTCCAAAGCTTGTCCTCAAGAACCTTAGGCAGACTCAAACATTTTGTATTTTTTATTAAAAACGAAGCTTTTAGCAAACACATTGTCCTTCCCTCCTGCAGTAATTACCTGCTCTCCACCTCCTCCAATCAGCCACGGGAGACACGATGGGGAAGGCATTGAGATTTTTCCTTATAACTCCACGGTGACCTACAGCTGTGATCCCAAATTCCAGCTGGTTGGGAATGGGAGCATCCAGTGTGGGAGCAGGGACAAAACCAGCGGGGTCTGGAGCGGAGCCACGCCCGAGTGCAAAGGTGGTTTCATCCCAGTTCGGTGGCTGATGTTATTTATTATTTATCATTTATCATTTATCATTTATCATTTATCATTTAGTGTTTAGTATCTGTTATTTATTATTTATCATTTATTGTTTAATAATTAATTTTAGGCATTAGTTATTATGTAATGTTTATTGTTTAATATTTACTGTTTCTTATTTAATATTTATTGTTTACTATTTATGGTTTATTATTTAATGTTTATTATTTACTGTTTACCATTTACTGTTTATTACTTAGTACTTATGGCTTAGTATTTATTACTTAGCATTTATTACTCATTATTTACTACTTAGTATTTAGTACTAGTTTGGTATTCAGGGTGAACCAGCTTAAAATATTGTGGGTAGGAAGTGCAGGAGGGGTCAAATGTCAGTGGTAAGGAAATTTCAAAGGGAAAAAGGCAGTGCTGGGCAGGGACTGAGGGGCTCTGGAGGAAGGAGGGGTGCCCCAGCAATGCTCCCTCTTTGTGCCCCAGAGAAAAGCTCAGCTGCCAGACTCGGAGCAAAAGCCACGGAGAGGAGAGCTCCTCCCAAAAGTGAGTTTGAATGACTCCACACTGAACCACATCCCATTTCTTTCGCTCCTTTATCACATTTCTAGGAAAGGCCACCCTGTGAATCTCACCCCGTGAATTCTATTTTCTCAGGTCCCCAGGGAAATGGAACCCAGCCCTCTAAAAAGGCTCTCACGTGGGAGAGGAAGCTCAGCCTCTATAAAAAGGCGCTCCAAAACACCATCTCCCCCTCCCAGTCCTCCTCTTTCCTCAGGAAACCAGGTCAGTCCTGGAGGGACAACATCAGTGGCACTTCCTGCTTATTCCCATCCCCAAAACCTGGAATTTTCATTTTCCCCCCCATATTTCTCTTCAGTGAGCACGAACTGGGCTGCCTCAGAGTTCAGATTTGTTCTACCTTTGTACAAATCCCCAAAATCCTATTCTGTGTTCAGCAAAGGATCCGTGTGTCCTCCGAAGTACATGGGGATCCTTCCCCCACCTGGCTGCTTTCAGAAGTTAAAATGGCCCAAATTTCCATCATTTTGTGGAAGTGAGTGGGGTTTCTTGTCATGTTCTTTTCCTCTGTAAGTTTTCTCTGTATAATTTATAGTTTTTGCTGGTTGGGCATCTGGTTCACAGCTCAGCTTTGACTGCACCAATCTCCTCATAAAAAGCTTTGCTTTGAAATACGTTTTAATTTATCAATTATTTCATTGCCTTCACGTATCACAGATTTATTTTTCTTAACTCATTTTTTGGGCATTCTGAAAAGCAAGAGAGAACTTTGTACCACACAGCCCTGGGAGTGCCAGGGCTCCGAGGTGCTGATGCCAACCTTGCTCCCCACAGGGAGGTCATGCACAGCCAGGAGAAGCTGGACGTGGTGGAAATTCTGGCCCTCCAAATTCCCCACCCGCTGCAGAGGATAATTTCATCCATGAAAAGGGTTAGTGGTGGCTTTGTGGGAAGTGCTGGGAGCTGCAATTGTGTCACTGTAAGTGAGGAAGGCACAACACCCGCTGGAGGATCTCAAAACCCAACTGGGGGATGGTGAAAAGTGTTCCTCTGGTGTCAGGGTCAAGCTGAGTTTGCCCATCCCTGAGTTTTGTCTTTTGGGTCAAAACCAGAAAATCTTTTACCATTCCTGATCTGTTCCAGAAGTGGTCACACTTATTAGGACTCTTTCACCTTGCTTTAAGGTAAAGGATGACCTAAATCAGGTCTGTCCCACCTATAAGATGCAATTTTTTAAAGATGATGTTTTAACATCCCAAGAAATCGATGGAGAATTATTCCTAAAAGCATTGGCTGATTTCCACATTTGCTCCTCCCGTTTGATTTTTCCTTTCAGTGCTTGCCTCGCAGCATCCTGAGCCAGCTGTGATTCCTGCTGATCCCACCAGGGTTTGGAGGCTGCGCTGTCCCAGAACCGCCGGAGCTGCTGCAGAATTCCCCGGCTGTCCCGCCCAGCCTGACGCTGTGTTTCCAGGTTTTCTCCTCGCTGGCAACACCACAACAAACCCTAAACACAGCCCCAGCCTCCCTGCGGGGCTGAGCTGCTCCCTTAACTTCCCTGCAATTCCTGGCTGCTGGATCCAGTTGTGGATCCAGCTGCCAGCAGGGAAAAGCAAAGCAAGGACTTCCCTGTCCTGCAGAGTTTTAGCTCATTTCTTTTAGGAAACCACGGTACTTGGGATATTACACTGTTTAATCTTTATATCTTGAGTGGTTTAAGCCCTTTCTTTAGCAAAAGCTTCTTCTTGTATCAGCCCAAAGTTCCTTGCAGTTTTTATTTCTACCACAGGAAGATAAAGCCAGTGTGGGCCGGGCATCTCTGATCTCGTAACCTCAAGGAGCCACTTCTGCTTTCCAGAGGGAGGGAGGCAGCCCAGTCCCGCCGTGAGCACGTCAAACACGCACAGACACAGAAACACAACTCCTAAATATCCTCCCCAGCGTTGTCACCCTGCAACACAGGGACTGGAAAAGTCATGTGTGTTCTTTTGGCTGCCTACCCCAATTTTATCCTGTAAAGACCTAAAACTCCCAAAGTCTTTCTGGGTTTTTATTTCTATTTAGGAATAAATGGTAATTGTTTATAAAGGGTACCCTGTGAATTCAACTCCCCCGCTGTTTTCTCATCACATTTTACTCTCTTTTTTAAGAAGCTTTAAGGTATATCCTGGCAGAGCTCAGATTCAACGTTCTGTCAGTTCTTTGTCACTCCGAACATTTATTTTCTAAATGTCATCCACAGCAATATAAACTTGGCTACATATTTTTACCAAGTAGTAAAGGAGGAAAGCAGGAATGTGTGGGAAGTGGTCTGGAAAAGGCAGTGGAAGTTAAACCTCCCCTAATCCTGTTCAGCCACCCCGAGACTGAGCCCTGCAGCCCCTGAGTTGAGGCTCAGCCCAGGCAGACCCAGGGCTCGGTCCCAGGAGGTTTTGGGAGCTGAGGCTCAGCCCAGGCAGACCCAGGGCTCGGTCCCAGGAGGTTTTGGGAGCTGAGGCTCAGCCCAGGCAGACCCAGGGCTCGGTCCCAGGAGGTTTTGGGAGCTGAGGCTCAGCCCAGGCAGACCCAGGGCTTGGTCCCAGGAGGTTTTGGGAGCTGAGGCTCAGCCCAAGCAGAGCCAGGGCTCGGTCCCAGGAGGTTTTGGGAGCTGAGGCTCAGCCCAGGCAGAGCCAGGGCTCGGTCCCAGGAGGTTTTGGGAGCTGAGGCTGAGTTCCTGTGGAATTCCCAAAAGCTCCAGCGCTGTTTTTGCTGGCAGGTTTTGCCGGCCCCCTCCCGCTGCCCAGCCCAGCAGGCTCAGGCTGCTCTCGGTGCCAGGTGGCCGGGCAGATAAAGGCGGTGGCCCTCGGTGGCCAGGCAGGCACGGAGCTGCTATCGTGGGGCTCAGCTGCCGCCCGGGAGGAGCCGCTGCTCCTTCAGCTCCTGCGGCAAAACGGGGCAGCAGATGTGGGCGCAGAGGGGCAGGGCTGAGCCCGGTGCCCGGGCAGGGGGCACAGATCTCTCCTGTTCCCTCCTCAAGCAGAAACAGCCTGGCTCAAAGGTTCAGCCTGTGAGCAAGGGCGTTTCACCCAGCTGAAGCTGCAGCTCTTGGTTCTGTGAGCGCAGCCACTCCCTGCGGGGGCTCAGCATCGCGCGGAGTCTTTGCCAAATACTTTTCAGCATCTTCCTGCCCCGTGCCAAGGTCACTGCCCCAAGCTAATACAGGAGAATTCCCCAGAATTGGAAGGTGGTTTGTTTTTTCTGCCTGTTAACAGATTCCTTCTGCCTTATGCAGCCACCATCCCCACTCAGGCCGGTGAGCTGTAAAAATGCAGCCAAAGTATCTCCGTGGAATTTGTCGCGTTCACAAGGAAGCGTTTCATAGGAATACGTTATCCAAGGTGCTGGATTCCTTCCTTAGGAAAACACCTCCGCGTCTCATTGCAAATGTCTTTGTTACATCTGATTCGAACTTAAATTGTATTGGAAAGGAAAATAAAGTGGAAATTAAAAAAAATTACTAAAGTAAAAGTGTGCTGCTCAGTGGAAACATCGCTGTTTCCTGGATAACAAGGGGAAACAGGAAGGTGCGGGTCGGCTGCTGCTGGCTGCCCTCTCCTCGGACCGGGAGGACACATTGCCCTTCCTGCCCTTTTTGGTTTGGGTATTTTCCTTTCCTTTGGGACTTGGCAGCTTTGGAGGGAGGGGGATCTTCCCTGGAAGGTGCAGAGGAAGGCGGGGAAGGAGAGGCTGAGGCAGCGGTTCCCGGACAGCCTCTCCATGGGATGCCAGGCGTGACTGGCACGGCTCACCCCGCTCGTCCCACACCCAGCCCCGCTCCCCGCTCCCCGCTCCCGGCTGTCGTCAGAGCCTTCCCGGAGCCGGGCTGGGCTCAGCGGGGCTGGGCTGGCCGGAGGGGCGGGCGGGGGCTCCGCGGAGCTCGGAGCAGCCCCGCGGGAGTGGCTGCGCTGCCCGGGCAGTCCCGGGGCCCCGCGATGGGCTCCGGCCGCCGCTGCTCGCTCCTGCTGCTGCTCCCGGCGCTGCTGGTGCTGCCCGCGGCGTGGGGTGAGCCCCTGCGGAGGGGTGGGGGCTGCGGGGAGCCCGGCACTGCCGGGGTGCTGCGGGAGAGCTCTCCGCGGCCGCGGGTGGGGTGTGCGAGTGTGGGATCCGTGTGCTATCCACGGAAGCGTGGGTTATCCATGGGAGTGTGGGTTATCTGTGGGAGTGTGGGTTATCCATGGGAGTGTGGGTTATCTGTGGGAGTGTGGGTTATCTGGGAGTGTGGGTTATCCATGGGAGTGTGGGTTATCCATGGGACCATGGGTTATCAATGGGAGTGTGGGTTATCAATGGGAGTGTGGGTTATCCATGGGAGTGTGGGTTATCCATGGGAGTGTGGGTTATCCATGGGAGTGTGGGTTATCCATGGGAGTGTGGGTTATCCATGGGAGTGTGGGTTATCCGTGGGAGCATGGGTTACCCGTGGGAGTGTGGGTTATCCGTGGGAGCGTGGGTTATCTGGGAGTGAGGGTTATCCGTGGGAGTGTGGGTTATCCGTGGGAGTGTGGGTTATCCGTGGGAGCATGGGTTATCCATGGGAATGTGGGTTATCCTTGGGAATGTGTGTTATCCATGAGAGTGTGGGTTATCCATGGGAATGTGTGTTATCCATGAGAGTGTGGGTTATCCATGGGAATATGGGTTATCCGTGGGAGTGTGGGTTATCCATGGCAGTGTGTGTTATCCATGTGCATGTGCTCTGTGTGTGTTTGTGCTCCTTGAGTGCTCCTTGTGTGCTCTGTGTGCTCCTTTTGTGACTGTGTGTGCTCTGAGTGTGCTCTGAGTGTGCTCTGAGTGTGCTCTGAGTGTGCTCTGAGTGTGCCCTGAGTGTGCTCTCTGCCTGCGCTCCGTGTGCCCCAAATCCCTGTGTGTGCCCCACATCCCTGTCCCTGCCTGTGCTCCCTGTGCCACCCTTTCCCACCGGGTCCGTGTGTGCCCTGCCCGGGGTACAAAAGCAGCAGAAGGAGCCCCGCTAAATCCCTGTTTATTTTCCCACAGGGGACTGCGGGCCGCTGCCAAATATCAGCCACGCCGAGCCCCGAGGGGACACCAAACACCAGCAGAGCTTCAGTGTGGGCTCCACAGTGACCTTCAGCTGCCTCCCGGGTTACACCAAGCTCCCTCTTCTCCCCGACACCATCCGGTGCCTGTCGAACTCCCGCTGGTCCAGCCTGCCGGAGTTCTGCGGCCGTGAGTGTTTCCCGTTCTCTGACACAAGGAGGGTGCGGGCTGCCTGTGGAAACACCCACAGCTTTGGCAATCGCCGCCTCAGGGGCCTCCTCATCACACAGGATGAAGTGGTTTGGCCCTTTTTTTGCTGCCCCTTTTTCCTGCACTCCACCGAGGCTGTTGGAGCCACTCGTGTGGCACTTGTGTGTTAATGAAAACAGGAACAGCTTGGGAAGAGCATGGAAAAGGGGAAGGAATGCAGGGGCAGAGCGCTGGGTGACCAAAGGGTTAACCAGGCTGGGGGGGTTTGGTTTTGGGGATTTGGAAGCTTCTCCAGTGACAACTGGCTGCACTTTCCCACCTCAGACAATTCCCTGGTGGAAGTGGCCAGGGAGGAGGAGGGCACTGCCTGGGGTATGCCCGTGCTTAGTGAGGAGGCTCCTGCTCACTGGATTTATGTTTACAGCTGAAAGGAAAGCATTGTTATTTTCTCTCTGTAACTGGACATTTGGGGTGTCTCTGGGGTGGCCAGGCAGCTGTCCCAGACCCAGATCTGTGTCATTTGCTGCGATATCACCAGAAGATAAAATGCAGAATTTTTACGCCGTTAACACCACGGTGAGGTACATTTGTCGCCAAGGTTATGAAAACACCACGGCCCAGCCCCCCACCAGCACCTGCCTGGACAACTTAACGTGGACAGAAGTCCCTAAACTGTGTCAGAGTGAGTGTCTCCATGTTATTTCATTCTCTCCAACACTGTGTTCCAAGTGCCACACTTGTATTTTAAAATTGCTCTTCTCTAATGACATTTAGCTTGAAATACCATTAATTGCCACACTGCCATAGAAACTAAGCCTGTGGGGTTTTTCCCAGCTTCAGTAGTGTCCTAAGGATAATCTCACTCTTTTTTAGAGAAATCTTGTGGCGTTCCAGCCAGTCCAGAACATGGCCAAGTTATCCTAAAAGATCATCAGCTGGGTGCAACAGCCAGTGTGGTTTGTGACCATGGGTGAGTGTGGAGCCACTGCCCACTGCCTCCCAGTTGCCTGGCCAGAGTCACTGGGGTGTGAACTGGGACATGGGGCTCTGCCCACACAGTGTCCTCAGCACCTCTGTGGTGACACATTCTTGGTTGGTGGCAACAGCTGATTTTGGGATGTGCCTTTTGCCCCCGCAGGTACAGATTAAAGGGAGCATCACCTTCCATCACATGTCTCCTAGAGGGAGACAAAGCTGTCTGGAGTCCTCTTCCAGCTTGTCAGGGTGAGTGAAGTTGTCCAGTGCTTGGCTAGAAAAACCAAATATTCCAACTTAAAAATTCCAAATTTTTGGTTTACTTCATTAAGTGAAGTCAGGTCAGCGCCTCTGCAAGGGGACAGTTGCTGTCCCAAGCAGGGAGTCCCCAGGAGCATCAGTGGCTCCTGCTGCCTGTGAAAGCCTGACAGAAGCAGTGCCTGCTGCGAAGAGCATCCCAGGACTCCCCCCTGAGTTCTTTCCTCTTTCTCCCACAGTTATCTCCTGTCCCCCTCCTCCAGCCATCCCCCACGGGCAGCACAGCGGGAACAGCTCGGAGGGTTTTGTGCTGGGCTCCGTCACAACCTACAGCTGCGAGCCGGGGCTGGAGCTGGTGGGGCAGGACACGCTGCGCTGCACGGCGGGCGGCGACAGCGGCGACAGCGGCGACAGCGGCGACAGCGGCGACAGCGGCACCTGGAGCGGGGCCCTGCCCACCTGCCGGGGTGAGCAGCCACCCCCTGCTCGCACCATCCCCTTCCCCAGCAGCTCCTGCTGGGCTGGTATCGCTCCTGATCCCATCTGTCGCCCTGATTAAGTTTTTCTAAAGCCTTCTGAGTTTACATTCTGTTGGAAAACTTTCCCTCACAATTTCTGAAAATAACAGATTGTTTTGCATTCCTTCATGGGGGTGGAGAAACTTGATCCACTAGTGGTTTGTCCAATGTCTTTGGAGAGGTGGCCCATTCACTCTCCAATCCACCGTCACCTTTGGAGGAGTATAAAAGTTGGAGTCAGAAAATAAACTCCCTCTTTTACCTTGTGAAATAGCAGGTGGCTCGTGTTGTGCGTTCTCATGTCCTACAGTGACACCCATCCTGTCTGCACGGGCGCCCTGCAGGGTGCCAGGCTCTGCTGAGGAGCCCCAGCAGCACAACCAGACATGGTTTTACAATTTCAAGAGGAACGGGCAGAAATGTAATGAAAAATGTGTGAAATTATCAGTGACTGCAAAGCTGCTGGAGGGAACTTAGAAAGGATTTATTTATGTCTCGTGTCCAGCAACACCCAGGCAAAAAAGCCAAGTGGAGCAGCAGAATCCCTCTGTCCTTAAAGCCTGGAGTGGCACAAGAGGTCCCTGCCACAGCCTGAGATGCACAAGTCACCTGCCTGTGTGATGTCTGCTCCTCTCTGAATTATTTTATTATTTACATAATATATGTACAAGTTGAGCACCATATAAAATCACATTTTGAGTATTTTTCCTTTGTCTCTCCCTAGTTAAAACCACAGCAAAGACAAACCAAACCAAGCCCTCAGAAGAGAATCCTTACTGGCTGGGTAAGAGCTCCATTTCTTAGAAGGCCTGTTAATTGCTGTAATTGCACCACATTTTGGCCTTCGTATTTTTAACATCCTTTTCATTATTTTCCTCCCCAGCAAGCATCCTCATTCCGAGTTGCATTGGTAAGCAGCTTAAAACTGAAAATGTATTTTCCTACCCCAAAGCTGTTTGCTGTTAAATTCCTGGAGTCAGTGGCTGATTTCACTCTCCCTTCTTTGTTAGCTCCCCCAATAGCCCTTGGATTTGTAGCTGGTATCATCATGAGACGGAAAGAGAGTGAAAAGCAGTAAGCTGCCCCTTGAAAATCATAACTTTCCCTGGGCATTTTTCCTTTCAAACCCTATGCCTTCAGTATATTTGCATGGTTAGCAGGATTTTTCCGTGTTGAGAAGTTTCTTTTTATTCTACAAATTTCCCCTTTCTGTCTCTCCAGCTCTTATAACGTGAATTTACAAAAGCAGGAGATGAAGGGAAGGGATGCAGCGATGCACCCGGAGGTTACAGATGAGAAGAAGCAGCCCAAGCCCTGGAATTCCTATTTTTGGTAGGTTTGCTTGTTCACCTGCCCAAAAACTTGTGCCAGACTTCTGGCTATAGCCAGGGGTCTCACTGCTGCTGAGCTCACCTGTGCCGAAGCTCTTTGAGCACTTTTTGACTTTCAAATGCCCTGATGAACAGCCTGCTGCCCAAAGGGTGCTGCACAGGGGGTTTGGGGTTGCTGGCTGCTCTCTGGGTGGATTTCCCCGTCTCTCTCACCCACAGCCACGCAGGGAATTGCCACGTGTGTCCCAGCTGTGAGGAGCAGCTCCACGGTGACCTGGCCCCTCTCTCACAGCCCCCACACCACGGCTGTGCCGCCTGCCGGGACTGGCTGAGCTCCCAGCCCCAAAAACCCCGCACCTACTCAGTGCCCAGCGTTGGTGACGGGGACAGCCAGAGCGCAGCGGGCACCAGGTACAGCTCCTGCTCCCCTGCTGAGGGAACACAGGAGGAAAACAAGGGGAGAGGGGCAGGAAGCATCTTTGTGTGGATAAAGTGAAGTTTTGCAGCTGGAATTTGTGTGGTTCCTGTTTTAGCAGGAGCAAGGATTTGATATTAGGGAAGAGTGGCTCTGTTTGTCAGTCGGTGTTTTTGGGAGGCCACACACCCAGGCTGTGTTCTCTCCCTCTCTCCCTCTCTGTGTTCAGCTCTCCTGCCAAAGCTGTGGATGTGCTGAGGGCAGATGGCACAGTAGAAGTTGCTCCGTGGTGGAGTGAGGCAGAGCAGCCCATAGACCACCAAAGGTCAGTCTTCCACCTAAAAATACCCAGGTGGGCATGGACAAAATCAGCAGATTTCAGAATGGAGTAGAACTGTGCTTATCAGAGAACCCCAGAATGGTTTGGGTTGGAAGGGACCTTAAAGCTCATCTCATCCCACCCCATGGGCAGGGACACCTCCCACCGTCCCAGGTGGTTCCCAGCCCCAGAGCCACGGCCTGGAAGGCACATCCACACTCCCAGTGCCCATCCTCAATGTTCTTCTCCACAGTGACCACGTCTGTCCCACCTGTGAGAGCTGGCTCCGTGCCCACACTGGCCATGGTGACAGCAGTGCTGTGACACCGGGGGAGTGGCGGGACAAGGGGTGAGTGCAGGCAGCTCCTGTCCAGCTCCTGTTGGCACTGCAGTGTGTGCCCAGTGCCCTCCAAGCTGAGAGGTCACTGCCCAGCTTAGAACAAACGTAGGTGCAGCATGTGAATGTTCTCACCCACTGCCCAGTGTTTTTCCCACCTGTGGGTGTGGTTCATTTGCTTGTGGCAAGGTAAGGTTTGGGGCCAGAGCAGTGGTAAGGTGAAGCTGTTTGCTCAGTTTATTTATTTATCTTCTGTGAGTCTGGTGCTCTCTCAGCCTGCCAAAGCTTCCTTAACAGAGTCACCATTGACAGAGGCAAACTCGTATGAAAAACCAGATAAACATGATTGGACATGTGCATCTGCTTGCTTTGGCTTTGGGAAGTGTGAACTCCTTGTTGCTGCATTTGCTTCGGGGTTTTTCCATTTATTCCTGGGAGTGCCCGTTCTACTGGCTGTGAGCCCCAGTCGTGGGGGAGCTGCTCCAGTTCTGCATCCTTGGAGATGCCTGTTGGAGCTTACAGAGGGAAATGGTGAAGGAAAGCAGCTGCTGTGGGCACTGGAGCCTGGGCAGGGTGGTTTGGAGAGGGACAGGTCCTGTCACGACCCACTGGGACTCAGCCTCACCTCTGTCCCCACAGCCCCCAGGGCCCCGTCTGCCCGCCCTGCACGGACAGGCAGCTCCTGTCCCTTGTCCACGGGGACACAGCCAGCAGCCCCGTGTGTCCCCTGGCCGGGGAGGGCACCCCGGCCCACCTGGTCCCTCTGCACAGCCCCGGCTGCCACCTGTGCCCCGTGTGCTCGGCGCCCAGCCACGCTCACCTGTGCCAGCCCCAGCGCCTGGCACCCACGGTAGGAGCTGCACCCCAAACCCCGGGGTCCCTGGGGAGGGGCAGGGGGCTCCTCAATCCCTCCCCAGGCCCTGGGGATCCCCCAATTCCTGCTTGTTTGCCACTGCAGGAGAAATCCGGGAGCTGAGGAGGGAAGGGAGCTCTGCAGGACCCCGGTGCTGGCAGGATCAGCTCTGAGTGCAATAAAGCCACCCCAGGTCACGGCTCCGACTTCTCCTGAGCTGGCAAGGAGGCAGAAAAACAAACACTCCTCAAACCCACCTCTGTGTTGGTTTAATGCCCACTTTTTTTTTGTTTATTTTTGTATGAACAAAGTATTTTTGCAGCTCTTAAAGCAAGACTTTAAAACGTCACTAAACGTTTCTTTGCGCAAGGAAAAGAATTTCCTCTTTGCACAATCTTACAAGATTTATTTGTATTTCTTAAATGACTTCTTTTTAACCGAGGTTTTTTTCCTAGTGTGTGGACAAAAGTACAAAATTTACAGTATTTATAGTAAAACTGTTTTGTAAATAAAAGGAATATAAAATAAGAAATATTGGTCTGGGGTTTATTTCATATTATTATTTCATATTTTATTTCATATTATTATTTCATATCATTTCATATTTATTTCATACTAATCAAGTCTTCCTTAACAGAGTCACCATTGACAGAGGCAAATTCATATGAAAAAACAGATAAACATGGTTTGACATGGTCATCTGCTTGCACATAGAGTGGCTTAAATGATTTTGCACTCTCATTCTTTGCCAGATGTAATCAAGTTCATTAACTGCTTCTGCTCATTTAATTGCTGTTGTTGCACTGGTGTCCAGTGAGCTTTCCTGGGAACTGTGATGAGGGAGATGGGGCAGTGCTCTGCTTTTCCCTCCTGAGAAAGTGGCCTTGAAGAAGTGAAAAAATCCCTGGCACTGCTGTGTGGGACTGGAGTGGTTTGGAAGCCACCTGGAATGCTGCTCAGAATTCTGGAATGCTGCTCAGAATTCTGGAATGCTGCTCAGAATTGTGGAATGCTGCTCAGAACTCAGGGCAGCTCTCCCTGTGTGAAGCCACGGAGATGCCAAAGACCTTCCTGCTGCCAGAGAGGAAGCTGGAGAAATTCCTGTGCTTGGGCTTCCCCGTGTTTTGGGTTCCTCAGCACCACTGAGGGCACCCTGAGCCTGAGCCTGGTTGGGTCTGGGGGGCTCTGAAGGGTCCTGAGGTGGGAAATGCAGCCCCTGCTGAGAGGATCAGCAGGGAATGTGCCCCTGAGAGTGAGGTTTGGTCCAAGGGGGATGTGTGAGTTACCTCTGAGAACTGACAGCACTGAAACCCACCCAGAGCTCAGGGCTGGGAAAGACCCCCAGGACCACCGAGTGCATCCTCTGGCCAAACACCACCTTGTCCTGCAGGATTTGGGGCTCTTGCCCTGACAGCTCTTGCTCTGATCCCAGGTAGGTGCAGATGGACGTGGAGCCAAATCCTCTGTGGGGAGCAGGACACGACCCCACAGCTTTTGGGCACGTTGTTTTCATCCTGCCTGCCCTGACCCACTCGTGGCTGTGCTGAGGACGTGTGTGAGTGTGCAGAGAGGTGAGGGAGGGACCATGTGGCAAAATGCCCTGGATTTCTCTGGCTGGTGGAAAGACCACACTGAGGCATCGCTGTCCTTTCCTGGCTGTAACTCAGCTGGCTAAAGATCACCGGGCAAGCTGAAGAGGTGTCATAAAATGGAGTTAACATTGGAAGATTTCTTGTTTAGAAGGGAAACACCACTGTGGTGGAATTCTGATTGCCTAAACCTGAGACATTCAGACTTTCAGCTGCTGGTAAAGCAAAATGTTGAGGTTTGGGGTTTTGTCTCCTGCAGAGGTAAATCACTCATCTGGGAGCTTCTCAAGATTCACCCTGGGAACAGGAACTGTCCAAAATGTGTCTACTACAGACCTTTGGTTTCTCCATTCTCCCCTGCTAGCAGGAACACGCCTCTGGTAAGAAGGAAACCCACAAATAACCATTTCCATCCACACATCAGCCTTGTTCCAGACAGACCCCCAGGTTCTCCCTTCCCAGCAGGGCACTGTCCTGCTCAGCTGTCACAGGGGCACTGCAGATCCTGTTTTTTCAGCCTTGCAGAACAAGCACTTGCACATTGCTGGCTGTTTTTACTTCTCTCTCACGTAAGCTGTGTGAGTGACTAAATGGACAAAATAAAACCTAAAACCTCACAGCTCTGGGTTGTGTTTGGTTTTGCTATTTTAATCCCAGCACATTTATTCCTACTGTATAGGCCAAAGTGATTTTTTTTCAAATGATTTAACATGTGATTTGGGGATCAGATTGGAATTACCCCCCTCACTACCAAATGAAAGGAATTGTGAATGCTGAAATATTGTTTACAGGTGTGGTCACCAAAATTTACCATTGGAGAGGGTTTATTTACTGCATTTGTAATCAACTGTACATCATTTTTCTTTGTAATCTGAGTGCAAATGACCAAGTGCAATTCTGAAGTGTGAACGTTGGATTTGTAAGTATCGGAAGCTCTTGGTGAATGAAAGAAATAAAAGGACTTGAGCAGTTCATGTCTTGCTGCCTGCTTTAGGCTCAGGAAGTGTCACCCATGTCAGCTGGGGAGCTGGAGCTGCTGGGGCTGCTCCTCCACCCAAAAGTCCTGGCTGGGGGTTTATTCCTCCTGCCAGTGGGGAGGGATGAGCCCAGGGTCAGGTCGGGAGGATTTGTGTCCCTTTTTTATGGGAGGAGGGAATTCCCCACTGTCCATCCCATCCCTGGGCAGGGGAATTGTGCCGTGTCCCTCAGGTGCCACCACCATCCCCTGGGGCTCTCTGCACCATGGGCAAAGTGCACCTACAGCCCCTCTGCCTGCACCCAGCCCTTTTTAACCCCTCTTTGCACATCCTCCCCTGCCAAAACCAGCAGCAGCAGCAGCCTGGGGCACCTGCAGCCTTCCCGGGGTGCTGCCTGTGCCTGCACATCCTGGGGAATCCACTGGTTCCTGTCCCACGGTCCTGGGAAGTCCCCCAGCAGCGTCTCCTTCCTCCCACGGGGCAGTGGGAGGAACTGGGGTGCCCATATCTGCCCCGTGCCCCCGGGAGCTGCCACTGTCAGGGATGGTGCCCATCCTCACCCTCTGCCTGCTGGGCAGCTCCGCTCTGCTCCTCAGCACCGTGCCCGGGGCTCAAGGTAAGGCAGAGCAGCAGCTCTGCTCCTGCGGGGCCTTCCTCCCACAGCCTCCTGCTCCTCATCACTGCTGCTGCTCCTCTCCTCGCTGATCCCTGGGCTCTTCCCTGCAGAGGCAAACGGGAGCCCTGCCCTGGTCCCAGAGCAGAGGGATCACAGAGCCCCTGAGCTCCTCTGCTGATGGCAGAGACCCTCTGGGGTCATCAGAGCCACAGCTGGCACACCATCAGAGCCACAGCTGGCACCCCCAGCCCAGGCTGGGCACCTTCCCCAGCCCCCTGGCACAGCACAGATCCCTGGGGTGCCTTTGGGTCAGTCCTGAGCTGCCCTGTCCGTGTTTTCCCGGGTCGGACTGGGCCCTTAGGAGGGGCTTCAGAGCCTGCAGAAAGGCCAGGAGAGGCTGGGGGGCTGACATGAAACCCTGGGCACGCAGATTTTGTCAGCTGAGGTGGCAGCGGGGTCCCTGAGGAGCACAGGGAGGGTGCTGCACCCCAGGGACCCCCACCCCAGCTGCAGCCCCCCTGCTCGGTGGCACAGACACCCTGCAGCAGGGCAGGAGCCCGCAGCTCTGCAGGTCAGCATCTCCCTTCTCCCTCCCCAGCTGCCCTGTGCCCGTTCCCCCGTGTGTGGCACGGCACCGTGTCCCCTCGCCGCTATTACTACCGGACAGGGGACACCGTGAGCGTCACCTGCAGCCCGGGCTACACCCTGCAGGGCTCCCGCAGCAGCACCTGCGGGGCTGCCTCCAGGTGGGACCCCCCTCTGCCGCAGTGCAGGAAAGGTGAGTGTCCCAGGGGAAAGCTCCCTCTGTGTCCTCTGACATTCACTGGGATGGATCTGTCCTGGCTGCCCTGCCCAGGTCTGGCTGGCAGAGAAACGTGGGACACGCTGGGTGGGACATGGGGAGGCTGTGCCCTGCCTGGGGCTCCGAGAGGGATGGGGAGAAGTTAACCCCGTGGGGTGGCAGGAGCTGAGTCCCGGGGGATTTCTGACACTGCTTCTGGGCAGAAGTGGGGCAATTCATTGTGGAATGGAAAGAAATCACAACTGCTCGCTGCTTCCACATCAGTGTGGATCCTCCCCAAACCCCGCGATGTGCCCGCAGTGCTGTCGGGACTCTCAGTACTGGCAGTGACTTCTTCCAGGTGCAGCTGCACTTTGAGTGGCCTAAAGCCTTGGCCCACCAAATGGAAGCCAGAGCAGAATCCAGAGATGACCCTGCTGCTCCCCGAGCTGTGCCAGCAGCACACAAACCAGCACAGGGCACAGCCACAGGACGCTTTCTTTCCCTCCCTCTGCAGAGGTGACATGTCCTCGGCCACCGAGCATCGCCAACGGGCTGCCCAGCGGGCACCCCTCGGGCAGCTTCTCCCGGGGAGTGACCGTGTCCTACAGCTGCAGGCCGGGCTTCGAGCTGCTCGGCAACGCGTCCGTCACCTGCGCGGACTCCGGGCTCTGGAGTCGGCCCCTGCCCCGCTGCCAAGGTGTGTGGGTGCCTCTCCCGGGCCGGGGGGCAGAAGGGGGCCGGGTGTCCTGGAGGATAGGAGCGGGGGGTTATGGCACTGCGGGGAGGGCTCTGTGTGTGCGGGGTCCGGCTGATGCAGGGAGTTTAAAGGATGCTCTCATGCTCCCGCAGCGATCGGCTGTCAGGCACCCGAGGTGCAGAATGGGAAGGTCCACAACGTGCAGAGCACCTACAGAGCTGGAGAGACGCTGCACTTCGACTGTCACCTTGGGTATGCAGCCGAGGGCTCTGACGAGGCTCGGTGCCAGCCCGGGGGCACCTGGGACCCGCCGGTGCTCGTGTGCCACAGGGGTGAGTGCGGCTGCTGCCCAGGAACGGGGGGTGCAGGCGGGGATTGAACCCACCCGTGCAGCATCACTCTGCCTGCCTTCCCCTCGCTCCCCGTTCTTCCTCTGAGCTGAATTCCCATTTCCCTCCCGCAGTCCGGCCGTGCCCGATGCCTCCGGAGGTCGCCAATGGAAAACACAACGGCCAGGACAAAGCGTTTTTTACCGCTGGCATGGCTGTGAGGTACAGCTGCGATCCTGGCTATTACCTGGTTGGAAACGCCGCTGTGTCCTGCAGAGCATCGGGGAACTGGAGTCAGCCCCGCCCTCGCTGTGAAGGTGAGTCTGGGCTCTGTCCCAGCAGGGCACAGACTCTGTGTGGCTCTGAGCACTGGGGACATCAAATCCCTCATCAAATCCACGGAGACCTTCAGTGAGAGACTAAATTCCATTTTAATGAAATATACGGGTTTATAATATGTAAAGAACAAGCTAAAATTCCCGAATCCAGAGCCAGCACTCTCCTCCCTGTGCTCCAGTCACAGCCTGGCTCCAGCACATCCATGGATGGTGACAGTGCTGAGACCTGGCATGGACATGGGAGGGACACAGCTTTTAGGTGGCGACCAGCTGATTTTAAATGAATCATTTCAATACTCTTTGTCCAGAAAAACCCAAGGAGAGACAGGAGACCTTAAGGCTGCTGGTAGGATGCCGCTGGCAGTACCTGGGGTTCGACCCCTGTGTCCTCCCAAAGTGTGACATGCGGGAGGACGGGGCTGAGCTGGCTCCCCAAAATCACTTCTCCCAAACTCTCATGAGGTTTCCCCCTCCCTGTGCAGAGGTGACATGTCCTCGGCCACCGAGCATCGCCAACGGGCTGCCCAGCGGGCACCCCTCGGGCAGCTTCTCCCGGGGAGTGACCGTGTCCTACAGCTGCAGGCCGGGCTTCGAGCTGCTCGGCAACGCGTCCGTCACCTGCGCGGACTCCGGGCTCTGGAGCCGGCCCCTGCCCCGCTGCCAAGGTGTGTGGGTGCCTCTCCCGGGCCGGGGGGCAGGAAGGGGGCCGGGTGTCCTGGAGGGTCGGAGCAGGGGGTTATGGCACTGAGGGGAGGGCAGGGAAGGGCTCTGTGTGTGCGGGGTCCGGCTGGTGCAGGGAGTTTAAAGGATGCTCTCACTGCTCCCGCAGCGATCGGCTGTCAGGCACCCGAGGTGCAGAATGGAAAGGTCCACAACGTGCAGAGCACCTACAGAGCTGGAGAGACGCTGCACTTCGACTGTCACCTTGGGTATGCAGCCGAGGGCTCTGACGAGGCTCGGTGCCAGCCCGGGGGCACCTGGGACCCGCCGGTGCTCGTGTGCCAGAGGGGTGAGTGCGGCTGCTGCCCAGGAACGGGGGGTGCAGGCGGGGATTGAACCCACCCGTGCAGCATCACTCTGCCTGCCCTCCCCTCGCTCCCCGTTCTTCCTCTGAGCTGAATTTCCATTTCCCTCCCGCAGTCCGGCCGTGCCCGATGCCCCCGGAGGTCGCCAATGGAAAACACAACGGCCAGGACAAAGCGTTTTTTACCGCTGGCATGGCTGTAAGGTACAGCTGCGATCCTGGCTATTACCTGGTTGGAAACGCCGCTGTGTCCTGCAGAGCATCGGGGAACTGGAGCCAGCCCCGCCCTCGCTGTGCAGGTGAGTCTGGGCTCTGTCCCAGCAGGGACAGACTCAGTGTGGCTCTGAGCACTGCGGAGATCCCCACCAGTGCAAACAGATCCTCCAAGAGGGTTCACTCCACGTTAAGGGTATCATGGAATCAATTCATGCCAAGCCTTCCTGCGGTTGGGGAGGTTTGTGTGGGCTTCATGCTGATTTTGTGGTTCCCACATTAACAGCCTGTGGTTATGTGTTTTCTTTTGCCCCAACTCCTCCTGCACACCCTCATTTCCAGGGACTGTCTGCCTCAATCCAGTCGTAGACAATGGAAGGCAAGTTGGTGGCCACGGGCTTCTCTCTGCGCCCGGGCAAACGGTGACATTTCGGTGCCACGATGGTTACAGCCTGCAGGGCAGTGCCAGCGTGTCCTGCCAGGAGGATGGCAGCTGGCAGCCCCCTGCTCCTGTGTGTGCCAGAGCACCGCCTCACCACAGCTCCTTCACCACGGCTCCAGGTATGTGACACAACCCTCAGGGTACACTGCTCTTTTATGTCCCCTCATCCTGTTTAAAAAAATATTGTTAAACCCTTTGAGGGGAAGATTTAAGCCTATCCTGGGAAAAGAGCCTAATCCTCTGCAACCCTTTGGGAAAATGTGTTTGTGTATTAATGGCTATATTAATCAAAATGAACATTTTTGCAAGGCAAACTAAACCCCTTTCCTCCTAACAGTGCTCTTTGTGTGCTTGCCCCTGATGTGCCTGCCCTGCCTGCTTCTCACATCTCTTTTCTCTCCCACTAGGTGCTTGTGGTGCTCCCACAAGGCTACAGTTTGCTGAGCTAAATGAGGAGCATAGAAATGCCATTGATTTTTCTGTTGGGAAGACTGTGCAATACACTTGCCTCCCTGGATATGCTAAAGTCCCAGGAATGTCACCTACTCTGACATGCCTTGAGGGTGGAGTGTGGTCAGAAGCACTAGAGTTCTGTAAAAGTGAATAGCTCCTTGATTTGGTGTCTGTTGTTGCAGGAGGAACAGGTCTCAGGTTCTGTCCATGCTGCCAAAACATTGATGTTAATCTGAATATGTGACTAGTAAAGCCATGTAACTCCTTGAAACTGGAAACCCGTGTTGGGGGGAACTGGGAATGCGGGCAGGGGACTGGAGGAATGATGGCATATTTTGTACTGTGATGTAGAGACACAGGAGCCCAGAATAAGGGTGCTCTCCTTCCCCAGGGAAACAGTGTGGTCACCCTGGTGAGCCTGTGAACGGCAAGATTATCTCCCTGACAAACCTCCAGTTTGGGTCTACAGTGGTTTACAGATGTGAAGAAGGGTAAGTCCTGGTTTGGAGGTGGATTAGGTAAGCGTCATCCTTTTTAAGCCCTATTCATTCACTCCCAGTAGATGGATTCTGTACAGAATCCCCCGTACAGGGTTCTGCACCTATTGTGCCTATACACTACAGTGTGTACATGCATATAAATATATATATATATATAAATGCTGGGAAATGGGTCAGGCAGAGCAAGGAAGGAATTTCCCCTTCAGGGCCACAGCTCTGCTGCCAGCAGGGCTGCTCCCACATCCCAGGTGGTGGGGAGGAGCAGAAACTGCAGCTGAAAGGGCTGGGGATGAATGACCAATCCTTTCCCCACCAGGCACAGGTTAATTGGACAGGCCAGCAGGCGCTGTGAGATCTCTGGGGGAGGTGTTGCATGGACTGGTCACGTTCCCCTCTGTCAGCGTAAGTACTCATGGCTCTGGGGGTTTGCATGGATCTGGGAAATATTTTCCAGCAGAGACTGCCACATCTTTCCAATCAAAGCTTTCACAGGCGATTTCCCCCCACTGTGGGCAGGAAATGGGTCCTGACTGACACCAGGAGCCCATTGCAGGAGAGGAAGGGAAAATATGCTCAGCTCAGGGGTTTTTTGTCAGACCCAGAGAGACCAAGGGTCAGTCCTAAGAGAGACAGGGCCAGCAGTGAATCCCAAAATCCCAGACCGTGGCTTTGCTTCCTCTCTCCACCACTGGTGAGTGCCCAAGAGCTGCTGTGCTGCTCCTCAGCAATCCCACCTCGGCATTTCTCTGCTGAGTGGCTGATCATGGCCGTTTCATATGAAGAAATAAATATTTACTGGTATATTCTGGGGTTTTAAAGCATTTCCCAGATTCTCCAGGAAGGTGTGAACCACTGGTGGCACACAGACTGTGCCTGTTGCACAACCTGGCACCAGGGTTTTATACAAGTGATGCAAAATAAGTATTCGATTTCTTATTTCTTAAAAAGTAGAAAATGCAAATGATGCGGGTGTTTCCTCCACAGAGAGTTTTGATTACTGCTCTGTTTTCTAGCTGCTGGGGGGTGGGATCCTGCTCCCAACAATCTCTCACCTGGGAGGTCACTTCATCCCATCTTTAGAACAAGTGTGCCCCACAAATTGAGGGATTGAAGGTGCTTTGGTGCTGAGTTGAGGTTCTGCACTGCAGGAAAGTTACCCTTTGTCTCCTTAAAAAAGACAAAAGCCCAGAAGTTTCTCTCCTCAATTTGGTTAAAAGACACCTCATAGAGACTTAGAGACTTCACCTCAAACTTAAGGATAGTCAACTGGACAGAAACCAAAAAGTCCCACTTAAGCAATTCCCTAGAAAAGAAGAGAACAAAAGAAGTAAATCGCTTTTATGAAGTGTTTTAGCAGAAGCAAGAACCTCTTGCCCTGGGTTGGTTTTTCTCTGTAAAGAGCTTTTTTATTAAAACTTTTTTGTTTCCAACACTGCCACGGAGCCATCCTGCTAGTTTTATGCCACCTGAGGTAGCTGAGCTGTCATACAATGTTTGTCTATGAGAGCTTGCAGGACCTGGCTGGAATAGGCAGAACATTCCTGCACCTCTGCAGGCATCCCGTGCGAGCCCCCTCCGGACATCCCCCACGGGCAGCACTCGGGCCGGCTGCTGAGCGAGTTCCACTATGGCACAGCCGTGAGCTACAGCTGCCAGCCCGGCTTCCCCCTGCACGGGCACCCCTCCATCCACTGCACCACCCGCGACGGCTACAGCGGCGTCTGGAGCGAGCCCCTGCCGGCCTGTGGAGGTGGGCTGCGGGCCAGGGACCCCCAGCACCCCTCCCAGCACTGCTGCTGGGAAACACCGGGAAGGTCCAGCCTGCTGGAATTCTTGCTCCAAGGGCTGAGGCCACGCAGAGCAGGGGAGGCTGGAGGGTCACCCCACTGCCCCAGGATCCCCTTTGCCCTTGGAGATGTTTGATATTGCAGGATGCAGGCACAACATCATCTCTAGGGAGAATGATTGCCAGGCTTTTGTTTTAAAATTGCAACCCTTGGTGGCTTCACAGCTGCCCAGCTCTGCCTGAAGGTCTGTTCTGAGCACCTGCACCTCTTTCTTTTCCAGAGTCGAGCTGCCCTGTCCCACAGATCCAGCACGGGAGGATCGTGGCTGCCAGGTCTGCCTACTCACACAGGGACACCGTGACCTTTGAATGTGAGCCAGGCTATGCCATTCGTGGCCACAGAGAGATCCAGTGCCAGCCAAACAACACCTGGGAGCCGCCTGTGCCCGTCTGCGAGCAGGGCAAGTGTCCCAGCAGGGCTTCACCTTCCCCTGCTCCCCAAATCCACCTTTTGTGTCTCTTTAACGCTGGGTTGTCTCTGTCCTGGCAGCTGGCTGCAGAGCCCCGGCCAGGCTGGGCTTTGCCGAGCTGAAGGAGCCCTACAGGAACCGGACGGTGTTTCCTGAGGGGAGCAGGGTGGAATTGGTGTGCCAGCCTGGCTACACCCAGCTCCCAGGGGCGTCAGCAGCCATCACCTGCCTCAGGAACCAGACGTGGTCTGCAGCGCTGGACTTCTGTAAAAGTACGTCCTACGAGTGCTGAGAGCCTCAGGTGTGAGGCTTGGCTGCTTTTCTGTGCTTCCCCAGCTTTGTGGGTGTCTCTCCTGCTCCCTGTGCTGGCAGCCCTGGCTGGGATGCCAGCAGAGCTGAGGCTGAGGGAGGCTGGCATTCCCTTCCAGGGAAGCAGTGCCCCAGCCCCGGGAACCCAGCGAATGGCAGAGCTGTGGTCCTGACAGATCTCCTCTTCGGCTCCAAAATTAATTACACTTGTGACAAAGGGTGAGTCTTGCCCTGGGGAGAGTGAGGTGGATTTTCAGCTTTACACAACCCAGTTCCCCTGGGTCAGAACTCTTGGCTGCCACTTGCAAGGCTTGTAAAGAAATCTCAAGTTGAAAAATCTCACTGATAAAATAATTAATCCTTCTGTGTGGTCCAGGTACAAGCTGGTGGGAGGCTCCCAGAGAATTTGTGAGGTCTCTGGCACACATGTCTCATGGAGTGGGGATCCTCCTGTCTGCCAGCGTAAGTAGGCCACCACAACAGGCCCTTGGAGATGGTTTACAAGATAAAGTGGAACTTCTTTCAAGCCAAAGGTTTTATTGCAAAAGATTTCTCAAGTCACTGAATGTGTACAATATTTCCTTTTTCTTTTCCTTTTCTTTTGGATATGCTTCTGAAAATGGTTTCAAAGGTCTTTTATTTATTCTGATCCAAACTAGGAAGAAACATTAATATTTTAAACTGCCTGTTAGTGGGTGAGTACTTCTCACTGGCCAGTCTCTCTGTGCATCAATGGTTATGGAAAGGGAGGTAAGAATTGTCCCAGCACCTCCAGGCATGGGCAGCAAGAAAGTGACTCACAGGAGGGGACAGATTTTCTTTCCCATGTGTGATTTTTTCCATGCAAAGTTTGTTCCTGGAGCATTAGGTCATTGTGTCACTGCTGAGGTGGTTTCCCCTCCCCCAGTGCCCTTCCTGGGCAGTGTGTGGGCAGTGCTGACCATCCCCTTGTCCTGCCCACAGGTCTCACCTGCGCTCCCCCTCCGGCCATCCCCCACGGGACACACAGTGGGGGCTCCAGGGACTCCTTCTCCCTCGGGGACGTGGTCACCTACACCTGTGCCTCGGGGCTGGCCCTGGCTGGAGGAGCCTCCCTGTCCTGCACCTCTGTGGATGGGCAGCATGGCACGTGGAGCGGGGCAGTGCCACGGTGCCAAGGTAGGGCTCGGCTGTGCCCACAGCCAGCTCTGGCTGTCCCTGGCACAAGGGATGGCCACAGCTGTGGCAGGGCCTGCACCCATGGGGAGGCAGCTCACATGACTGATTTTATTCCTTCACAGTCAGTGTTCAAAACAACTCGGAGAATTTACACTTTTTTCAACATTTTTCTATGTATCAAATGCTTATTTGGTAGTGCTTTACTAGAACAGCTTTTTCTTTTTGATGCTGCCTCAGTTTCCATCACAACTTAATTTGATGTATTACTTCTGAAAAGGCTCTAAAAACCAGGATGTTGGTCTCTGATGGAGAAAAGAGTTAAGCTCCTGGAAAAGTTACATATCACCTTGTCCTGACTGATTGCACTTGTGCAATCTCCCTCCTCTGCTTTCAGAAGGTTGGGGTTTTTGGTGGTTATCTTGCCCTGCCCTATTTCTCAGCTGCCTTTCCTTGTTCCCGGCAGAGGTGACGTGCCCTGCCCCGCCGAGCATTGCCAACGGGCAGCACGGTGCCAGCCCCGGTGCCAGGCACAGCCCGGGCTCGCTGGTGCTCTACACCTGCGCCGAGGGCTACTCCCTGCTGGGGAACGCCTCCATCCGCTGCACGGCCAAGGGAACCTGGAGCCGGCCCCAGCCCCGCTGCCGAGGTGTGTTCTCCTCCTTCCTCTGCCTGTCCTCGGCTCCTTCCTCCTTCTTGGCTCTTGGTTTAATCACTGCAACCAAATCCCCAGGGAGTGCAGAGAGCCGAGGTGCAGGGGCAGGAGGAGCCCCATGTGCCCCTCTGGGTTTCCCTTTCTGAGTACAAAGGTTCAGGAGCAGCAGAATAATGGTATTTGTGTAAGGACAAGAGTCAGCAATGTTGAAATGCCTGTGATAGTGATGGCAAGGCCCAGCAGCAGGTGCTGTCCCTGCCCAGTGCCCCTCCACAGCCAGGAGGGGTTTCACTTCCCCAGCTCTTCACATCCTCCTGCTCTTCCCTTCCAGCAATTGGCTGCACCAGGCCAGAGATGGAGAATGGAAAAGTGACAGGGTCAGAGACCACCTACAACCTGGAGGACATCGTCATCTTCGAGTGCAACTTTGGTTATGCCTTGAAGGGCTCTCAAGAGTCTCAGTGCCAGTTTGGGGGCAAGTGGCACCCTCCTGTCCCCACCTGTGAGAAGCGTAAGTGCGAATGAGGGGCAGCGTGGTAGCTGCTTTCTGATCCTCTGTGTGCAGGTAGAGGGGCTGCTCTCAAGGGCTGGAAAGGAAAAACATGCACGTGTACATCCTGCCATCCTCCTAATCCCCATCCAAACCCCTGAACAGGCTGCCTGGGGAGGCGTGGGCATCGTCTGGCACCATCCCTGGAGGGATTTCAAAGACACGTGGATGTGGCACTTGGGGACATGGGGTAGTGGTGGGCTTTTCAAACCTAAATGTTTCTGTGATTCAGACCCTTGGTAAATGCAGGGCTCTTCAAATGAATCCACAGAATCCAGGCTGGTGCCTGATATCATTCACAACCACAGAAACTCCAGAGCAAGTTATTAGGGCCACAGATGGAAACTAACCACTGTAGTTGCCCAAATAGTGAGAAACGATCATTTTTATGTCAATAAGCTCGGAAAACATGAAGGCTGGAAGGTAAGAGAGGCTGGGATGGAAACATCATTCAGTGACAGCCATCATTGATGTTGGGCAGAGGTTAATGGGAAAGAACAAAGTTAAAAGGCTGCCTCACCCTGCAGGGGGGTTTGTGGTACCAGCTCTTGGTGAGCTGGGATGTTTTCCCCTCCTTGCAGTGCCTTCGTGTCCTTCCCCTCCAAGTATCAGAAATGGCCACCATGACAGCAAGGATGTGACAGAGTTCATCCCTGGCATGGCAGTGAAGTACCACTGTGACCCGGGCTACGTCCTCACCGGGAAAACCACAGTTTCCTGTTTGCCATCGGGAGACTGGAGCATCCCTTACCCCTGGTGTGAAGGTGAGCTGCAAATTCTGTTACCCTCAGTGCAAAGGGAGAGCGCTGTACCCACACAGCCTCCCAAAACCAGAGGGGGACCCCTCAACTCTGGCAGCCAAGCCCCAGCCTCAGCTCTGCTGCTTTTCCCTCCCAGTTATCACCTGCAGCAGCCCCAGCATCAAGGACGGAGAGGTGGCTGAGGGCCGGAGGGCTGTGTACCACCCTGGGGACAACGTCACCTTCCAGTGCCACCCAGGCTTCGTGCTGAGGGGCAGCCGTGGGGCCAAGTGCCAGCCCGACAGCCACTGGGTGCCTGCTGTGCCCACCTGCCAGCCAGGTGAGCCAGCTGTGACGGGCTTTGCGTGGTACCAGGGCTCCTCCTCTGGGTACACCCCTAAAGCTCTGCTCTCTGCTCCTGCCCTGGCAGTGCGGCTCTGCCCTGCGCCCCCCGTCATCGCCCACGCCACGCTCAGCGCTGAGCCGGGGATGAACTTCACCAGTGGCACCTCCGTGAGCTACAGCTGCCAGCCCGGCTTCTCCCTGCTTGGGCACCCCTCCGTGCTGTGCACGGCCTGGGGCAACTGGAGCCTTCCCTACCCACGCTGTGCAGGTGGGGCTGCCTCAGCATCCATCCCGTGACAGGCTTGGCATCTGTCCTGTGCCAGGCTCAGCATCCATCCCGTGCCAGGCCCGGCATCCAATCTGTGCCAGGCTCAACATCCATCCTGTGCCTGGCTTGGCAGCATCTGTCCTGTACCATACTCAGCATCCATCCCGTCCAGGCTCAGCACCCATTCCGTGCCAGGCTCAGCATCCATCCCGTGCCAGGCTCAGCATCCAATCTGTACCATGCTCAGCATCCATCCCGTGCCAGGCTCAGCACCCATTCCGTGCCAGGCTCAACATCCAATCTGTGCCAAGCTCAGCATCCATCCCGTGCCAGGCTCAGCACCCATTCCGTGCCAGGCTCACCCTGGCTCAGGCAAACCTGCCAACCTGTAGGATTGCATGGTACAGGGAGAACCACAGCAGGAGCTGTGCCCACTTTGGTGGCCCTGGGAATAAGCTGGTGGCATTGCTCAAGTTTCCCAAAAGGAGATGGGCTTAAGTGTTTTAAATATTGAAATTAAAGATTTCTGTACTTTACAGCCCAGAGTCATGTGAAGGCACCACACTGACCAAACTACATTTTGGGCATTGTTTTATCCTGCTTTTGTAAGGCTACATAAATTAGGTGCCTGTGTCCTTACAGGCTGAGTGTTATTTGATGCAGACAAATGTCAGACTACATAGAAGATGCATTAATAACTTGGGGTTTAACAGTGCCTATCAATGCACCTGTTTCTCTTTAGCTGCATTTCGCAGCCAAGGACGTATTTCTCATGCCCATTTTGTTTCTTGGCAGCTGGTTGTGGCACACCAACACCGTTGCTATTTGCTGAGCTAAGCCAGGAATATCAAAATCAGACTGAGTTTCCTGTTGGGGTGACTGTGAACTACACTTGTCGGCCTGGATTTGTGCAACAGCCACAGATATCACCAACTATCACGTGTCTTGAAAATCTAACGTGGTCTGAAGCCCAGGAGTTTTGCAAAAGTAAGTTTTGTAGCTGCTTCTAATTGGTTTAAATTGTTGTGCACTGAAGCCTTGCAATCTCCCCTTCACTGCTCCCTCCTTTGGAGGGTTTGGGCAGACTCCTGAAAATAGTGATTCTTTTCCTATGACACTGAGTTAAAGAAGCTCAAAATCAGCTCCCTCCCACGGGCAGGGACACCTTCCAGTATTCCAGCTTGCTCCAAGTGCTGTCCAGCCTGGCCTTGGACATTTCCAGGAATGGGGCAGCCACAGCTGCTCTGGGCACCCTGTGCCAGGGCCTCCCTGGCCTGAGAGGGAGGAATCCCTTCCCAATATCCCATCCATCCCTGTCCTCTGGCAGTGGGAAGCCATTCCTGCCACTCCATCCCTTGTCCCAAGTCCCTCTCCAGCTTTCTTGGAGCCCCTTTAGGCACTGGAAGAGGCTCTAAGGTCTCCCTGGAGCCTTTTCTTCAGGCTGAACAGCCCCAACTTCCCCAGCCTGTCCCAGCATCACGGCCCTGCTTTGTGCTCTCTCTTTAGTGCTGCAATGCCCTTCACCTCCCAATATTGAGAAAGGAAAGCACGACAGCCAGGACCTGGAGGTTTTTCCCACTGGGATGGTTGTGAACTACAGCTGTGACCCAGGCTACAGCCTGCGGGGAGAGGCATCCATCTACTGCACCAGCTCCGGCAGCTGGAGCCTCCCTGTCCCTCAGTGTGCAGGTACACTGGGGTTCTAAGCTTGGAGTTATGGATAGCCTGGGAGTTTCTGCCTGCAGGACTCATCCTCACCCTTCCCACAATTCTGAATCCTTTACCCTCCTTTTTTTACCCATTTTGCACAATGATTTTAAGCTGTACATACTCAAAATATATTTAAAACCTATTTTTGTAGCTGACATCTCTGTTTCCCCCTGTTTTCTCCCCTGATAGGTGGCTGTGGTGCACCTCCAAACCTCACCTTTGCAGAGTTAACCAGGGAATACAAAAATCAGCTGGAATTTGCTGTTGGGGACACTGTGCACTACAGCTGCCGGCCAGGACACTCGAGACGCCACGGAGTGCCCCAAACTCTGACTTGCCTCCAAAACCACACGTGGTCTGAAGCCCTAGAGTTCTGTAAAAGTGAATAGCTCCATCCATTTGGTGTTGGTTATTGGAAATTGTCTGTTTTGTGGGTTTTTGAAGGAAAGATTTGTACATGGCTTTACTAGTCACATGGTCTGGGCCGCTTTGGGCCGTTTTGAAATCACATCTTTATTGGTGGCAGATCTTGGACAGAGCTTTAAGGTACCTTCTCATAGTGTGCTACACAACCTCAAGAGAGGAGTTTAAACTCAGCCTTGTTCTTTCCCAGGGAAGCAATGTAGACACCCAGAACCCCCCAGGAATGGCAGAGTTGTTGTTCTGACAGATCTCCTTTTTGGGTCAACCGTGAGCCACACGTGTGACGAAGGGTGAGTCCCACACTGCCTTTGCTGAGTCCGTGTCCGAGTTTGGTGTTGGGTCAAGGATCCGAGCCCACTCCTCTGCACAGCTGTTCTCCCACAGCAGACCTGAATTGGAATTTTGGTTCCAATTACGCCGTAGTTGCCTGCTCCAGAAAGGGAAAATTGATTCATTTTTCCCTCCTGTGCTCAGCAGATTAATTTGCAAACCAGTTTCAGTTTTCCTTCTCAGATGGCCTCGAGCAGGAGCTGAGAGTGGGAGCAAAGCCGTGCTGCAAGGAGGCTCCAGCCCTTTGGAAATCATTTGGGTCCTGATTTACCACCTGACCAATCTAACCCAGAGTTATGGGGTCAGTGCTGCTCCTCTTGGATCTGGGAAGAAGGAACTTGGTGTCCTTCATTCCCACATGTCGAACCAGCAGAGAGACCTTGGTGATCAGCTGGAATCAGGAGGCTGCAGAAGGAAACCTCTGGGGAGGGAAAAACACAAGCTGAAGGAATTGGTATGAACTGGTATTTCTGCTCTGTACCTCCAGGTACAGACTGGTTGGACAGCCCCACAGGAGATGTGAGATTTTGGGACGAGGTGTTGCCTGGACTGGTCTGCCTCCCATCTGTCAAAGTAGGTCACCACTATATTGGGGCCACTATTGCCATATTAAGTCCTTAAAATTGAGAAGCATTTCCTTAAAAAAAATAGAATTAAATGAATAAGACTATTAAAGCATGGTATTCCTCTGGGATAGGTTTTTTTTTATGCTTGTATGTTTGGTTTCTTCTAAAAATCCTCCAGATGTAGGCTTTTGATCTGTCACAGCAATGTAGACTGAAGGGTTGTGAGATGCCTGCAGGGACTTGTCCCTTTTGTTTCACAACAATAAATAAGAAACCAAGTAAAAAAATGTGTTTTCTAGTAGAAGAGTGATATTTTGAGTACCACTGAAATGGAATTTTCCAAACCCTGTACTGTATCTGAAGCACAAGGATGTTTTGCAGGGGTTGATCACTGTATTTAGTCTTTTCTTTAGATGGAATTGCTTTGGAAGGGAGGCTTGGGATAGTAAAGCATTGATGAGAATGACAGTATTTCTAGCCCATTTCATGTATTTCTTAGAATATATTCACACTATTCTGTTTATGGGCATAAAACTATGTTTATATATAAAATACTGAGGTACCCTTAAGGTACCTAAAAGAACTAAAACCCCTCAATTCTTGGAATTATTCTTATCTGAATCTCTAAGTCCTACCTGTGAACCTCCTCTGAGCACGCTGAGAATGGACTTTATGATGTGTTCATTACAGCACTCACACGGCTTTGCAGCCCTAAATAGGAGTTTCTCTTTCAGGGGTGCTGTGCCCAGCCCCACAGATCCAGAACGGGAGGGTGGCTGTCCCCAAGCCCCGCTACACCTACAGGGACTCTGTCACCTTTAAGTGCCGCAGAGGCTTCACCCTGCGAGGCCACCCCACGTCCCGGTGCCGAGGTGACAGGAGGTGGCACCCCCCTGTACCTGTCTGTGAGCAGGGTAAGAATCAGCTCTTGGCCTTGTCGGGATTGCACATTCCTCCTGGTGTCTCCTGCCCACTGAGCGAAGCCAAAGGTGCTTTTATTTTTCCTGTTTATTCCAACCACTTTAAGGAGAACCCAGAAATTTTTCCTTTCATTTATGCCCTCTCTTCACACACAGGAGATGAGCCAGGGCTTGGGTAATGCTGTAAGTACTGGCATGATTTGCACTTTCTCACACTGCTTGTTGCAATCCATAATCTGCATTCTCTTAATTCCCTGGAAATGAGGAATTTGGTAGCTGGAGGACACTGACTATCAGAGAGCTGTGAATTTTTTCCTGGAAATGTAACACCAGGATGATGGGAAATGAAGGTAAATGTGTACATTTTATTTGCTCAACCATGTTTTTAAACTCTTAATGCTGCATTTAGATGGAGAGTCAGAACGTTATCACCACCCTGATACCACAAGAAAGCCAGGTAGGTCTCTTACCAGAAGAGGCAAGATTTGATTTACTAATCACTAACTCCTCCTCCCAGCCTGTCCTGCTTTTTTGAGGGAACTTTGCAGAGGATTGGGCAGGGCTGTTGGGGTCAGTGCTGTGGGAGGGAGCTTCAGCCTTCCCCAGCTGCTCAGAAGTTTTCCCTCTTGTCTCTTTGAGCTCTGCTTTGATCTGCACGTCTCTGTTTTCAGTGCTGCACTGCTCCAAGCCTGCAGATATCACCCATGGGTCTTTCCGTGGCCCAGCAAAAGCAGTTTTTACTGTGGGAACATCTGTAAACTACATCTGCGAGCCTGGCTTCTCCCTCCTGGGGACAGCATCCATTTATTGCACAGCATCTGGAGCCTGGAGCCATCCCCCTCCCATCTGTCAAGGTGTGTTTTGGCTGCAGAGAGTGAAGAATAAAGGACATTTAACAAGTCTTGCCTTGGGGGAAGGTCTGTAGAAAGTCTAAATCTGAGTACAGAATGTGTGGTAAGAACAAGCTCGAGTTTTTAGCCTTTCCACAGCCTGCTGGAGTTACAGGGGTCCGGGCTGTTGAGTGCAGGGGAAGAAATTGCAAGGGAGCAGTTGAGGCTGCAGATGGACAATGCCTCAGTCACTCCCTGGCCACCCTCCAGCACCCCGCTGATTGTCCCTCCCTGACTTTCCAGCTGTGAAGTGTCTGCAGCCTCCAAACATCACCAATGGGAGGCTGGAAGGCAACACCTCTGCCACCTTTCCCTGCGGAGCCGTTGTATCCTACAGCTGCGATCCTGGCTACTCCCTGCTTGGGAACGCTTCCATCACCTGCACGGCGTCGGGATCCTGGAGCCAGCCCCTCCCGCGCTGCCAAGGTGTGCCTGTGCTCCTTTCCTGTTTGGAATTCCATGTGGGACTGAGATACCTTCCCAGTTCTGCAGAATGCGGAATGAGAATTAATTCTTGGCTACACTCAGAAGGAATTCAAGAGCAATGTCCTAAATAACCCACAGCTGTGTTTCTTATATTTTGTGTTCCCTCTTTTTACTGCTTCCAATTCAGAGATCAGATGTGAATTCCCGGATGTCCAAGGTGTTAAAAAAGGCATTAAAGGAAATACTTATCGCTCTGGCACTAACATCACTCTTGAATGTGACGATGGTTACATGCTGGAAGGCATCAGTCACACCCAGTGCCAAGAGGATTTCAGCTGGGACCCTCCCGTGCCAGCCTGCAAACTGAGTGAGTGGAACATAAACAAAGCAAAGATCAAACAGAAGCATACAAAGGCATTTTAAACATGCACATTTCTGTAGGTAGTTTTTTTAAAAGGAAGTATACAAGGGTGTGGCTTGAAGAAATGTGGTGCTGTGGGTCTTAGCAGTGAGACATTGGCATGGGGAAGCTGTGGCTGCCCCTGTGCCCAAGCACAGGTTGGATGGGATTTGGAGCAGCCTGGGACAGTGGGAGGTGTCCCTGCCATGGCAGAGGGGTGGAACTGGATGAGCTTTAAGATCCTCTCAACCCAAACCATCCTATGTGATTAAAGACAGTTGAGAGAGGCTGTATTTTGGTAGAACAGTTTGCTGATTTTCCTTTTTCCCCCTTCCCTCCAGCATCCCCCAAGTCCGGGTCAGTAGGCCTAGGTAAGCAGCTTACAAACATTTTTGTCCCCAGCTCAGTGGCCCCAGTGGCACAGCCTCCCCTGCTTACATGGCACATACACCCTGTCATGCATTTTGTGTACTTTACACACATAGTGAGAATAACCTGGATTCTTCTCCCTCAGGAGCGGCAGCTGCAGCAGTTCTGCTGCTCCTGGGGGCAGGTGTGGTCTGGAAAATAATTTCCAAGCAGAAGGAAGGGTAAGGCAGCTCTGGCTGTTTGTTCCTGCTGCCTGGTGCCAAGTCCCAAGCTTTGTATGCTTGATATATCTGAAATATTTGCCTCAGTGTGTCTGGGCCTTGTAACTCTGTACCTTTAGCTCAGGCTTGCAAATGATATAACCTGCAACTCATGGTGTGGTTATGTCATTTTATTTCAAGCTTCTCTTTCTTAAAGGAAACCAAACTGAGTGTTCTTTTACAAGGCAATTCATTGTTTTCTTCTTTTCCACATAGCTATTATCATACGTATGAAAACTATAATTACAGAACCCCCCTGAACCCAGACTCTGAACACAGAGGCTCGTGTCTGCCATAGGAGGTATGGATTTATATTCCTCAGCACAAAATGCCAGTTAGAGCTGCAATAACTGTACTGTCACTTGTTTATATTGCTGACTGCATTGTCTCCTTGACTGAGTATTTTCCTAACACAATAATTCAAGCAGAAACCTCTTTCCCTTTTGTCTTCTGATAGAATATTTTCTTTTGCTGAATAGAAGATGTTTTAAACATATTGGGGTTTTAAAACATCCTGTTTTTTCTTACTGACACCGCCCTCAAAGCGTGTGTTTCCTTTTCCACAATCTGGATGGTTGGTGGGCACAGGTCAGACTTCCAGACCAGTCCTTTCTTCTGACTTAAAGCTGCTTTTAATTTGTATGGATAATGAAAAAGATGAAAAACTACCTCAGCAGTAGTAGAGTCAGAAAAGGACTGAACTTGGTTCCTAGGGTTTTTTATTGCTTTCACACTTGCTACATAGGTATTTTTATTCACAAGTGAATCTATTTTCTGTGGTGGATCTATTGTAACCAGCAATGAATTTTCACTGTTAGCAGCACTTCTCCTCCAAAATGGGACATGTAAAAATATCAGTTTTGGAAACTGATATTTTTTTGAAACAAAGCATTTCCCAGAAATTCTCTCCTCCCTCTCTGGGTGGCGATGGAATCTCTGTACACCAGTACAAAAGCAGGAAACTCTGATTTCAACACCAGGATATCATCTCTTCCTAGGCTGGGATCCCTGCTGCTGCTAACCGGGCACCGGGCTCGTTCCCTGCAGTGAGGAAGTGCTGCTCACGTGGAGACTGGAATTCTGTGGCAAAAAAAAGGACATTTTACTGTAAATCTTCAATGCTCTTCTGCTCTCAGTAATTACTGAAAGGATCTAATGAGGCTCAGACTGCACGCAGTGCGGGTGCTGCCTCAGAGGGAATTCTGTGTGCAGGTCCTGATGAAGAATATTTCCTTTATCCCCAAAAAACTGGATAACCAAGTGGATAACCCCAAGCCTTGGTAGGGAGAAAAAATGAATAATGCACTGGCCATAGCCCCCATTCCCTGTCTCCCGTGCTCACCAAAACATACCTGCACAAGGGTGGGAGTAACCATGTGTTAATTAATGTCTTAATTACAGCTGTATTTACATCTTTATTTCCTTCCAGCAACGCTTACATGCAGTGTTCCTCCACCAATGCTTAACCTAATAAAAGCTGATGATAACAATCCTGTGTCTTCATTTAGGCCTGCCCAGAACTTTAAGTGTTTTCTGTTTTGTTGGTTTTTAAAATTTTTTTGGCTGTTCTATTTTAATGCTTCTCCGCCAAACACAGGATTTAACTTCCAAAGGCGAGCAGGGTGTCCATCCTGAGCTGGCTGTTATTTTTAATTAATCCCTGTTGATGTTCCAAGTGTGGCACCTAAATACGCTTATATTTTTTTCGTCTTTCCTTGAGCCGCCCATGAAAGGATTCGATCTCCTTGCAGCCAGGGATGTAATGTGCTGAGGGTGTTGTAAAATGTGCAATAGATCCACATATCCCAAGATTTCTTTAAGTCAGGGTGTCCTTTGGTGGAGGATCTTTGTATACTTTCAATCCTAATCCATAAAAAAGGAGCAGGCAGGAGCATCCCTTAGTCAAGGGCATCCCGAATGAACTAGCTTTAAGGAGGAAAGAAATCAAGGTGCTGATGTATGTATTTGGCAAAATACCCGAGGCCCATGTATTCTTCAGCTGAACAAAGATTATTATCCTGCTAAAAATCCCACTTTGGGGTCAAACAGCGCCTTCCCTGAGCATGCGTTGAACTGAGCCGGGACTGCGTCATCCGTGTGGGAATTAACTCACCACAACAGAGCGGCTGTGCCCGGAAACCGCCCCAACCCTGCAGCGCTGAGTGTCCCACCGGCACGGGGAGCTAGCCCGCGGATTATCGGCGATCCCCGGGAGAAGAACACCCCGAACAAACACCCCGAACAAACACCCGAGGGTGCCGCCCCGCCGCTGAGGGCGCCCGGCGGGCGGGCCCGGCCATGGCGGCGCCGCGCTGAGGGCGGGCGGGCCGCGCATGCGCAGCCGGCCCCGCGCTGCGTCTCCGGCGGCGCCGGGAGCGAGCGGAGCGGCCGCGGCCGCGGCCCCGCGGCGGGGATGGGGCGGCTCTCGGTGCCGCCGCCGCTGCTGCTCGTGCTGCTGCTGTGGCGGCTCGGCGGGGCCCAGGATGAGGGTGAGAGGAGCGGCCGCGCGCTTTGTGCTGCCCCGAGCGGGCGGTGCCGGTGGGGAAGGGGCGCGCGGAGCGGCGGGCGCGGCGCGGAGCCCTCAGGGGACCGCGGCTGGGAGGAGCGGTCGGGATCGGGGTCGGGGCCGGGACCGGGGTCGGGGTTGGGATCGGGGTCGGGATTGGGATCGGGGTCGGGATTGGGGTTGGGATCGGGGTCCGGATCGTGGTTGGGATCGGGGTCCGGATCGGGGTCGGGGTTGGGGTCCGGATCGGGGTTGGGGTTGGGATCGGGGTTCCGATCGGGGTTCGGATCGGAATCGGGGTTGGGGTCCGGGTCGGGGTCGGGGTCGTGCCCCGCTCCTGCTCCGGTCCCCGCGGTGCTGAGGGAGCCCTCAGGGCCTGCCGGGGGGCGAGGGCGGCAGGAAGGAAATGGCTCCGGGGCGGTGGTGCGAGCACGGTGCTTTGGGCGGATTCGAATCGCACAACTGAGGCACTCTTTGGGTGGGGAGCCGCTTCAAATCGCATCCATCCCACCCTGCCCTGCCCAGGGACACCTGCCGCGGAACCTCTGTCCGGCTGGGTTTAAACCCCCTTTCTGTCCCTTAGCCCCGCTCTCCTTTTTCCTTAAGGAAGGACAATGAGCTCTGTGAGTGGGGCTGGCTTCTTTGTTTTTCATGCAGCAAACGAAGCGGGTGTGCAGTGAGTGAAGTCGTGTGTTTAACTACAAAAAAAAAAAAAAAAAAGGCAAACAGGCAAAAATCTGAAAATAGGATCTGGAAGGAAGTGCATTGTCTTGGGTAGAATGACGAAAGAACTTGAGGAAACAATGAGTAACGTGCCCTATACACGTGTAGAGCTGGACACAGTTAAAACCTGAATTAAAAAATTGGGAATGACTTAAATATATCCTTAAAAAGCTGTTGAATTACTCTGTCTCCTGTGCTGTTACACCTCAGTGTGTTTCTCTTCTTGTTGCTAAGGTGCTGTGTTGCTTTTTCCTTCCTCTCCCAGGCACGTGTCCCAAGCCAGAGCGGCTGGAGTACGCAGAGCTCAACGAGCCCTTCAGGGATATGCAGAATTTTCCACCTCGGAGCAATATCTCCTTCACCTGCCGGCCTGGATATGTGAGGGTTTCAGGGATGTCACTGACCTGGACATGTGGTGATGACTTGCAGTGGTCAAAGCCAGGCATGTTCTGTACAGGTAATTTTTCCTACCCCTTTTTTCCCCACTTATTTTTAGCAGTTTCAGTTGGCTTGCAACTGAAACTAGAGTTTTGAATTAGGGTTTTGCCATATTTTAATGAAGCTTGTGAAACACTGGTGTGGGTAAGAGCAATAAGTGTCAAAGATTTTGTCTTTGTATGTAACTATAAAAATGTAGATTTTTTTTTCTTTTCTTTCTTTCCCCCCTTCCCCCAGCAAGAAAATGTGAGTACCCAGGAGAATTGGAAAATGGTCACTTTGATGCAACAGATCTTACATTTGGTTCAGTTTTGACATTTTATTGTAATGAAGGGTAAGTGTTTTGGTACCCAAGTTTTCTATTCCAGTTCTGATCTGAAATCTGAATTCTACCTGTAGCAAATGAAATTACAGCTAAATTTAATTTGATTCCCTGGTTTAATTACTCTTTGCATCAACCCTAAGCTTTTTTGTGAGATTCTGCAGAACTGCAGTGTTACCTCTGGTGACTTCTTGTAATGCTCCTGTGGCAGAGGAAGTAGATATATATTGATCATCCTTCATTATTGAATAATTAAGTCAACAACACTAAGGAGTTGTTTTTTTTTCCTTTTTCTTGAGTATTAATAATTTTAGGATTACTAGAGGGTATTTTTAAAATTTAATTAGTAATTTTAATATTAGAGGGTATTTCTGAAAATGGTAAGATTTCCACAGTTCCTTAGTGATGGCTCTTTATCTGTTTTGTTTTCAAAGTGAGACTGTCAACCAAATAAACAAGATTCTGTTCTCATTACAACAAAACTTTGCTGTGTTATGCCCCTGTAATCACGGAACAGAATTATTGATAAGAGGTGATTTTTTGGTGCTTATTGCAGAAATGAGAAATTTAAGTTTCACTTCTTCAAAATTTTTACGTGTCTAGATACAGAATACAGGGTAAGGAAAAGATTTCCTGTGATATCGTGAAAGAAGGTGTTGGCTGGAGTGGAGCTCTGCCTTACTGTGAAAGTAAGTAAATTATTGCTGTGTTTGATTTTCTGTTCAGGGGGGGTAGTTCATTTGCAAAGTGCTGTGCCACCAACTTTCCAGTACAAAAAAATGATGGGAAAACAGCAATGATTTTTTTCCTAGCTACTTGGGATGTGCCTGAGGAATGACCACTGAAAAATGTCAGTTTTGTGGTAATTCTCATATTAAAAATCAGCCTCTTGTTGAAGCTGAGGTTCTGTAGCGTGGCTTCGAGTGGCTGTGACAGATTTTCAATTAAACCAACTGGAAAATCAAGGCTTGCTTTTTGAGATGAACCAGCTAACACAGCAAAACTAATTTGACCAATTTTTGTGCTTTATTTACAGAAATTCCTTGTGAGCCACCTCCCAAAATAGCCAACGGGGACTACGAGGAAAGATCCAGCTACGTGTACCAGAGCTCAGTGACCTACAGGTGTCGGGATGTGCCCAGGGGCAGTGATCCCTTCTCCCTCATTGGCCCAGACACGATTCACTGCACAGCTGATGCACACTCAAATGGAGTCTGGAGTGGGCCACCTCCACAATGTCGAGGTTGTTGGGATTTTTCATTCTTTATTATTGTTATTATTTATTTTATGAATGATTTATTCTTTATACTCTTTATTTTATATTTCATTATTTATTTATATTTATTATTCATTATTTACAATAATTTTATTATTCTGTTGTTATTATTTAATTCTTTATATTCCTTATGATTTTCATTCTTTATTTATTATTATTAGTCTTATTCACTGGCCCTTTCCTTGGAAGTGGGGTGGGGAGAATGGACTTTGCCTCTAGGAATGCTCTGGTACAAAGTTTGGCACAGTTCCAGTGGAGATTACATCAGCATGGTGGATATTGATGGATTAGGAGACAGAATATGACTAAAATTTAAGTTAAAGCTTGAAAAATACCTATATGAGTGTCGTGTTGGCAGAAGTGACAAGGCCAAAGTGAAGGAACTGGGAGACCACAAATTCTGCAGAAAAATTGTGTCAAGGGCAAGGATGTGGGGGTTGGAATAGGACTTGTAAAAAGCTAAGGAAGAATCCTGTTCCTAAAAGCACAGCCACTATGGAAGTGCAGAAATCAATGTTTTACAAAGTCTCTCCAAAACAACTTGGGGAAATTGGCACGCAGGGAAAAGGATGTTGTGTTTGGTGCAATGTTTGTGTTAACAGATGTTTCCGAGCTTTGTTTTCATGTGCTAACAAATGTTTGTGTTTACAAATGGTTCCCATCTTTCAGTGGTCAAATGTGAAGACCCTCGAGTTGAAAATGGGAGAAAAACATCTGGATTTGGACTTCCCTACAGATACAAGGACTCGGTTGTGTTTGAGTGCAATCAAGGCTATGTCATGGTTGGAGAAATGGTTATTACCTGTGAAGAAAATAATACCTGGGTTCCTCCAAAACCAACTTGTGAGAAAAGTAAGACCTTTTCTGTAAAATTCCCTTTTCTCTTGTGTGTTGAAAGTGTTTTAGCTAGAGCAGAGCATTCTGGTGTTCTAGTGATTTCATGGGTGAAGGCAGGAGAAAAGATGTGGAATACAGGAGAAAATACTTGATACAGAGAATTAGGAGTATGCACAGTGAGGAAAGCTGTGGTATCTTTCTGGAGCAGTTGAAATCTTTGTGTGTGTATTTTTATGCAGCTCTTCAGCTCCTACTTTCTACAAATTATTGTAGAGCTCAGAGGAATAATGAACCAGTAAGGATTTCTGAGCTGCCACATCATATGATCTTAATGAATACCTACAGTGATGTTTAAGTTTTCTAAAGGGAATATTTGTGCTTAAAATTGGGGTAAAGTTAAACTTCTGACATGTGCTGAGCTATTTTTCTTACATAAAGACAGCTTGTGTTTGTGGAATGAGTTACTGTGTTAGGAAATAAACCTTATTCTCACTAAACTTGTTTGAAATTCCTGCATTAGTTACTGCAGATGTGTGTCCTGCCCCGAAGATCCCCAATGGGGTCCTGATTCCAAGCAAACCTGCCTATGGAAAAGGAGAATCTGTCCAGATCAGGTGCAATGCTGGCTGCTCCTTCCCTGATGGCTCTGCAGAGGTGACAGTGACCTGTCAAGAACAGAGCTCCTGGGGTGCTTTACAGCACTGTGCCTGTGAGTAAAATTGCTAAAAGCAGGAGCAAACTGACAAGTTTTAATGTAGTAATACATTTTTAATTTTTTTCCTCCCCTTTTTTCTTTCCAGGTGAGGCTGAAGGTTCTGGCTCCACTCCAGTCATAAGTTATGGGACAGTGACACATGGACAAAAACCTTCCTACCATGTGGGGGATTTCATTACCATTGAGTGCTACACAGGGTACACCTTGCATGGGGAGTCTCGAATTCAGTACATTGGAAACAACCAGTGGGTGCCTGCAGTGCCAACCTGCCAGCTCAGTAAGTATGGGCTGCAAAAACTCCACTGGCATGAAAATACACCTGAGAGAACAGTCCTTTTATATTCAGGAGAAATAATTTATTGCAGCTTCCTTCTTTGCTTTGATGTGAAAAATAGGGTTTGTTAAAATTAATTAAAATACTAATATTCTAAGTTAAATATTATTATTTAAATTAGTCTGCTCCAAAGGTTGTGTTAGATAGAAGTGCTTAACTTGAAATAGCTCTGTGAATATTTTTATAACAATGTTTGAGTAAGAAGCACCTATGTTCCTCTAGTGATATTGATTCCTTCTGTTTTTAGGTGGATATGTTATAGCCATCATTTGTGGTAAGTATTTTCTAAAACCTTAAAAAATACAATACAAATAATATTTTTTTATGTGAAAATCCATTTTTTATTCCAATCACCTGTGACTGCAACAGGGTGATTTTGGAGTTCTGGTTAAAGCTGCATGATTCAGAAAAAGATTGCTTAGCTATTATAGTTTAATTTAGTGTGAAATGTGTATTTTCTCATGTAGTGAGGTCACATTTCAAAAGCAGTTTGCAACAACTTGGCCACTGAAGATGATCTTTATCACTCTAAGTTCCTTTTTTTTTCACTTTAATTTTTCCTAAAGTGATTGTGGTAGTTGTGGTGCTCCTGGCAGGCTTCTGGATCTACAAGAAATTCTTCTCACAGAATGGGTGAGTAAGCTTTCTTTTTATTAATACTGCAAATTCCCAAATGACTGAGCCAAAGCTGTGCTGATGTTTAAGTTTCTTGAGCTTTGTGTGCCCTTTCTTTTTCAAATGTCTGATTTTGTGTGAGCTCCTCTCAGCAGCTGATGGAAGCTAAAGCCTAACCATGAATTTCACTTTGGTTTTGGATCTGCTGTTCAGCTAAGCTGCTAATTAACACTCGCACTAATTTCAAGGAAGGAAAAACCCTGTTCTCAAGCTTGTGTTTGGCAGTGTCCACTTGCCAAGGAAAGTATTTTGTCCATCTGCTTCAGACGTTTCAGTTTATCTCCTAAAGCCAGGGGGAGTCTTGGTTGTGTGGGCTTGTGCTGCCAGAAGGTTTTCAGGTTTTTCTTCTCTTCCTGCAGCCCCAATGTTGGTGTCCCTGTGTTAAAGACTTGCAAAATCAACTGTAAAACACTAGATTTTTGCATAAGCAATTAGTCTTCTGTTTTTAATGAGACATGTAGGGTGTTTTAAACTTTACCTTCAAGCCAGCTGAGTTTGATGTGTGGTTTTTGATGGAGGGGCAGGAGATTTAAATTCCTCTTTGTGCACTGATTTTTGCTTTGATGTCTGGTTTTATCTTCTGGAAAAAACCTTTTTGTTAGAGAAATATTTTGTAAAATGCAAAACACTGACAGTCCAGAGCAGGTTAGGTGGTACACACACAGTGTCAGGATGAGCATCTCATCAGAGCAGTGTTGTCTTTTTCCAGAATCTGTTGGGATTTATCTGGAGTACATGAAACAAATGAAGGGATGTTTTAAATGAAGCAAACCAGCCTATTCCTGTGGCTCATATTTGTAATTAAGTCCACACACAGGACTTGAGAGAGCTGTGGAGATGGTTTATATCCAGTGAGGTTTTAGCCTTTGGCTTTTAAATAGGCAGTGCAGTATCAGTCCAAGGGCCAGAGTGTGCTGCTGAGCAATTTGGTGCTTTTGAGCCGCTGCATTTATTCAGTGTTTGGATATTCTGCAGCCTGGATGGGCCAGGGAAGAGCTCTTGGCAGTTCAGGGCAGCACTTGCTGCCTTTGCCTGTGGAGAGACTTCTCAGGGCGTAGAAAGCAGGAGGGATGTAAAGCAGCATCATCAAAAATTAAAGACTGTGACATTCCTGAATATCTAACAGCATGAAAAGCCTTATTGTGCCTAGTGCTTCCCTTCATCTTCCTCTCTGTGAGCATCTGACTGTTAAAGCTCTTTCTTGTCTGGAAACACTGATCTCATCTCCTTTCATGAAAGTCTCCATCTCCCTGTTTGGTGTTCTGAGTTCCTGATGCAGCTGAGCCTTTGTGAGCTGTTGTGCTTCCAGCCCCTGATCCTTGCTGGTTTGTAGCCTCCAAATGCCAGCAGATCTTCCCTTGGCCTCTCTTTCTTGTCTGTGTAAAATGCACTTGGATGGGACATTCAATTAGACCTTTCTCCCTTTCTGCTGTTCAGCTCGTACACAGTTGATGAGAGTTGCAAGGACATTTGTATTTTAAAAACTAATATCCCAGCTGAGATGGAAGAAACTGCACAAATGAATTAATGAAAAGGTATAACTTTCCTCTTCATTTGGACTTCTTGCAATGCAGCTTAACTGTCTTTTTTACTGTGGTTTGCTTAGAATTTCAGGAGTGTGGAATCCATCTAGCTGGGAGCTTTGGCTTCCTGTAAGAAAGAATATCTTAACTTTTCATTCATTTTGGGAGAACAGGATATAATTCATAGAGAATTATCATTTAGCAGTGTCAGTAAGGGCTTCCAATGATTGTAAATCACATTTATTGGTGTTGTATTTGAAGAATGAGTAGCATATTGCCTACAATACTCAGAAGAATGTCTGCACCCATCCCAGTGGTGAGTTACTTTTCTTGGCTAATAGTTTAATTCCCTGTAATTAGAAGCTGGAAGCACCTTTGGGCACTAAAACTCTAAAGGTATTTGTGCATCCCTTCAGAGAAAACCAGATCCCATCTCTCACAATTACTGATTAATCTGCATTTTTGCTTTCTAGAAGAGAATAAATGAAGGGTCTAACAAGGATCTTTTGAAACCTTCTTATGAAAAGGTGATTTCTTTTTCAAATTCAGAGTTTTGTAGCCCTGAAAAGAATGAAGATAAACTTGCTTTGAAGCTGATGTCCTCTCCTGTATTTTAACCTAATGCTGACTCCAGTGAGATGCATGTGGTGAATGTTGGGGTTCCTCCTGCACTTTTGTAGGGTCAAATGAGCTCTTCCAAAATCTGGCTCTTCAAACCTTGTTTGAACAGAGCACCTTGCAGCTCAGTTTCACTCTTCCTTGCCAGTGTTTTGTTGTTCCTATCTCAACAGAGCTGGAACTACAAATATTTTTTTAAATCAGCGTCTTATCTTCTTTTTTTTTTGTTTTGTTGCTTTTCTCCATTGCAAAAAATTCTGAGGTGGTGATGGGTTCTCTTATCCCAGCTTAATGCAAAGGTCTTTTCCTGTGCATAATCTTGTTTTTATTGACTTGTAAAGGACAAGTGAATTTTCAGTATTTTTGATGAGTTTTTATATGAACATTAAGCTTGGAGTTTATTCCAAAATAATGTATAGATTGAGGAATATCATCTTCACTCTAAAGAAAGATGTTTCTAATTAAGATAGGATCTGTTTTCTGGGTTAATTTTGCTTATTTTTGGGGAGAAAAAATGAATCAGCAGATAGAATAGAATTCTTCATTCCAATCTTAACCTTTACACATGATAAGAGAAATTACTGGTCTGGTGTGTCAAAATGCTGGAAATTCTGGAGGTTTTCTTTTGGAATGTGGAACTCCTTAGAGGCTTGGAGTAATAGCACTGAGGTTTGGTATGGGATGGGTTTTTGTTGAAGCAAACCAGAAATTATTCAAGAACATATATAAGAATGTCATTGTGAATTTTAATTCTTGTATGCTTAAGTATTGTAAGGTTGCTGTTGTAGACTGCAGAATCAAAACCCACACAAACTAATATTTCATTTTTGGTCAGAAAATATATGCTAAACAACACGTTGTAATTAAAATGAATTCCAAGGTGCACCTGGTGGAATGATGGGAATCTTGGTTAGTTTTTGGTAATACAGTCATCACTTGAAAGGATCCCTTTGGATCAAAGGCTCTGCTGCTCCTTGGGTCATTCCTGACAGTTCAGTAGCTGAATGAAGCTCAAATCTCCTCAGTCCAGCAGTTGCTTGGTAAAGAGAGGCTAAAGAATGACCCAGTTTGTGACTTTACCTGCAGCTTTCATGACAAAACTAAGGATGTGCTTTCAGTGTAAATGTAAAACCTCTTGCAATGTAAAACCTCTGATCTGACTTGTTTTTTTGTTTGTAGGAAACGTGACAGCACTCCCAGTTCTGCCGAATATAAGATGTGTAAAGCATGACTGCCCTTTTTGGGGGGTGGGGGGGACCTTGCAGTGGGGTACCCCTGTCAGAGCTGCACAAAGACTGATTGCCCTGTCCATGAGGTCCCTGTGCTGTGTCTTGTCTGCTGATGAACTGGAGGAGGAGATGCTTGATAGGATAAAGAGTGTGTGTGCATATAGATAACACAGATGCTGCTTTGCCTTCTGGGCCCCTCGTTGTCCCTCTGTGCACGTGAGCTGGGGGAAAGGCAATACCTGTAGCATGGCAGAGTCTGGGGTGCTGCAATGTCCCTGTGCCAGTGCCAGCTGCTGCTGCCTGCTGCCTTCAGTGCCACCTCTTTGCTTGCAGATGTCCAATATTCCCCTCTCTCCTGTAGAGCTCTGCTCACTCAAACCTTCCCATCCCTTTTTGCAGTAGAGGTGGTGTAAATGGTTCTGTTGCTTCCTTTGTACTCTGAAATGTCTTGTTGCTCATTCTCTGAAGAGTCTGGTGCCACAGAAGGCGATGTCTTTTGGAAGCTATCACAGTTAAGACCTTATATACTCTACCTCTTTGTCTGCCAAAGTTGGTTGCTGTATATATATATATTGAATTAAAGTGTGCCTTGAAATCAGAGTTTTATAGCTTTTCCTTTGCTTTTAAAAAGGAAAAAAGGCATATTTATTTCTGATTCTTTGCTATAATCTCCCAAAGACTGCAGTGGATTTGTTGGAACTGAAAACTGAAGGATTCTGTAGCAAAGGCATCCCCTGCCTATTGACAGGAGGTCGCTAATTAAACGAGCTGCTGAGAGCTCAGTGGTGGCTGTGTCCTGTTGTGAGCACAGTGGAAGTTCCTTAGAGTTCTCGATTTTAGTGAGCCTTGATGGCAATTCTGGAGATCTTCTGTTGCTTTCAAGGGTGGAAATGGGTGCTGTGTGATCCACCTGCCTTGCTTTTTTACTTGAAGTCACATATTCCGCATTTCTAACCTCTGGCTGCAGACTGGGATGTTAAATCAATCTCTGAAAAGCTGGATTTAGCATCAGATTCCTGTTTAGAAGCAGAAGCTTTTCCCTGTCACTCACTTTTCATGTTAAAGGAAAACCAAACCAGTTCAGTTGTGTGAGCACTGGTAGATGTGGTGGTCTCTGGTTTGCTGCTTGCTCATCAAATGTTTTAATCCAAATTCCAACTGCAGGAGCCCCCACCACGGTGTCTGCCATTAGTTTAGGGTCACTTATACTTCTAATTCCTCAGCAAACCCCAAATCTTAACTAGAAGAAGTTTTAGCACCATGAATCATACAGGCAGCTCCTGATTTTCTCAAAAACCCAAATAACCTCACTTCAGATGCTTGAGGCAGCATTGAAAGTGCTCTGGCTTGTCTGTGGCTGCTTGGCACTGCTCTCCCTGTCATCAACAGATTGTTGGCGTGGCACTGAACTGTTTGGGGCTTTATAGGGCTTTTTGGGACAATCCCAGCAGTCGTATTGTTGGAGTTCATAATAGGCTGTGGTTATTAGAAAGGGGCTTTGGCTCTGCAGAAGGATTTGCTGTTCGTGGCCTGGCTGATAGCTCAGTTTGAGAGTTTGTAAACACTGGGATGTGTGACTGGGACTGAGTGTGGTGCTGGTCAGGAGCTGAGCTTGCTTTCTGTGGCATCTGCAACGTGCTGATATACACTGGAATGTACTTACTTGGGAAGTGAAATCACTGTAAAAAGTGGCTGTGTTTTTGCTCTTCTTTCTGGATGTAAAGATTAGAGATTATTTGTAAAATTCCAAATAAAAATGTTAAATTATTTAGCAGTAAGCGTTTGTCTTTCATTCATCATTGTGCTGAGCAGCTCTTCTCCCATTGTTATCCAGATGATTTTTCACGTCCCAAATATCAGGTAGAAACTGCTGAGATTGAAGTTTGCAGGTTGTGCACAGAGTTACTCAGTGGTAGTGTAGGGGATGGGTTTTAATTTGATGAGCACCTTTTCCTTTAAGAATTGCAGAAAATTTCCCAGAACCTCCAAAATTTTACAGTGTTGCCTCCTGAAAAAATTGGTGAAAAGTTGATGGCGAAGAGGAAGTTTATCTTGGGGCTGTTCTGGTGGAGTACTTGGGGCAAAGCCCAGGGGGTGTTTTGGCCCTTTTGTCCAGTGTGTGAGAAATGCAATCCTTAGGGAATACAGCTCTGGTGGGTTTAGGTGACCTGTGAAGGAGAGTGGATTTAGGAATTGTGTGAATTTCACACTTGAAATGTACTGAACTTCCATATGTGGAGTCAGGTGTCTGATAGAGCGAAGCCTTTCAGAAAATAACTTCATATGCTGTATTTCATTGCAGTTTGTGGCTGTGGTACTCTGAGTGAGTTGGTGTGGAAATGAAGCCAGGCTGCACAACTTTACACTGTGGAGTTCGGGTTTGCCATGAGCATTGAGGGGATAAGTAAAGTTTCTAGGAATGGGATGATCTTTAATCTCCCCTCCAACCCAAACCATTCTGGGATTCTGCTCTGTGATTCTGTGAATCCGACTTAAACACTACAAATTAATTTGGCCTAATTGTCATGAGTCCTGTGCTGTGTTTTTAAAACTCAGTGCTGCATGAATTATTTCCTTTTGGAGTCTGGAACTGATAATTAAAGAGACGTGAACTCTGTGCTAAGGGAAAGGCTGCATGGAATAAAACTGTGTTGTTGCCATCTACTGGTGACAGGGGCAGTGGGAGTAACAAAACAGATCTAAAGTTGTGTGGTTTAGGGTTAAATAATGTGAAGTGACAGTGCTTGGTGGGTTTTCTGTGTCACACTTAAAATCAGTATAAATTAAACCCTGCCCATGGCAGGGGTTGGAACTGGGTGATTTTAAGGTCCTTTCCGAGCCAAACTATTCTGATTCTCTGAATCTGAATACTTCTGAGGGTGGTGAAAATGGAGCTGGGGGCTGAAATGAAGAGACTTGCAGCACTTAGGTGTTGTCCAGCAGGGAATCAGGTGATCTCTCTACCTGAGACAGAGCCCAGGAGCATAGAGCACACAATTTTATTTAAAAGGAAAAAAAAATCTGTGTAAAGAACAGGTTAAGGCAAACAAACAGCACATGGAGTAGAAGTGGTCAGAAGGCTGGGTGGCTGTGTTGTCACCCAGGCCCTGGCTTGCTGGAGTTGAAGAAGCTGAGTTATGTTTGAAGAGATGCTTCTCTCTGTCTGGAAGCATCCCATCCTCACTTGAAGGGGATGCTGACTGTCCTCCTTGTGTGCAGGATGTTCGGCCTGTGTGGGGAACTTCAGGTCAGAGAGCAGCAAGCCAGTGGTGTTGGGGAGGCCAGGTCGTGCTCTGGATGGTGTTTGTTTGTGGCCTGGGGGGTGAGGGAAGGAAGTTTCCCATTGCTGTTGCTTTTCCCCCTACATCATAACCGATTTCAAATGGTGCTAGACAAAAACTGAGACTCTGAACACCAAGAGAAATCGGTCAGCCTGTGTAAGAGACGTTTTCCTGGCTCAGAGAAGGATCCTCTTGTAGATGACAGCTATGATTCTTTAGAAGATGACTACTCAGTGCTCTGATCAAACCTTCATCCACACAGGGATCGGTTTTTCCGTGTCTGGGAACACGCTGGACAGCAGGGAGGGCAAACAAAGAGTTCAGCTTCGTTCTAGGTTGGGATGCAGGGCTGGAGAAGCGAAATACTGCTAGGAGGTACCAGCAGCAAACTGGAAAATCATGGTAGAAAAAGGAGCGGGCTCTGTGTGTGTACTGAAAAGTGATTCTGGAAAAAGGAGTGGGTTGTGTGTGTGCTGTGGGGCATCCTCATGGTGCCTGTGGCAGGGGCTTGGAACAGGATGATCTTTAAGGTCCCTTCCAACCCAAGCCAGTCTGGGATTGCTGAAGGCACTTCTGTGTCTGACTGCTGAGGTCAAATGGTTGGGGGGAATTTCTGTGTTTGCAGAGCTGTGGAATGAGAATCCTGTGGTGATGGGGTCCCCAAGCAGAGGGTGGAAAAATCCTTTTGCTGTGAGGCAGTAAATTAAAGGTTGATCTTAGTTTTTGGGTCTCAAACATACTCTGCCTGTCAAGGTACAAGAGATACCACGTTGGTTTTCATGCAACTTGCGGATCACTTTACTCTGGACAACTTGAACTCATATCCATTGTTTATTAAGCAGAAGTACAGGAGCAGGAGGCTGTGCTGGTGTGGCCCTGGCTTGGGAGGGTGCATACAGTGGTTGGAAAAGTGTCTAGGAATCAGATGATGTTACAAAATGGATGGCTGGCAAAAAAATAACCTTTGGAAAAGGGGCTGATTTGAGGAGCAGAGGATGTTGAAGTGAGCAGGTGCTTGGTCTCCTCCCACGCTGTAATTCTTGCTCCTAGAACACTGATTTCAAATGGTGCTAGATACAAAGTGGGAAAATCTAAGCCACCATGTGAAACCAGCTTCCAGAGGAAGACACATCTTGTGCATGGCTGCAGGCTGAGGGAGAAAATCCTTCATCTCCACCGTACCTAGAGAAAAATTCATTTATTTAATTTTATTAGATAGCAAGACAGTTACCTTGGGCTTAGCTACTTTATGGATACACTTCTTTTGTGGCATCTGGTGGATGGTTGAGGCTGGTGTAGGAGAAGTTAAATATGTGGTGAGGAAAACCCCCAGCCTGGCAGTGAGGGTTGTTTCCTGCCCTAGCCAGGTGGAATGCACTCAAATTCTTCCCAGCAAGTGATGATCAAGGTTTTATTTCTTGCTAGTGCAGAGCACGATGCTAATGGGGTGAGTGTGGGAAGTTTGTGTGGTACAGGAACACTTTTTCCATTTCACTGCAGATGAAACCAGGCTATAAACCTCATTCTGTCCAAGACAGAGAGTGTTCTGGCTTTCTGTCACTCACTGATCAGAGAGTACAGGACAGATCAGGTGCTTTTTGTGACAGGGAAGGGAAATGTGAGTGTCCTGATGGAACTTCCTCTGCCAGCAGTCCCTGTGCTTTAAATAAGCAAGGACTTGCAGACTTTTGTGAGACAACTTTTAAATTCTGCAGGCAGAATGAAAATAAATTGGATTGAAGGCACTTTGAGTGTGGGTCAGAACGAAAAAGGAGCGTTCACAAATTGAGCTGTAAATGGTTCAGTGGAAGTTGTCGAGGAAGGAGAGTGTGAAAATGAGTGGCTGATGGTTCCTGGAACTGCAGCAGGGCTGAGCACTTAACCTGCAGTGTCCACAGCTCAGAGCAGAGGGACTAGAGGGGGTGTTGAGAAGCCTCTGAACTCCACACATGCATAATTCAGGACCTATCAACCCTTGGATAAGTGTCTGACCTGTGCTGGAGTAGAGGCCAATGTGAAATGGAACAAAGCACAACTGCAGGCAGCAGTTCCACTTATTGATGCCCTGGGGTTTTGGCAGCTCTGTGTATTCCTCTTGTAACCACATCCAAAATTCTGCTCCGGCGCCTCCATCCTAATGCACACTCCCAGGCAGGAGAGGGAGAGCTCAGAGACGAGAGCTTGTCCTTCCAAGAAAGAGGGGTGGAGGAAGGGGAAATAACTGGACTAGATTCCTGTGTCTGGATATTTACTGACGTTTCTAAATCCAGTATCTGGGGCAACAGGGTGAAAGACGAGTGGAAAGCAGGTTCCCTCCCCAGTGCCTGCCATGTGGCACAGTTATTTAGGAGGCACCCTCTATTATCAGGTGAGATTTACTCCTGAAAAGCTGCACCAGGAGTTGCAGGTGCAGGATCACAGACTCACAGCAGCATCTCTGAGAAACAGGCTCACAGTGAGCTTTGCTTTGGTTTTTCCTTGCCTCAGTAGTAAGCATTACAACAAATCTTCATTAGGGTTTTGAAAATTACTTGGAGGAAATGTCACTTAATGTTGTGCTGCTGAAAATGGGAACTTGTGTCCAAGCATGAGACTTAGAAGGACTGAACACCTCTGCACATCTTCCCCCCCTGCAAAGGAGACCAACCTTTCCAGAAATATCATGCAGCAGATGAAGACCAATGGCTCATTTATTATTTATAGTTTTGATAAAACCAGGTTTCACTTCAGCATAATTAAGATGCTGCTGCCCCTCCTCCAGGCTACCTGGAGTTTGTCCTGTTGCCTTCACAAGCTCCCCAGAAGGTGTCAGCCCTTCTTGGCAAGGTGCAGGTGCACATTTGGGAAGGGTACATCCATCTGTGCTCTCCTTTCCAAGGCTCCCAATGTGTCTGGGCAGGAGGAAGGAGCAGTTCAGGATGCTGGGGATGTGCACATGGGCAGGAAAACAGGAGCACAGCATGGTTTGGGTTGGAAGGGACCTTAAAGCTCACCCAGTGCCACACCTGCCATGGGCAGGGACACCTTCCACTGTCCCAGGCTGCTCCAACCTGGCCTTGGACACTCCCAGGGGTGGGGCAGCCACAGCTGCTCTGGAATTCCATCCCAGCCCCTCTGTACTGTCACAGGGAAGAAAATGAATCCATGCTGTTCTCAGACTTTTGCTGTGTGGAGAGCAGCAAATACTGTCACCTGTGCTTGCCTTTATCACAGTGGTCTGGACTTTCCCATAAATAACAGTAGGGAAAGTACAATATTCTGTGGGTTTGCCTTCTTTTCAGATGTTTTAGTGGCAGTGCTGTTCTGTAGCTTCTTTCAGAGGAACAACTCAAAGCTTTTAATGGACTTCACACTGCTTTATACATTCCATAGGAGACAAAGACAAAAAGGGAATCCCTGCCTTCCCTGTGAAAGGGAACTTCCTCCCTACCCTGAGACCTTCAGTTTGCAGGAACAAGGCAAGCCTGGATGTCACAGACCTGATTTTGCACAAGCTGCACCTTCTATAGAAAGGCAGTTCCGGGGCTTTTACAGAAAGCAAAACAGATCTCAGTGTGCATCATAAATTTTTTCCTCCATTTTCACATCACAGGGTGAAACTCGTGGTTCACCAGGCTCTGCTCTCCCCTGGAGAAAATAATCCCTGTTTTACATGCTGAGAATCTGAGCTTGATGCATCATCCTCCCAGTGAAGGAATGAATCAGCCCAGTGCCAGGTGCAGGACAAGGGGTGTGACAGTACAAGTGGTGACCTGTAAGGGGAATGGAAATGAATGAACTTCTAAGGTTTCAAAAAAAGGCCTCCTCAGCGTGGGGAGCCTGTAACTGCATCTCTTTGTTGTGCAAGTCTGGTGCTGCGTGGGTCAGCTGTGGACAAATGTGCTGTGACTTGCACTGAGGGCCAGTCCTCAGTGTGGAGCCCTTGGTGTGTCAGAGCACCGGCCTGGGCTGAGGGAAGGCAGACTGGGGGCTGCACTGCTGTGGAAAATTGATATTTGTGCCTGGAGATGCCTCTGGAGAGGCCACTGCTCTTATGGGCAGCAAAAGCAGGTACTTTCTTCACGAGTTTAAAGTATAAGGGAGATACTTTTCTCCTTTATTAAGACCACAATAAAAACTCCACATTACAATCCTGAATTGAATGTAGACTATTCCTTCAGTCCTCCTCTTGCAGCCTTACAACTGCAGTACAAATGGAGTTAAAACTCAGACACTCTGTGTCTGAAACCCCCCAAAACCCAAGGCAGGCTGCACACTGGGACAGGATGGGGGTAAAAGCCTGTGGGGCTTTGTGACCCTTTTGACTGTGAGCAGTGGGACAGTCAGGCCTGCTTGGTTTGAGTCACTGATTTCAATTCCTGTTAAGGGGAATCTGTCAGAGCACACTGCAGTGTCTGTTTTAGCATGGTGACCATTAGAGGTGTGCTTAGATATTAGTGCTGTACTTCCCCATCCTGTGATCCCCTCTGCTCATCTGAAATTGCTTTGGCTTGCCTGGAGTCATCCAGTTCTCCCCCAGCTTTGCTCTCAGGAGAGTTCCTGGGCAAACCCTGAGCCTGTTTGGAGGGCACAGGAACTGCTGAGCCCTGGATCCTGTGGAGGATTTCAGATTTCACAGGGAACAGTGAGGTGAAACTGGGCAAACTCAGGAAGAACACTGTACTTTCATGGCTAGAGGTCAGGGGAGGGCAGTAGGAAGGAAAACTCATCAAATTTAGCCCTACACAGCCTGAGTGAGCAGCACATTGCAAAACTCACTCCACTCAAACAAATGATCCACCTAGGCACCTGCAACCAGAAAGGCCATTTTCTATTCCTAACTCCTGTACCTAAGCATCACTTTAGAATGTAAAGTACTGATTGCAGGGCTTGAAAGCTCTCACAGGGAGATGATTGTTGTGATTTGTACAGTCAGTTCAGGAACATGGTGTTCCCCCAACACCACCGCTCCAGCTCCTCCAGGTAATGGCAAGGGAAGTTATATTTTTCTTTTGTGTCATTCTAGAGACAAAAGAATGTCCTGTGCCAGGGAGGAGCATAAGGAAACAAACCCAGCCTGATGTTCACTGAAGTATAACCTGCCTTTAAACCAGACATCTGAAAACAAGCCTTTAGTTTAACAGTACCTGCAGTACAAGGACCTGGCAAAACAGCAGGAGAAAAGCACTGACCAAACACTCCTGGCTGACTCCCCCGGGCGTGTGAGCTGCTGGTCTGTCCCTGTTCCCAGGGTTTCCATCATTCCATCCCTGAAACATCCCCGTGTGTCCAAGAGCCATTGTCAGTGTTTAAGAAACATCTGAGCTGGATACCCAAATGCAACAGTGGCTGCTGTTGGACTCCTGAGTGCTGTGAGTGTTTGTGGGGGGAGCTGGAGAGATGAGCTTCACTCAGAAATAGCTCTTCCTTGGAAAGCTGGAGGGCTGAATCACAGTGTGTTGGCTCAGTTTTTAGCAGACAAGCCATCACATCTGCCTCCCTGTAGGCGAGGAGCCGTCACTGGCACCGGGATTGGCAGCCAGGTTCTGTCCCTTTGGAAACCAGGGAATAACCGTGGGGAAGGTGAAGGCTCATTGTGAGCAGGGTCAGGCTGGGGGCTTGGCAGGGTGGGCTGGCAGCTCTGGGAGCAGGAGGGGGCTGCTCCCCCTGCCCCTCTCTGTCCACAGAACCTGCCCCCCTGTTGAACTTTGGGCACTAAATAAGTTCTTTTGCTCAGAGGAATTAACCACTCCTCTGCTGCCTGGGAGGCTGAGAGAGCCAGAGCCAGCCCTGAGCATATCCACGGCTGGTGTTGTCCTGAGACAACTGAAAATATGAGTGAGATGGGCAAACAGGAAGACCAGGGAAAAATGGGGAAACCTGGGAGGGCACAAGACAGCTCCTGAGCTGAGGTATCTGACGCTGGAAGCACCTGAGAGACACCCCTGGCTTGACAGGCTCTGGAGAGCCTGCACAGTGCACCTGATAGCCACAGAAATGCAAATTACACAGAGATTTTCTTCCTAGAACAGAGTGTGAGCTCTTAAATATGTGTCACTCCTGGTTCCCAGCAGTGCAGAGGAAGTTTTGGGGGAAAAGGGGATGAGGGAACTAGTGGAAAGTTTTTGGAGCTGGCAAGAAACAAATTACAGATATGGATTTTAAAATCTTTCAGAGACATAGGATTTTTTTGGAGCTACAGTTTTGGGCTCAGTGCCCCCACTGCTGCAGTAATGTTAATTTTCAGGCCTCCCCTCCAGGTTCAGGCATGGGCACAGTTGCAAGAGAAGTAGATTGGGAGTTCCTGAACCAACTGGTTGCTGACCATGAGTCAGGGGAATGACCTTGCAGCAGGCGGCTCACGGTGCCGCTCTCGGAGCCGTGCCAGGATAAACGGCACTGGCATCTCTGAGTGCTGGTGGAACCATTTTGTGACATTCCAGCTTGGCCTTTTCTACTGCTGCCTTTGCACCGAAATTGTTTGGGTGGGTGGGAATGGGATAGAGCATTCCCTTTATTCCTCACAGCCTGGGCTTGGGACTGTCTATATAAAGAGATAAAGAGGACATGGACAGCTCTTGCCTACATCCTTGTCCGTTAACATCAGCATTACAGATATTTAACCAAATTAAATCTTTCCCTCCCAGCCATAACCATATTAAACTGTAAGAAAACACCACGATAAAGTTTTAAAAATCCTACGCAGCAGCACTGAATTTTCTTGATAGGTCTGGGAGAGATTTGTCGGAGGAGAGAGGGTAGAACACTTGGCATTTAGACATTTTAATGAATGTTCCCAAATAAGAAAAGAAAAACATTTGCTTGTAGACTTTAAGCTTCTCACAGCATCAGAAAGCTCCTGACACAGAGCCCAATGCTGTATTTGTATAACATGGAAATGAACAGCAGCAGCAGCAGAGCTGCAGGCTCCGAGCCTGCTCTGCGAGCAGCAAAATGGCCAGGGGTGCTGGGGCTCATCCGAATTCCTTCACCATTTGGGGGGTCACTAGGTGGGTCTGATACCCCTGACCCTTTGGGGTGGCTCAAACTCTAACATCAGTATGAAAAGAACGTTTCTAACCATATTCAAGCTTCTGCCCCCATCAGCTCCACTCCCTAAAGCACCGACAGGAACCAACAGCAAAATTCGTCTGCGTCACAGATGTAACATGACCATCGGCAAAACAAGAGCAGGAGGAGATCATGGCTGCCTCGTCCCTCACAGAGCCTGCCTTTGCTAGCAGACAAGAAGAGGTAATGCTTCTAAATTTCTATCACGGGCATGTGAAATCCTGCCCTTCCTTGCCCGAATCCCGCGGTCCCCGAGCGGTCAGAACGCCCGAGAAAATTGCGTGTGTTTTGTCGGCGTGGTACCGAACGCTGCGTCACGATGCTGCACCAAGGCCGAGGCAGAGCAAACCCCACTCCCCAGAGCAGGGAAACCCAGATACAGGGAAATGAATCAGCTCATACAGTGCCACACACACAAGTGTCAGAGGGAGGGAGAAATCACAGCTTTCCCCAGTCCTATTGTGGCACTGTGCAGAAAATGATCACGGAACAGTTACCCAGGTACAGCTCACGGTGCCAGTGCCACCGCTGTGCACACAATCACTGCTGTCCTACAGAAATGTGCCATGTCCCCTTCTTAGCCTTGTTTCCTGCCAGTCCCACAGATTTACCTGCTGACAGTAACCTCAATTCCTGGGTAATGAGATTTACAGCTGGAGTTTAACATTGAAATAACTCCTCTTTTATCCGTCTCCTTACCCTCCCTGCATTTAGGCACAGTTAAACCATCGCTGCGGCCAGAACATGGTGGCAGAAGGAATTAAACCAAATACATCCCTGCTCTGAACACACTCAGCAGCCAGTGGCACCTCCTTGACAGCCATGAAACAGCAGTAGCTTTACAAAGTCAGGGCTTCTCCACCCCACAACCGCGATGGGGAAAACCACAAAGAGTTGTCTCAGCAAAACAGGCTCAACCCACCCACCATCCACACAACCCAGCATCATGCCTTAGTCCAGCTCCTGGCCATACAGAACCCCCTCCACAGCTGCCTGGGACTGTTCTCATGTGTGTGTGTCTGTATTTATGCCTGTCTGTCTGGCTGCAGGGACCACCACCGTCGCTGCTGTTCCTGTTGTTCCCCTGCTCTGCGGATCTGGCGCTGCGGGAGGCAAGGATGCTCGGAGGGAGCCAGCTACAGCCAGCGAAGGCTCAGTGAGTCAGGAGGGGTTGTGATGACTGCAGTAAGAGGCTGAAATTCCCTACGGAATCTGGCAGGAAAGGAGGGGAAGGAGGAAAGATGGAGATGGAAAGGAGGGAAAGAAAGTGGGGAGTGGCACGTACAGTCTGTTGGGTTCTTCCCTCCCCGTCCCTGCGCCGCACTGCCGTTGGAAATGGCGGCCCTGCGCAAAGGACGGCGTCGCGAAAAATCCGCAGCGCCTGCGGCCTTCGCGCCCAAACCTCCGAAATTCCGTTTGGGGTGTAAATCCAGCCCTTCCCTCTCTCCCTGTCTCCCAGAGCACCCTGCAGAGGCCAGGCTGCAGCCCAGCCGATGGGGACGGCGGCCGCGCGGTGCCTGAGCCCAGCGGTTGTTGCTAAACAACCAACCCTGATGCTGGAGATGGCAGCCAGTGAGTAACGGAGATTAAACTCCTCTGCTAGCACATCCTGAAACTTGGGTAAGCCTCAGAATGATGAAAGGCTATGGAATAATGGTCCCTCTTGTATGAGAAAGCAAAGTTACCACTCCACTGCATAATCGGGAGACTTCCTCGGCCAGAAGGACCAAGCTCAAGGCTGGCTGTGTCCTCAGCACTTCAGGCAGAGCTGCCATCTTCATTGCTGGGTGCTTTAAGAAGAGAGGTGAAAGAATAGTATAGTAAATGGTTGAGAGGGAAAGGTGTTCTCCCCTTCACTTCCTTATCCTCTCCCTGGAGCTGCTCTCTGCCCTCGGTCTCCCATTCATCCTTAACCAGTTCCCAGTCCTTCCATCCTTGCTTTCTAACACTGTTACTCTTTTGCAAACTTTTATAGACCCCTCACTGAGGGCAGTCTCCATCTCTCTGTGATGTTACCGAGCCTGTGGCAAACCCACACTTGTGCAAACAAAAGCTGACTTTGGGCAAGAGTCGTTTTCATTTCTTTAACTATTCCCACAACATAATTTCCAGGTGCAATCCCTGCCCTGAGCAGTTTACAGTGCTGCCAACACTCCAGCACCTCACAAGGGAGAAGGAAGCAAGAAGAAAAGCCCTGAACTCCGGTACTTTCCCCTGCACTGTGGGCTGCAGCTCTGACACATCGTTGTTGCGACTGGACGGCGAAACGAGACCTCCTGGGAGCACCCATGGGTGAAGGGCTACACCCAGCACACCCAGCAGTGACCAGCTCCTGCCCGAGGGACGCCTGGCATCCCGGGATCAGAGGTGGGCACGGAGCGAGCAGCGGGCAGGGAGTGGTGGGCAGGGAGCTGGGAGCAGGCAGGGAGCAGGAGGAGTAGACAGGCAATAGACAACGAGCAGGCAGGGAACAGGACAGGGGCAGTGGGCAGCCCTGGTTGCACGGCTTTCAGGGAGCAGGCAGGGAATAGGGAATGGGCAGAGGGCAGCGGGCAGTGGGCAGCCCTGGTTGCTTGGCTGCTCTGCTGACACCCGCGGGCCGGGAGCAGGGCAGTGAGCAAGGCAGGGAACAGAAGCAGGGAGAGGGCAGTGAGCAGTGGGCAGTTCACTCCACTGACACCCACGGGCCGGGAGCAGGCAGGGAATAGAAGCAGGGAGTGGGCAGTGGGCAGCAAGCAGTGGCAGAGGGCAGAGGCAGCCCTGCTCCTGCCCACTCTGCTGACACTTGCAGGCAGGGACCGGGCAGGGAGCAGGCAGGGAGCAGGCAGGGAATAGGAAGAAGTGGCAGAGGGCAGAGGCAGCCCTGCTCCAGCTGCTGTGGCCGCTGCGCTGACAGCCCCGGTGGGCAGGGAGTAGGGAGCAGGGCAGGGAGCAAGCAGGGAATAGGAAGCAGGGCAGTGGCCGTGGCAGCAGCAGTGGCAGGGCACAGGGCTCTGGCCACAGCGCTGGCACCGCGCAGGGCCGTGGGCAGGCAGGGAATGGGAAGCAGGGCAGTGGGCAGGCAAGGAATAGGAAGCAGGGCAGGGGGCAGGCAGGGAATAGGAAGCAGGGCAGGCAGGGAATAGGAAGCAGGGCAGGGGGCAGGCAGGGAATAGGAAGCAGGGCAGTGGGCAGGCAGGGAATAGGAAGAAGTGTCGGGGCACAGGCAGAGGCAGCCCCGCTGCCCGCTCCCCGTTCCCCGCTCCCCGTTCCCCTCTCCCCGTTCCACGCTCCCCGTTCCCCGTTCCCCTCTCCCCGCTCCCCTCTCCCCGCTCCCCGTTCCCCGCTCCCGGTCCCCGTTCCCTCTCCCCGCGCGGCCAATGCGCTCGGCCGCTCCACCTGCCCGCTCCCCGGTCCCCTCTCCCCGTTCCCCGCTCCCCGCTGCCCGGTGCCCGCTCCCCGTTCCCCGTTCCCCGCTCCCGTTCCCTGCTCCCCTCTCCCCGTTCCCTTCTCCCCGGTTCCCCGGTCCCGGTCCCTCTCCCCGCGCGGCCAATGCGCTCGGCCGCTCCACCTGCCCGCTCTCCGCTCCCCGCTGCCCACTCCCCTCTCCCCGGTCCCCATTCCCCTCTCTCCGTTCCCGGTCCCGGTCCCCGCTCCGGCGCGGCCAATGCGCTCGGCCGCTCCACCTGCCGGCCCCGGCGCGCCCAATGGCGGCGCGGCCCCGGCGCTGCGCCCGCCCCGGCCAATGGGAGCCGCCGCTGGCTCTCGTTAATGATGCAGCAGTCCAGGGAAGACTATCACATGTGAGCTGGCCGCCTGCCAGCATGGAGACACCGAGAGAGCAAGGTAAACAACTTTCCAACGCCAAAATGATGACATTTAATCCCTAAATGCTGGCTTCCCGGCGCGACTCATCTTTAACCCCTTTCAGCTGGTGTGGAAGCGTCTGGAAGGCACCCGACTACCTGTCCCCAGTGCTTTTAAAAACTGGACGACGTGCCCTGCAATGATCACTGCGTCACTGTTTGCCACTTCGCGAACTACGCAGTGACAAACCTCCAAGCTCCGAATCGCGGGGCGCCTGTTAACCCCTACACCAACCCCTGGCTGACATGCCAGCCTCCAGGGACATGGGGGGGGATAAAAAGCCCAGACAAACCAGGAAAACGGCAGTCTTTGCAAAGTTGTCATCTCTCCCCCACGACTACTACCCTCCTCTGCAGTACAGCAATGCCGGCAGGAGTGACATTAATACAACCTGTGCCGTCGCTCCATTGAGAAAACAGCTCTGACGCAGAACAGAGCAATCCTACCCAGCCAAAATAATAATAGAGGCACTTTGGGATCCGAACTTAGGGACGCCGGGGGAAAGGGACGCCCTGCAAATAATCCAAATACGTAGCTGCAGCTCCAGCCCCATCCTGATCAAAGGGTACGTACGTGAGGGAGACGAACCGGACCGAGGAGCCGTGCCCGTGCACCATCTGCGCAGTCCTCAGCCCTCCGCTCGCTCTGGAGCGCCGCAGAAGAGAAGGTTCCAGAAATTTCCTTCCCGTTAACCCTTTCGGTGTCTGCCCACTCTCCCTCCCCGTGGGATTAAGCGCGCCGGGTCTCCAGCATCGTCAATGGGCGAAGCCTCCTACGCCAAGCGAGCCCGAGTACAAGGTGCAAATGGCAGGGGATGGTGGCAGGAGCCCAGTCCGTGGTGTTGGTGCCACTTCTCTTCCTGGAGCCCTCTGTGCCTCTCTTGCTGCCTCTCTCCCCTCTTGCTGCAGCAGGGCTGTTGCTGGTAGACCTATCGACGGAGCTTGCTCTCTCACTCTCTCGCTGAGCTCTGTGACGCAGCTCTAAATTCTCCAGCCTGCTCCTTGTGTTATAAGAGCGGAACTGCAGCTTTCCAGGGAGCCCGTGCCAGCGGTGCCAGGGCCAGGCAGACCGGAGGGAACGTCGCTCCTGGACTCTGCACCTTTTTTTGGCAATTATTCTGTTCCTCACCTCTGTTTCTGCGCTTCCTCCCCGGCTCTCAGCCTCGCATCTCCTTCTCTGCTTCTGAGTCATACTTAGCAGGTTAACTCTTTTAGGATTGGTAGTCAGCAGTACAAATCTCGAGCGATAGCAGCTGAAACCACAGCCAACTTTTTTGGTGTTTTCTGCTTTAAAAAAACCAAAGCAAATCTTGCTGGCTCTAAAAAACAAAAACATGTGCACGCACACACACGTTGCAGTGGAGAGTTGGTGCTTTCTGATTAACTGTTTCGGTGACAGGAACCACTTCTTGACTTCCTGAAATTAAATATTTTAGGCCCACATCTTACAAATCCTCAGCAAGCAGATCCTCTGAAGCACAAGGCAGTTTAAGAGGAGCTGCTGCTGTGAACAAATGCAGGACTTGTGGGCATGAGGCTGCTGCTGGCCCCACAAGCTCCTGTTCTGCTGGCCACAAGACACTGATCTGAGCATGGTTTCACTGCTGGGCAGATGTGTGACGTGAGATAAGGTGCTGAAAGTGCTGGAAAGCCATAGGGTCTTCTTAATCTGAACAGCATTAATAAGTGTTATCACACACACAGATTCCAAACGCTCGGCGTAGGCAGGGGAACTAATAACTGCGCTCCTGGAGTCACCAGAATCCAATAATCCCCGACAAAGACAGTCCACAGGCAGCTCTGCATTTCAGCACAGCAGGCATCATCCCCAGGCAAGGAGCCTTTTGCAGCTGCATGCTCTCTCCTCGCCTCTGCCCCCCAGATCCCTCGAATAACTTCGGCCAGCCCCGGCACCCGGCAGGGGAAGCAGAGCTGTGCCAGCTCCGGGAAGTGTGGAGGAGGATCCGCGGTAGGTGCAGCTCCTGGGAGTCAGGGAAGCTGATGGAGAGGCAGCCCTGGGAGGGAGTTGATGTGCACACACAGAGCAGCGAGGAGCAGTCCGTCAGGAAACACGGAATGCAGAGAGATCCCTGCTCCACTCCTCCGTCTGCCATCTTAATTCTGACTTCAGAGCCGGCTGCGAGCCTTGGGTTTTTCACTACAACCAAAGCTGAAGTAACCACGGTTTTTTCTCCTCGCAGCGTCTGAAGAGCCTGAGCTATTTTGGGATTTGTCTGTACTACACTGAAAATGACACCTGTTACGCACAGACACAAATGAGAAAAATTACAAGCGCCTGGTTCCTCTGGGTGAGATCCCGTGGGTCAGGGCTGGGCGAGCAGCACCGGCTCTGCCGTGGGGAGAAGGGGATGACCCTGGTGAACCGAACACACACCAGTATGAGAAATGTAGAAAGTCTGTAGCAGCTGATGCAAGGGGAAATCAAGCCTCCATGTGACCAGAAGAAGTAGTGCATGATCAACTAAATGCCACAATACATGGTCTCTTATGCAATCGAGCCCATGGGACTCCAGGCCTTACACATCCACTTTGTGGCCAAAGCTGCAGGGATTAACTCCTTCCTTAATGCCTGGGAGAGAGCACAGGCTCCTGAAATGAATCATCCATCCCCCGGGCAGGCCGGGCTTTGCTGAGACTGGAGCTGCCTGCACTGCTTCCAGTCACCCCCATTCTCTCAGGAGCCCCAGCACACGGGGCCAGGCTGGATTTTCCGTGTTCCCACTTCTCCCTGGTGGTTTGCACGCTGTGCTGGCAGGCAGAGGCCACCTCGAGATGCAGGGAGCTCCAGAGGTGCCAGATGAAACAGCAGAGCGAGATGAAAGCTGGGAGCCTCAGAAAGGAGGCACTTCACTGATGCTTTTGGCTCACACCGCTTTTGTCAGGCCTGTGGTGCGGTAGGAAGGTGAAACCAACTTTGATTTATTCCAAATGACTCTTTCTGGTTGCTTTCAGGGGAAATGCAGCGTTTATTTTACAGTTTGCTTTCCTTTGAAAGTCACCAGCCCTGGAATGTTTCTGTCTCTGCCTGGCTCTAGGTACTCGCTGGTGGCACTCAGGCTCCCAAGAAGAACTCAGAGCTGTGCTGCACTGGGGAACAATCAACTGTGTGAAAAGTCTTGGGGCAGTGGAAAACTTCAGCCCTCAGAACTGAGTGAGGAGGCCTGAAAACATCAAGTCGTTTTCTGACACTCTTGGGCAGGATTTCGCATTTTCTGGTTCGAACATCTTTGACACTCCACTATAAAAATCTAGGCTGATTTTCTGGTTTAACTGGAGCCTATTTCCATGTGTTGCTACTGGTTTGGGTTGGGTTTTTTTTCGCTTTTTTTTTTTTTTTTTTTTTTTTCCAGACTTTAAAAGTGTGAGGCAGAGCTTTGGTTTTGTAAGAACTGCCTATGAGGGTGCAAAGTCCTGGGCTAGAAAGCAGGCTTGGAAAATGGGAATAATCCATGGCTGTGGTCTGAGACAGTGGAGATCAGTGTCACTGTCAGAACGTGGCAGGGTTGGAATCTCTTCCAAAACTGGGAGTGACCCCATGGCTGACTACAGCTGGGCCCTGAGAGCTTGCAGTGCTGATTAATAAAATTAAGAGTTTTTATAGTGCTGAACATTCTAACAAGATTTCAGGACTTGCAACTGGGATGGTTTAGGCTGGATATTTGGGGGAAGTACCACTTTTTTGAGGAGAGAGGGCGGGGATTGACCCTCCAGGCTGTCATTGACAATTCCCTCAGCACCACGAAAGGATCAGGGAGTGATTCCTCAGCTTCCAGAGGGACTTTGGGCTTGCACTGCTTCTTTGCCAGGCTGTACCTGAAGGTTCATCCTTCAGTTCTCCAGCGTCTTCTGTGCAATTTTCTGCTGTCACGCTGCGATGACCTTAATAGCAACAACAAACAGAGTCTGCCACTCCCCAAATCTCACCCTCCTGCAGATCATTATTGCTGCTGGGGGTGATAAAATAACCTGAGGGAGGCCCTTGGTGTTTGGAGTGCTGGAGGAAACCCTCGTGGTCCTGCCCGCACTTCCAGCTTCCTGCCGGGGAAGCCTTGGCTCGGGTTTGGGTTTAAATGCCATCGGCCACACCTTCCCCCCGCGCAGGAAGCACGATTGTTAAAATCAGGGCATGTTCCTGTTTAACGAAAGGCTGAGATAAATAATCCAAAGGCCTCGTTTATGCCAAGCGAATTCCTGCCCGGGCCGCAGCAAGTCTGGGCAGCTGTAAATCTGTAACCCCTCGACCTCGCAGCCACGGAAGGGGAGTCTTGGCACATCCCCTCGGGAGTGGCTGGGCACAAACGGAAGGAGCAAAGAATCGGGCAAAGGTGGACAGGGCAATGGAAAAGTTTCTTCACTTTACCAACCCAGAGGCTTAAAAGCTGCTTTAAAATGCAGAATAGTCAGTTTGTCAAGTGCTGATGTGGGCTAGCTCTTGTTGGATTTGTCAGTGATACCTCATCCTTATAAAACAGCCTCAGTGAGGGGCAGAGTCACAACAAACACTGAGGTTTCATTTTTTTTTCCCAAAGGTTTATTGTTTTCCAGACAATCTTCTTTAGTGAATTCTAGAGAAATGGCCAATGATTCCTTTCTTCACCAGCCCAGCAGAATCACAGAATGGTTTGGGTTAGAAGGGACCTTAAAGGGTCCTCATGAAGGGACCTCATCCAGTGCCACCCCTGCCATGGCAGGGATACCTTCCACCATCCCAGGGTGTGCCAAGCCCCATCCAACCTGGCCTTGGACACCTCCGGGGATCCAGGGCCAGGCACAGCTACTCTGGGCACCCTGTTCCATTTGGAACACTCTGCTGCCCTCCCTGGGGTCCCAAGCAGCAGGAGGAGAGGCAGATAAAGAGCATCAAACCCCTTCCCAAACAGTTTCAAAGCTGATTCCGCGCATCTGTTTGGGTGTGCACAGCTGAGAGTCCCACAGAGAGCGGGTGGGGGGTTCCCAGTGCCCCTCGGGAGGTGCTTCAGGGGGATTGTGTGGAGCAGCTGGTGCTGGCATGGAAAGCCGGCGCTGCCAGAGGTGTGGGACCGTTCCCGGCGCTGTCGGGGATGTGTTGGCACGGCTGTGCTGGCATTGGGGAGTCACATTTGCCTGGAGCGTTTGCATTCTCGGTGGGAACCCAGCCCACGGCACAGAGCAGGCGCTGAAATGGGAGCCCGCAGGTGAAAACCTGGCCTTCCCTCCGAAAACCTGGATTTTTTTCCGGTGAAGTCTAAGAAACCCAGCTGGAAGAGCCGGGATCCTTTTCAAAGAGGTGGCACCGCATTAACATGCCAGCCGCTTCAAAGCACCGCTGAATGGCCTGTGCTGGGTCGAGTCGGGGTATTTGGGATCCTCAGCCCCCCCAGAATTCCCGGTTGGCACAGGGACCCCCGGCAGCGGCTGTGGGGGCAGCTTTAGCTGCGCTCCCGATGCAAGGAGCCAGCAGCGCGGAGACAAAAGGAATTATTTCAGCTATTAGCTGCTAAGAATAGAGGCGGCGGGGGTGCTGAGGTGCCTGACAGCGCAGCCGGAGGAGCGGGGATTGCAGGGGGGGCACGGAAATAGCCGCGCTCCAGCTCCAGCAGCTCCCGAGTGAGTCAGCCCGGCCCGGGGGCACAGCTGCGGTGGGCAGGGTCCGGACCGGGCTGGGTCCGGACCGGGCTGGGTCCGAACCGGGCTGGGTCCGAACCGGGCTGGGTGTGAACTGAGCAGGGTCCGAACCGGGCTGGGTGTGAACTGAGCAGGGTCCGGACCGGGCTGGGTCCGAACCGGGCAGGGTCCGAACCGGGCTGGGTGTGAACTGAGCAGGGTCCGGACCGGGCTGGGTCCGAACCGGGCAGGGTCCGAACCGGGCTGGGTGTGAACTGAGCAGGGTCCGGACCGGGCTGGGTCCGAACCGGGCAGGGAGTGAACTGAGCAGGGTCCGAACCGGGCTGGATTTGAACTGAGCAGGGTCCGAACCGGGCAGAGTCCGAACCGGGCTGGGTCCGGACCGGGCTGGGTCCGAACCGGGCTGGATTTGAACTGAGCAGGGTCTGAACCGGGCAGAGTCCGAACCGAGCAGGGTCCGGACTGGGCAGGGTCCGAATTTAGCAGGGTTCGGACTGGACAGTGTCCGGACCGGGCAGGGTCCGAACCGGGCTGGGTTTGAACTGAGCAGGGTCCGAACCGGGCTGGGTCCGGACCTAGCTGGGAGTGAACTGAGCAGGGTCTGAACTGAGCAGGGTCCGAACCGGGTTGGGTGTGAACTGGGCAGGGTCCGAACCGAGCAGGGTCCGAACCGGACAGAGTCCGAACCGGGCAGGGTCCGAACCGGGCAGGGTCCGAACCGGGCAGGGTCCGAACCGGGCAGAACCGGCCCGGGCTGTGTCTGCGGGGCAGCTCTCTGCACCGGAGCCTGGTTTTCCCCGCGGAGCATCTCCCCGGTTTGAGGCAAAGCCCCGGAGCCTCTGTGGCCGCCCCGGGCTCTGCTGAAGGTTCCTGCCCCGGTCCCGCTCTGGCACGGGCAGCGCG